CTAGCGCTTTCTCCTAGCTTTTTAGAGGTTCATCAGGGGAACTCCTTAGTGATTTCTCCTCTTTAGAGGTTCATCAGGGAAACAACATAGCGCTTTCTCCTAGCTCTTTAGAGGTTCACCAGGGAAACAACATAGCGCTTTCTCCTCTTTAGATGTTCATCAGGGAAACAACATAGCGCTTTCTCCTCTTTAGATGTTCATCAGGGAAACAACATAGCGCTTTCTCCTCTTTAGAGGATCATCAGGGAAACAACATAGCGCTTTCTCCTCTTTAGATGTTCATCAGGGAAACAACATAGCGCTTTCTCCTAGCTCTTTAGAGGTTCATCAGGGGAACTCCCTAGCACTTACTCATCTTTAGAGGTTCATCAGGGGATGAAAGTATAATATTCTTAGTTAATCACAACGATACTGATTCTCACAGTTTGATACTTCTGATGAGTCTCACAGTGTGAAACTCCTTGTATCTAGTCTTTAAGCTTGTTATTCCCGGGGTTTTCCACTATTCAGCACTCATGACAAATCTTACAATTTTAAAATGTTCTAAACATACAAATGCATGGTAATTCCGTTTTCTTGTGTGGAATGATTTTAAGTATTTGTCACTTTAAATCAAACTTTTGGAAAAATTTAGTCTCTGAAATTTGTTATGTGAAACTCAAACTTTCATGGTAATTCCATTTTCTGGTGTAGAATGAAGCATTTTTCACTTTGAATCAAAATTTTGGAAACATTAAGCAGGATTTTATTTTACGTGAAGCTCACAATTGCATGTCTTTCATACTTTCATAAACCAGAATGAAGTAAAAATCATCCTTCCATGATGGGGGTAGAGAGGAGGAAATTGTTAAATGTTGGAAAAATCTATGTGTTTGTGAAATTATATAAGAGACTAATAGACTTGTGTAGCATGTCACAGTTCTTTACAGATTTCTGTACCACTTCCAAAAACTTTATACATGTAGTTCCTAAGGTTTTGGAAAGTGTTTTTCCAGGCATGAATTTAGCTTTGATAAATCATTTCTGAAAAGAAACCCATACCATATATACTGAACTTGAATGGGAAATAATAAAGATGAAATAAAAACAAAAATTCAGTGGAATAGCTATACCAGATTAGAACCACCATACATCAGATTGTTATACCATCACTCTTACCAATTGAGCTGCCCCGGTCATTGGAAGTGTCGAGCTCAACTGTTCTATATTTATATCCAAACGGAAGTTAAGGGGAGGTTACCGTATATAATACGAAAAACACAGTGCAGTGGAACAGGGATCCTTAAAAACCATTTGCTGGGAAAAAATCTTATTGGAGATATTGCAGTGATATTTGATGTGCACAAACTGCAATTTAAATTTTTTTAAAAACACATTTATTACTGATTAACAATAACTTTCTTCACAGAGGGACTTAAACATCATCATTTACCATTATTTTATTGTTCTCAGAACTTCAGTTTTATTTTGCTCTACAATTTGAACTCTCGAGTTCTTTTGGGAAAAAAACATTTTTGAAATTTATTTTTCCATGCAGCTAAGGATATTTACATGCTGGCAAGTACAGTATCTTCTAAAATTCTCGGAAGCATTGCCAGTAAGGAAGGCTTTCACTTTGTGGTAAGTGATCTTGAAATTCTTTCAGGTATTTATTTCCTAGAAAATTATGTACTGATTGAAATAAAATTAACTTCAATATGTTTAATAAAACAGCATTATTTGATATAACTTGCTTACAAGGTCCACTTGAAATTAATTTAATACTGTACCAATTAGGAAATATTTTTTCAAGATAAAATATTGGATAATATTTTAAATCTTGGGTAAAGTGACATGTATGAAGACATATATATCAGTTTTGTTGAATGAAATTTTTGCAGTTGTTACATTTTTGGGTTTAAATTTCCCCATGTATGTTTATATAGTCAATAGTCTTACAGAAAGGCAACAAATTCACAAAGGTTGATAGTTTGATACTGAATATTATTGGAAAATTATTACCACCCTTCAACAGTAAAATTATTTTCACCCAATGTTAAATTCGCCCTTCACATTTAATTACTTAGTAGATTATGTTTACAGTTGTTTGGTGTAATGATAAATTCACCCTCATTACTGAGGGCAAAAAAAGGTGAAATTAAACTGTAGCAAAACATGTCCCAGTATACAGAATCATTTCAACTGCAAATAAAATGAAAGCAGGTGATACGTTCTATAAAATACAATATATGAGTGAACATTTGATATGATGTTATGCTTTTGACCTCAATAGGAAACGTTGACAGGGTTTAAATGGATGGGAAACAAAGCCCATGACCTTCTACAGGAGGGAAAGACAGTGCTGTTTGCCTTTGAGGAAGCTATAGGTAAGACTGTGCTTATTTCAACTCCAGTTGGTAGTGACGTAGACACACTGTGTCAGTTTTATGTTCATTGTACTGTTGTTATGTATGACGCTTGTTAAACTGGAACCGGTGGAATTGAATCTGCAGTAGTTGGTTTATTTTTAGTATTAAGAAATTTCAAATTAAAAGCAAATTCATATGTACAATCATGAATTAATTAAATAGGGGAAAACTACTACAAGGGCAAAATATATCAAAACATCAAAATAAAAAATATATGAAAAAATAAACATGCAAGGACAAAAAAAAGCCCTAAACAGTAAAACACAATGTCAAAATTTACACAAGAATTCATGCACAAAGACAAAATATCCTAAAATATCATCGCAAAAAATAAACTTAAACATCAACTCACATAATATATCAAAACATCACACACAAGGAAAAATAATATACAACTGTATTTTACATGTAGCTACACTAACTTTATTGACTGTACTGTGACATCATTGTTATTATGCTTGTTACCTTAAACAGTAATGAACCATGCACTCCCTACTTGGTAGTATTTTTTTAACCATGAAGCCCCTCATTTCATTTTGCAACTCATTTACCGCCAACATATTTGGATGTCCCTTTTTTCATGTTTTGTTAATAATTCCTCTATATATTTCCCTCAATTTATCACCAAACCCCTTTATAATGTCAAATATTCTGAGGACAAGTGCTGGCAGCATATAACAAGGTTTTATTGTACTTTAATTTGAAAAGTCATACATTTTGATAGTAATTAACTATATGTGTACTGCATGCCTACATTGGCAGTAACTTGGTGGACAATGTACAATGTGAAAAGCTTAGTACTTTGACCGTAATATGATGATTATTGTTGTACTTTGACAGTAATATGATGATTATTTAAACAATAACTGGTTGTCTGGATGTAATTATTGTTGATATAATTACAACCCGCTAGGGTTTTATGGGAGATTTGCCAGAGGACACTTGTAATTATACCAACAATAATTACATCCAGACATCCAGGTATTTTTTACATTTACATATTTTTCTTTTTTAAGACATATTCCTCAAAAAACATTTGCCCTGCCTCAAAATACTTTTCAGGCGGCCATTTTGTTTGTTTACATATATTCCTACACCTGAAACAGGCAGTTGTAATTATAGTCGAGCAGTTGTAATTATAGCCTATATAATTACACTTGCCCTCTAACACTGTTGTAATAGGACGGCGCGGGGGCAAATGTAAATATTGTACTCTGACAGTAATATGATGATGATCCTTGTACTTTGACAGGATTCATGTGTGGATCATCTGTGCTGGACAAAGATGGAGTCAGTGCAGCTGTGGTGATGGGACAAATGGTGCTGTACCTCCAAAGTCAAGGCCTTACCCTGTACGACCAGCTCACCAATATATACCAGAAGTAAGTGTCACCCTGTACGACCAGCTCACCAATATATCCCAGAAGTAAGTGTCACCCTGTACGACCAGCTCCCCAATATATACCAGAAGTAAGTGTCCCCCTGTACGACCAGCTCACCAATATATACCAGAAGTAAGTGTCACCCTGGGAAAAAATTTACCACTTCCTACTGACTTGCCACAGGAAAATTACTCTTCAGCTCATTCGGAAGAGTGTCGGAAAAGTAAAGTATAGGTCCCAGGTTCAACTCGTTGCGAATCGTTTAACAAATAATAACATCTGTTAAATGTATGTACTGATAAACTAGCTAATGATGGAGGTGTTACTTTATGCTTTGGAAATATTTCCATGTTTCAGTGAGAAAGAATATGTTTTCAAGCTTATCAAATTTTTCTAGGGTATCGAAAGTTTTGATTCTGTCCTTTAATACAACTTTTTAGTGAATAATCAAGTGGAAAAAAAATACAAAATATAAATACAATATGTAGCTTTTGTCTTTGCACAGTATACCTGTATATACTTGTTGCAATTTTGTAAAGTTGTTCTTTTAAATAATTCAAGGCCCTTGTACTGCTACTCTACATCCTTCAAAACATATGTCTCTCTGTTCATCTTGGAATCCAAAAGACTAATCTTTCTGAAATTTGACATTGTGATAAACTGTGATTTGTACAGTTAGTTCTTCTTAAGCAGACAAAGGATGAAAAATATAGTTAGTTTCAGTATATCGAGCATATGTGCATGAATTCAACATTTGTAGAATTTTCTTTATTAAAGGTCAGAAAGCAAAATCTTGTTTGTGGGGAAATAATCAGGTCTATACGTAAGCATTCTGATGCATGATTATATTTTGACATTTCTGATGTTTTTCCAGATATGGATTCCATCTTTCGAGCAATTCTTACTATATATGTCACGATACTCCAACAATAGAGAAGATGTTTGTTGAGATAAGAAAATATAATGGTACAGGAAAGGTAAGCATTCCCACTGTTACAGATATATATACATGTAACATCAAGCAAGACTTGGATAATTTTACTGAATTCTGCGCTATAATGACAATATCTGTGAAACTACTTCATTTCCTGGTTTAAAAGTCCAACAGTACTGCCGGCTGATATTGACCTAGCTGTGTCAACAAAACAGGCTGGTGTGTGAACATGTATCAAGTATTGGAGATTCTTATGCCTAGAGCATCATACCATATAATCATACTTTGTAAGTGTACATTTTGACCTACAATGTACTACCCCACAAAACAGCATCAGAGCTTAAAATCCAACTTGTAGCCCTACTACCAGTGTATATTCACAGTCCAGCCTCATGAATCAAGCCTTCACTAATCTAGTTGTCCCACTATCAGCTGGTCAGTGTTTTTGTGGACAGATTGTAGGCTCTTTCCATCCGAATTGTCTCGGATATAGGGCCATTTTAAAATCCAGACTCTTTTCCTGCCATATTTGGTGCATTATAAAGGCTCTGCTTACTGTGCAGACTGTCCATCATCATAGCTGTCAAACCTCCCTCATTAGGAGGGAGACTCCCGCATTTGACCAAAATTTACCATTCTCCCAAGAAACTCCCTCATTCAAGTCCAAACTCACACAAACTCAAAATCTACATACTGTGGTCAAACAATCTTTTAGGTGTGTGTAATAACAATGAAAGATGTGTCTGAATCTACTTAATGCTTTTTGGAGTTATTTTGATACGTAAAAATGGAAAGATAAATTGAGCAAACAGGTTCAGTCGCATTTCATGCATTTTGTCCCTCGTTGGAAATGTGGAATGAGGGAGATCTCCCTCATTGGAAATGTGGAATGAGGGAGATCTCCCTCATTGGAGGTTCTAGAAGTTGACACCCATGCATCATACTTCATATTTTATTTATTACACACCCTTGTTATATTTGAGTAAGGTTTATATCTTTTACATTCCAGTACCCTGAAAGTTGTGGACAGTACAAGATCAAATATATTCGGGATCTTACTGTAGGCCATGACAACAGCCAATCTGATGGAAAACCGGTAACTTTCCTTATTACCCAAATAAATATTTATGATTTCAGTTTACAAATAACTCAGTAAAGCTCATATTTATTTTGCTTGCTTAGTGGCTTCTGATTTGCCGATACATTATGAGACCGGGTAAAACTTTCGTGACTATGGTTGATATTTATTTGAGAAGTATGTCATTTGGTTAGAATATTGATTGAAGTTATGAGTTTAGAGTTCAAATTCCGGCTAATTAATTAGTTTGTTGCATTTTGCAGGCCCTATCATATATTGGCACCATTATCAGCCATTGTTACAAATTGTGTGTTCTTAATTGGCGGGGAAATACCTGAACCTCAATTTTAATGTAGACCGGTGTCTCATATTGGTCCATATTCTTGAAACCATTCTCATGCTCAAACTATATGTGATTTCCTGCTTAAGCCAAGTTTTTTGTACTGGTAATAAAATTATTAATGTTCACATTTTGTCAATGTTTTGGAAGAAATTTTGAGAGAAGTATATAGCTGAATACCGTTTTCAATTTCTAGACCTGACTTATTGACAGTATCATAAAAATTATGCAAGTTATGATAAAGCTGGTTTGAGTTTATGAGTATGAGAATGGTGTTATGAATACTAGCCCTGGTCAAGTCCAGTATACTTTCTTCCCCATCCAGTTATATGCAATCTTGAATTTGAGATCATGCTTGGAATAAAATCCATTATTTGTATTGTACTTATATTTTATCAGATGTTAATATTGTGATTATAAGTCTTGAAAGCACACATTTAGAAAAAAAAAGACTCAACTTAGTTCCCCCCTGAAATTTCATAATGAACTTTTCCAACCTTTGAAATGGAAGAGTTCAAATGTGTTTCCAGGGGTGAATGAGTTAAGAATCTGTAATATTGATATCTGATAATTTCATAACATCTGTTTCTCCTTCAGCTGCTTCCTGTGAGTAAGTCTAGTCAGATGATAACCTTCACCTTTGAGAATGGCTGTGTGGCCACTCTTCGCACTAGTGGAACTGAGCCGAAAATCAAATATTACACGGAGCACCGCCCTGATCCAAACTCCGGGTATGTACATACTCCTGATAGGGCTGTGTCTCATACTTGTCAACTCCCCCTATTTAGGAGGGAGACTCCGGATTTTGGACACTAAAATTTAGCAATTTTCAACCAGTAAATTTGCTAAACTTTTCCTATAATCTAAGATCGAATGATTTCATCTGGAAGAAGAACTGAAAATATTCATTTTAAAGGGTCATTTTGTCTCTAGGGGGTATACACACACATTTTAATTATGTTTTAATTTTGAGAATGCAGAAGCTTACCATAGACATTTTAAGGAGTTGGCAAGCATTTATTATGTGTTTGAATATCAAAAGTTTAGTTATTAAGAATATCATCAAATTACAAAAATAAAATATCATCTGAAGATTATATTATAAATCCTGTCCTATCTGAACAAACTACTATAATTCTATTTCTTATGAAACCTGCCATATAAGACTTGTGTTTTCTGGCGATCTTTCTAAATAATCTGGTCAATATGTTATGTCCCACAGGGTGCATGCTTGCCAGTTTCTCTGTTATCATTTATTGATATCAGTGAAAAGGTCAAAGGTCAAAATTTTGTTTCATATGTAGTGTGTATGTTTTTGTAGGTTATTTGTGTGAAAAACAAAATTTGATCAAAGATCAAATCCTGTGTAAATTTAGAATTCTGATCAATATTTTTGTCTTATCATTTTCTTTGAAATATTTAATTTGAGGTCTGATATAACTTTTTCTCTACCTTAATCTGATGTATCAGAAAAGATTTGAAGACTTTTTTTCGATAGCTGATAAATCTGACACAATTAACAGACTTTTTTGCATAGTCTGATAATAAGATTCCTAGACTCTTTCCCCATGTTCTGAGATATCACACAAGATTGGGAGTTTTCCCAATAATATATGACAAGAGTTAGAGATACTTTCCAGTTAGTGTGAATGTTTTGTAATTAATTAGCTTATCTGGATATTAAAATGATGAATTAGTCCATGAAAAACCCTTTTAAAGAGAAAAATATGTAAAGTAATAAGAGAAGTTGATTTGGATATAAGAGTTATTTAAGGTAAACCAATTAGACTTTCTAACTAAAAGACGTCTTAGAAAGTAAAACAGTTGCATTAAAAACGGGACCGTAGGCCTGCATGATATAAAGGGACGTGTGTGTAGTGTTCCATCTGGAGATTTTATGACTGTTACATAGTCCATAGTGTCTAGGAAGTGAATAGCGGTTAAGCTAGTTGATTGTCGGATAAAACTCGTTCAGGGATTCCATGAAGGACTCTAGTTGCTCGCTGGTATTGGGCTAAATAAAAAATACATGACAGTGTATTGGGAATCTTCACCATATGATAGGAGTGTAGGACTGGGTCTTGAGAAACAATGTATCCAGTTGCATTGGCTCACGAATAAGATGGCGTAGTGCACTCCAGGTATTGTTCAAAATCCCATTAAGTTTATATTGAAAATGTGTTCAATCTTTAAAGTGTTTATGTTTTACAGGATGGACCGTGAAAGTGCCGAGAAGGAACTTGAGGATATGGTGCAGTGTATTATCAAATATTTCTATCAGCCAGAAAAGTTTGGCTTTATTGCACGCACAAGCTAAGACAGTTTGTTGTAGTATGCAAAGCTGGAAATAATTTTGGCATTCCAATGATTTGTTATCACAGACGATCAAATTGACTTCCTGTTAAAACATACTGTATTTAAACTCCAAAACTGCCTTTGCTCCATGCTTTGTTTATGTCAAAATGAATTTTATCATTTCTAGAATAGGGCTAAATACTTACTTACACATACTGGTATTTCTACTGTATGGCTCAATATTTAAATGTATTTACTGTTAAATATTTACATATTTTTTTTGTTATATGATTACATATTTACACATGAATCCATTTGGTAAAATAGTTATTTTTTATCATTACAGGTATTTATAAATTACCTGTTCACTGTTACAGTTTAATATTTATTGGTATATACAAATGATTAAATAGTGTATCTGTATGTTTGAATGGTGAAAGGGTTACTAGACTTGTTAGTAAATACTAGTAGTATTTGGTCAGTTAGATTTTAACGTGGAAAAAGAAGATGCATTGGATTATAAATAAAGACCAGCATTTCTTTATATACAGATTTTTAGTTGCATAATTATTTGAACATTACAAAAATATGATAGAAAAAGGAGCAAGATTTCTTGATACATAAAACTAATGTCTTTTAAGGAGGATATTTTTAAATATGAAAAAGAGAAAACTGCTGGCTTGTGTCAGATTTGAGTTTAATGTATAGCCCAAGTATATTATTTAGAATCTCATTAACGCTGTATTACCGAGGATTTAGCACTCGCCATCCATTAATAATCAATGATTAACTCTATCCGGTGTCAAACGTCGCTACAGATATGTACACCTATATAAAAGTTTGGTTATGTACATCACATAGAGTATACAGGGAGAATGTTACCTCTATAATACGTTTTCTGTTCCTGGTCCATCCCATGTTCATCGGGTCTGTTTTTAAATGCATTTAAATGCTGAAATCACATCCTTTGGAAGACTTTTCCATAACTTTTCTACTTGTAGGGAAAAAAGTTTTTCCTTATTTCAATGTTTCAATTATGCATGTTAACTTATTTTATCAAATTGTGTAATAAAACAATGTAAATTGTTACATACAACTTTTTCCTTATGCACTGTTCTTTTGTTTGGTATCGGTGCTATTTTCTGGATTTTAAATCATAATTTTACGGCAAAGTTTTTAATTGAAAATAAAATCTTTATATTATGATTCAAATTGCATTAGATGTGTGAGTCATTGGCTTTGTCCGTTATCCTTGTTTACACTCGTAGCAAAATAGGAATAATATACATTTTTCAAATTACAGAAACAAATTGTATGATTTTGGCGGAGATTTAGGTCTGTGCCTATTGTTATCCAAGATTTAATCGCAGTCATGTTTATTACAAGTATTTGTATTTCAATTACAATATATATTTAGCCTCCTTTTGTAAAGGCTTGCAATGGGCATTTCAGTATCTAGTCCCCCAGTAGATGCTTGTCTCTGTTGGGGTTTTAACTCATTCGTCTTAGACAAGAAAACCTGCTATTGAGTATAAGCAATTATAATTGTGCTGAGCTTCTGATTTTAAAATAAATATATACCTTACAAGACGGTGTCCTGGTTAGATCATCCTTTATCAAATTATTTCAAGTAATATACATTTCATTTTTAAAGCGATTAATTATTGATCATTGTACAGTAATTTATTAAAGGTATTTCAGGAAGGTAAACTATGTTTTTAAACACCAGAAATACATACGTGTGCATTTTGAGCATGCAAAAACAATGTGCTATATTTTAATACTAAGGGAAAAAAGAGCATTCACGGTAATTAATCTTTTTATGGAGTTTGAAGTTAATCTATTAAAAAATTACTAGAGATATTCAGCAATTGACTAAAGGGGCATTACTAAGTAAATAAATTACTGTTGGATAATTATGGTTATCGAACTTGTCCGGAGCTTACTGCCTGTGAAGCTTGAAGTTAATTATCCATTGAAAATTACTCCAGCCATCGAGCGGACACTGTTTCAGCAATTGATCAAAGGGACATAACGCAGTCACTTACTGTTGGATGATGATGGTTATCGAACTTGTCAGAGCTTACTTGAGTGCTTATATTTTTCTTCTTTCAAAAATAAAATAAAAAAATCTTCGGTTGATTTAATGAAAAAAATAATTCCATTCTTCATCAGTATTGACAAATTTCTTTATTGCAATGAAAATATGTTTTTAAAAAGGTGATATCAATGATTGTTTCAAGGAGTTCAGTCTTTCAGTACTGGGTTTTCATGTTGATATAGTTTCGTTGATACGGCCACAACCAATCAGATTTTCCTGCTGTTTGGGAACAAATTTGCATTCCATACAAATAATGAACAAACCGTATTAACAAATGTATTAAAGCCAGCTACATTTTACTGGGAACGAATACAGAGCTTGCTTATCAATGCTCCATTTTTCATAGAATATAATTTGACCCGATACCAGATACTGTTCACTTCTGTGTTAGACCGTCTGCTGCTTAATTCATTCACCCCTGAAATTTCATAATAACTATTTCCAACCTTTTAATTGGAAAAGTTCAAATGTGTCTTAAGGGGTGAATGAGTTAACTTTTGGACTTCTAACCAACGTTTTTTAATGTGCAGAACCTCTCCGACCATCCGTTGGCTTGCTTTTTTATATTCGTTGCATCGGTGATATTATATGGCAGCTGGAATGTTACGTCTTTTAAGTTTGCGCTAATTTAATAGTTACTTACATCCTTTACCCTTTTTTTACGACTGGAGTGTTTCATATTTAGTGATAAATACTTGGAATGTTAAACAGAAATCCTTTCACTACTTAACATTGTAGAGTGACAGAGTAGGGAACCTAGGTTATTTTCGTGTTAGTGTTATTTCAACTGAGCCATAAATCTGTGAATTTAACATGATGGCGAACTCTACACACCAAAATATCAAAAAGCTGTAGATTTAACAAGATAACATGCCAACGTACGCATATGTTGTATACAATGTTTGATTTTTTTTATCAACATTTTATTAGATGTTATTCATTGTGATTTTTTTTGCTTGCTATAAATGAGACTTGATGGATATTAAATTGTGTGCTGGTTTCATTACGTCACTCAGTGTCATCTCTATTCAGCGTTTATAATACTATATACACGTGCATATTGTAATAAATTGTTTTAAAAAGTTCTCCTGAATTATGTTTTTCTAGTCATTGCTTGAAGTTGAACTATCAGTAACCGTTATTCTGTTTTGTACTCAAATATGTGGGTTAACGTTTTGCGGTTTATTCCGGGAGTAATTTTTCCGGGTTTCTGATTTTGTGCAACACCGTCAATAGTCAAAAGTGATAATTAACCATATATCATGAAGCAATGAGGAACATGACTAATGACGACTTGACTCATTGAAGAGCTCATGTACCAACGATTTGCAATCAGAAAAAAAACCCATTGCCGTTAGACGTTTCGGTAAATGATCAGCACCAGCACAAATGAGTAAACTTGCACTAACTGTGTCGATGGACGCTGGTAGTTTTATTAGAAACACTAGTAACAATAATGTCTGCTTGTCTGTTATCACATCCACAGAATACTGGTATAATCGTATGGATAAGTGTTTGATAAATAGTATGTGGACATCCACAGGTGATCCGCGGCCATTGTTATGTATTGGAAGGCTGTCTTCATCACTTGTAACATTAAGTGGAATATTGATTGTTTATTTTTTTCTTTCGTCAACGTTTAGCCGATTAGTTCGCTCTTTAAGAAATATTAAACCCGGTATACACAAGACGATCGTACCGAAGAGACACCAGCCTTCCCACGATGTACCTTAAAATAAATAAATACACATATGTTACTAAGAGACGGCTTGCATATAGTTATAAGGTGCCTTAAACAGAATGAAATCTGGGTTACATGTACTGCTATTTAGAATATTTAGAATATTCAGTAAGATTATTAACATTACCTGTTTATGGACTAAACGGTAAGGAAATTTGCCTGAATCGATGGCAGACAATCAAAAGGTAAATATAAAGCACGTTGTTTTGTACTGCAATTGAAGAGACGGTAACGATTTACTTGCCAATGAAAGATGTTTGTCGTTTCGCAAAGTAGAAGACTTGTCAAATTATGCTTGCCAATGTAGGATGTTGCTGCCTGATTCACAAGCAAATTGACATTAAGTCATATTAAACATCAATTTTCTGAATTGGGTAATTTCATGACATAGATGAAAACACTAACACTTACCAATACAAGGAGTTGGATAACAAAATAGAAATACTAGTATACTTGCCGATGTGAGGGATTGTCTGGATGGCCAAGAATGCCACGCTCACGAGGTTGTTGACTAGAGCGAGGACAAAGTTGGTAATGCCCTCTGCCACAGGATATGTTGTTTCGCAGGCCATCTCAAAGTACACTGGTGTGGTTGCAGTCAGCGTGGCGCCGCCTACCACGGTGGCTATGTGCATAGAAACTAAAAGAGAAAAACAGGCGCTTATCTGTCATTCATATACGCAATGAAAAGGATGAAAGTTGAAAACACAATGACAATGTAGAATGTGCAGCAATTGTCCAAACGATAAATGAGATGCAAGAAGAGATGAAAAAAAATGTATTCTTCATCGTTCACAAGTTAATTTGTAATTAATATGTGTGGGACACCATATTGTGAACTGTTGTCACCTTACCGAAAGAGTCTGGTAACAATCGGGAGAGAAGAAGGTTCATCCACAGAGCAAACGCTCCACTTGTCACGTACAGACCAAGTAGAATCAGCTTCTTACTCTTTGAGAACACGTCCGAACATCTATAACAAAATGCATGTACTGTGATAATGTGAAGAAAACGTCACCAGACTTAAAAAACAATAGGTGGCCACTTCTACAATATAACCAAAATGTCATTCTTAAGTTTAATGCTATAGGCCACTATTTATTTTCAATTCCATTTGAGACGGTTATGATGGAAAATGCTTAGATTATATCTATCCTCATATACTTTACATCCTGATCAATCAAATTCAAGCGTAATTGTCATATCTGTCTCTTTTACAGTATCCATGACATACATTGTAATCGTTGCGATGCTATGTGCCCTACATGGCTCGAGTTTAAGTTACATGATACTGTTAGAAGGAAGACAGACTTCTGGAATTCTTCCTCCGAACAATTCAAGTTAAGATATTTATGGACGCCAGTAACAGTAAAGAAAAAGCACTGTTCAAACATAAATGTTTATTTGTTATATTTCCAGTCCACCATCTTCAGATGGTGAGCTGTTTAATGTGCATATTTCATTTTGAAATTGATCGGAAAAAAACAGATGACATGTAATTTCTTAAATCATAGAATAAAACCTTAACAATGTGATAAATTCTAATTCGCCTTAAAAATATTGAAAATTGTATTTTGTGCGATTTCTGTAGTTGTACAATTTACCTACTTTGCCGCGACAAGAGACAAGAATATTCCACACACTACCGAATACAAGCCAATCAGACCGGCCTCGTTCTGAAAAAAATAATATTCGTCAAGTTTCGTTCGGTACCATGGCTTCCATTAAATCATCAATTTAAAAAAAAATCAAGCTACTATCTTTATCAACCGATTAAGTAACTTGATCTGAATACTCTGACAGTATAATATGGATGACTTACTTATATCGGAGATACATTATAGACAAAACTTTTAGATTACTATTATGATGACTAAGATGAGCAAACTTTACAACTATCATCTTATATACCCCGAAGTGTTAGAACTATTATCTGAAACACATTGGAAACTGAGAGGTGATTAACTACCTCTGATTAAATGTTAGGTTTGAGAATTAACCTCTCATATTGAGATAGTTAGGATGCCTTAGAAAGATGAACAGAAGGTCACACGCATATGATTTCACCAAAAAAATGGTAATAGGTAAAGTATACCAAATACTTTTGTTATTAATGACATCATTCTGCGATAATTTGAGATTCATTTACCTCTAAGATTCCATGAAAATTCATTATTCACAAAGATATACGGTGCAGAGATGATCTACCTCCAAGATAACGTGAGTTTTGAACTGATATCTATGATACCTTGAGGCTTTTGAGGATGAATTTCTGCGATTACGAGATTTACTTATTAACCTCCGAGATACCTTAGGTTTGGAAGGTGACATTTAAGATATTGTTACGTTTGACGTCTTACCTCTGAAATGCCGTGAGGTTTGAGGACCATCTCCAACACACCCGGCCACGCTCCCAGTATACCAACAGACAGGCCGTAAGAACAGGCGATTACCCAGAACACACCGTTCCTGGTAAATGAAACAAACGCACACCATAATTAAAGATATCAACATAATATATATTATATATCTGTGTGTATCACATAACAAACTAACTTAAATCATTGATAGGATTATATCACGTCGGTTATACAAACAGACGTACACCATTAAAGCATAATGGGACGGTGGCGCCCATTACGTATACCAGCACTTAGGATTATATGAGAGAGTTTTTTTTTTATACTGGGCATGCAAGCAAAAATAATGGTATTATATCATTGTTCAAATACCAATATTACTGGACTGACAAACAATTTATATTACGGTGCTACCTTGTATATCATTCTCAATGTGAACATTTACCTTAACAGTTTTTTGCAACCTTGCTTGAAGTTTAATCTCTCAGTGGATGCCGATATACTCGGAGGTATAGTTGGTTTGGCGGGAAAATAAACAAGTAAAAGTAGGAAAATAGCAACAGCCCAACCGCACTCTATAAAGCAAGAAAACATAAAAAAATAAAATATATATTTTGTATCTTATGAAAATGTTGTTGTTAAATATTCATTCATAACTTGTCATATCTTGAAAACAACTTCATGGAAACTTATGAAATTATTTGTTATTATGACTTTTAATTTGGCTCAGGACTGTAGGTGGGGATATATCATGTAAGTATCACCAATAACAGATCGGTCAAATAAAATTGTTGCATATTTTATGTATTATACATGTATTTACATATAAAAAAATGAAAGAATAAAGATGACAATCACTAAAAAAATATATATATTGCGCTAGTTTGTCCACCAATCTTGTGTAAATTGTGGCGTCACGTTACTTTTGTAGTGTGATAGCATGGCATGTAATTGTGACGTCACGTTACTTTTGTAGTGTGATAGCATGGCATGTAATTGTGACGTCACGTTACTTTTGTAGTGTGATAGCATGGCATGTAATTGTGACGTCACGTTACTTTTGTAGTGTGATAGCATGGCATGTAATTGTGACGTCACGTTACTTTTGTAGTGTGATAGCATGGCATGTAATTGTGACGTCACGTTACTTTTGTAGTGTGATAGCATGGCATGTAATTGTGACGTCACGTTACTTTTGTAGTGTGATAGCATGGCATGTAATTGTGACGTCACGTTACTTTTGTAGTGTGATAGCATGGCATGTAATTGTGACGTCACGTTACTTTTGTAGTGTGATAGCATGGCATGTAATTGTGACGTCACGATGAGGCCTGAGAATGGTGGAAACAGCTTGTGTTTCTAGTCGGTTATTAGATCTTATTTTGTACATAAATAAATATGTATAAATTAAACAGAGAGTAAAGAATGTGTATACTGTAAAATATAGGTGTAATTATACAGTATAAATGTATCAAATTGTTTGTAAATAAATATCAAATTGCATTTTACATAAAAATAGTACTTTTATTAAGAAGGATCAACGTACCTATATATAAAAGGTTCATTATTTGATTTCGCTTTTTCAGAACTGTTTCATCAGGAAAACTAGCTGAAATGAAACAAAAACGCTTATTAGGTCACTCCGTTTTATATCCATTCATCATTCAAACCAGTTCTGTTGTAAAGCAGGTTTTGCCCCTTGATTGGAATTCCCACTTATCTCTTGTTCCATGAAAACGTAACTATCCATATTGTTCATTATTATTTGAAGAAGAAGAAAACCATTTTATCCGCATATGTGTTAAGGATCTCTGTACCTCTGCCAAAAACTGTAACTATGTGTTTAGGATCTCCGTACCTCTGGCAAAAACTGTAACTATGTGTTAAGGATCTCCGTCCCTCTGGCAAAGACTGTAACTATGTGTTAAGGATCTCTGTACCTCTGCCAAAAACTGTAACTATGTGTTAAGGATCTCCGTACCTCTGGCACAAACGGTAAGTATGTGTTAAGGATCTCAGTACCTCTGGCAAAAACGGTAAGTATGTGTTAAGAATCTCCGTACCTCTGCCAAAATCGGTACCTATGTGTTAAGGATCTCCGTCCCTCTGGCAAAGACTGTAACTATGTGTTAAGGATCTCTGTACCTCTACCAAAAACTGTAACTATGTGTTTAGGATCTCCGTACCTCTGGCAAAAACGGTAACTATGTGTTAAGGATCTCCGTACCTCTGCCAAAAACTATAACTATGTGTTAAGGATCTCCGTACCTCTGGCAAAAACGGTAAGTATGTGTTAAGGATCTCCGTACCTCTGCCAAAAACGGTAACTATGCGTTCAGGATCTCCGTACCTCTGCCAAAAACGGTAACTATGTGTTAAGGAACTCCGTACCTCTGCCAAAAACGGAAACTATGCGTTCAGGATCTCCGTACCTCTGCCAAAAACGGTAACCATGTGTTAAGGATCTCCGTACCTCTGCCAAAAAGTATAACTATGTGTTAAGGATCTCCGTACCTCTGCAAAAAACGGTAACTATGTGTTAAGGATCTCCGTACCTTTGCCAAAAACGGTAACTATGTGTTAAGGATCACCGTACCTCTGCCAAAAACGGTAACTATGTGTTAAGGATCTCCGTACCTCTGCCAAAAACGGTAACTATGTGTTGAGGATCTCCGTACCTCTGCCAAAAACGGTAACTATGCAATGGGAAATTTCCCGATATCACTTTTACGTTGATAAATCATTTCTGAAAAGAAAGCCATATCTTGCAGGACTTTTATGAAAAACAAGTATATGAAATAAACAAAATATTATCAACAACAGTGTTCTAAGTGTAAAACTTGAACGGGGCTGGACCCGGATCCAGATTGTTACACTGTTGCTCTAACCACCTGGACTACCAGATATCGAAAACGAAATAAAGGAGAGGTCACTGTATACTTGTTTATAAACAAGAGGCGCAATTGGCCTGAATCGCTCAACTGGTATTAATCTCACATTTAAAAGTGGACTGAAATACAGCTACAGGGAAAATATCAGTGTTTGATTCAAAAGAATCTATTAAAAGATTGAAACATATATGACTCCTGTGAATTTGAAAGTCCAACAAGGACATTACGTTGAACATACTTTATAACCTTTCATTCCAGCATGCTTCTGGCCAGATACCATTACCCTGGACCTTTTGGTTATTCAAAGGGTTACTGAAAGATTTTAACACTTCTGACCCATGTGACTTTCAAAATGAGTGAAATTCATTCATTTGAACAAACTTGGTAGCCTTTCATCCCAGCATATTACAGGCCAAATAGCATCACCCCAGGCTTGTTTACTATTCAGAAGAAGTCATTTAAATATTTTAACATATTTGATCTCTGAGACCTTGAATATATGCAAAGGTAAATCATTTTAACAAACTTGGCAGCCCTTCCTCCCAGCATGCTACTGACCAAATATCATCCACCTATGCCTTGTGATTAATGAGAAGAAGTTGTTTTAAGTAAAAAGTTGACGACGGACGGACGGACGATGGACCACGGCATAAAAATAACAGAGACATTTTCTAGTGTTTTGCTTGCTGTGCTACAGGGATCATAAAAAAACCTTTAGATACACTGTGTACGGTCTTTATCCTATATTGTTATTGCATAGCATTTCTATTACTATCAACATTTAATTACTATTAGTGTAACCCAACATGTCGCCTGTGCGTTCTTAAATGACCTGAGCTGTTAACAGGACGCTTGGTTCGTTAATCGACGACAGACCGATATGAAAAAAGTTGATAAAACGTCAGAATAATTCGGACTAGGTACTAACGAACAATCCTAACGTTGCTTTCCAACTCATTGTAACATTTAAGATAATGAAGGTGATGTTGGAATACTCACATGCGTTTCCTAAGTTGGCTTCTGTTGTCGTGTTGAAGGTGTAATGTCCTGTATAACCTGTTGAACTATTTGAAATTGAAAAAAGAAATAATAAAGACCAAAAAGAATCTTTTGTCATAAAATATCTGCGTGAACAAATGCTTATAGGATCATCTGATTTGAATTGATAACTTACTATACCCTGCGATAAAGTTCTTTTTAAAATGTATTGAAATGATTATTTGCGACAATTGTCGATTGATTACAAAAACTTATATGATTAAAATGTAAATAACAAAATAGCGTGATTATATTGCTCTCCGTCTTTATAAATATACAAAGAACAAGGTCGTTTTCACAATTTGATTAAGATATGAAAGTAAAACTTCATTTTGTTATCGACACGGATATAAAACGATCTATTCCATTAAGCAAATCATATCATTAAAATCTGTTCTTATTTTGAAGTGTGAGGTTACACCATAGACTAGAGGAAACTTACTTTTTTTCGTCTGGTACCATGAATGGACCTAGGAATTAACAACATGATTATTGTAACAGTACATACTTTTGAAGGAAATACTTGAATAGTGGCCACCTATGGAACAATATGGACAAATCTCAACCCAAATGTACGAATGATAAATTCTTTAATTGCACAATTCGAGATGTGCCAATGGCTGACAACCCTCACAAGAGTGATCCTTAACCCGGGGGGTCGCTATTTTCCCATCCTGTGCCAAGGAGTGAAGGGTTCTTCTCTATAAAATCTCATATAAACTTTCCGTAAAACAATACTGCATACTAAGCGCACAACATGTGACATCATCTAATTATGAATGTTGATGTCATTGAACTGTTTTTAATGTGACGTCACAGAACAAAAGCTATGGTGTCTCATCTTAGACTGGAACATTCATTCCTCACTGCAAACAATGATAAATACAACTGTCCAGCGTAAAAGTAAATCTATTGATTATTGGAAATGTTTTCGGCGAAATGCTTGACAATACAAAATAGGGTCAAATATATGCACCACTTTACATCAATCAGACATTTTCTACACATTTCGGACGTAGTATCATCGATATTTACACTTTTCTTCTGTATTGCAAATATTCATTTAATAATGATTTATTTCTAGATTTATTTATTTATTTATTTATTTTGCCTTCTTGATCATCCTACGCTATAGGATCTTTTCATGGAATGTTCATATCGGGCTGTTATAGTTCAGTGTATCGAGTGTATTAAACACAAATGTTTAACATGTAACTTGGGAAGTCACTTTCACAGAACGATACATTTCCCTACTCTGCCTATATAGATATTGCCTTGTCTGTAATCACTATAGTATCAGTGGTCAACACGACAGGTCATTTGTGGTCCGACTATGTTCATGGTTGATTAAGAGAATGACATTCATTTAACTACTGTACTTCATTTTCTTTCAAATGATTCTTTACAAAATTGTTTGTATTAACGTATGGACGAACCATCCTACTTTTTTGCTATCTATTAACAACAGTTTTAACATAGACCTAGTATGATAAAACAACAAATTACTTTGTTATTTTTATCATCCCTGTTAACAAATTGTCAATAAAATGCACGATAATAGTTTGCTTTATCAAAATGTTTGTTTTTGTTTTCTGTGTCATTCATACACCAGAAGGTCAAGATAATATAAGCGACAGTTCAATAATTTGTATATGATAAAGCAATACTTTTAAGATATACTTGGATCGATATAAAGTATGAAATATTAATGTCAATTTCATTAATAATAATTTGGATCGATATTAAAATAAGAAATGTTTATGTTAATTTCACTTAAGCTCGTAAGTCTTGTGTTTAGATACGACACGCAGCAACAATGCATTGCATGTAAATCTACTTTACATATACAATGTGAAGCAAGAATAGAAAACAAATTAAATCATTAAACGATCAACAAAAGATGAACTTAAGATAGATGTGAACACATGTTTTATTCAGACTTCTGAAAATGTAAAAGATAAGTGGGTTTTACGTTCTCTCAAATGAAAATGCTATTTGAAAAATATGTTTACAGCTGATAAAGCCGCTCGCAAGCCACTTCAAAGTGTCATATCACTGGCATATCGTTACCTAGATACAGTGTTATAACACTCAACCAGTCACAACAAATAATGGGTTAACCAGAGGTGTCTCTATGTTTATTATCAAAATAAAGTAGTAGCAAAAGTGTAAAATATAACAATAAGGTCGCAAGTCTTGCAATGGGTGCAGCATATAAAAACTGCGGTAGCTCACATTCATGAATTGCTCAGAACACCCATCACAAACTGCCTCCCCCATCCCCTCCAACCCCATCACAAACTGCCTCCCCCATTCCTTCCAACCCCATCACAAATTGCCTCCCCCATCCCCTCCAACCCCATTGAAAAATTTAGGCCTCTTACACACTTGTGGATTGAGAATAAAAAAATGGGTTAAGATTGGTAGATACAATTTAGAGATAATAATAAGGATATCAGTGGAGAAATTGAATTTAAACGAAATAATACAAATAACATTGACATAAGCAGGTGGACGACCTGTTCAATTGATTTAGAAATACACACTATTCATTCGATTGCTTATTACATACCTGATATACAGAATTCTTTAATGTACCTGTCCTCAGTAATAACATAATGTTTCTCACCTATTACAAAAGATAAACCAACTCCCGCTAGGTTGGCAACCGTTGCTATGGCTGTTGAAATCGTCCTCTGATTTGCTGGAAACCACGCGGCAGACAAAACAGGCGGCACTCCCATGCTGACTGGTGTACCGATGCCGTTCAGAAACTGGCCTATACCTGCCGTTACCTTCACATACGGTGGCTGGTCCGTTATACATCTTAACCCAGCTCCAAGCATCATGACGAATGCGGTCAGCACACATGCCCATCGCAACCCTGTATTCATATTAACCATTAATGGTAACGTTTATGTTTTTTCTTTGGAAAATAATTCCACACCAATTATCCGAATCAGATATCACATAAGAAACATACACAAAATGAATGTACATCATTCTGGTAAATCTTTACCTGAACGTTTAGATTATGCTATTGTCAATTGACACAGACAATGTCATGATGCTTATTTTGTCAGACATTCTACAGTGGGGAAAATCAGACTATCCTATATAATCCATATTATTTTTATTTATTCTTCAGATTAGTGAAAGCAATTTACCTTTTTCATCGACGATCCACGAGAATAAAAACACAACCAATAGAAATGCTATAGGTCCGAAGTCCGTAAGGAGTGCAGTATCTCCATCATCCCATCCGAACGCCTCATGACTGGAATCAGCTATTGGTCCCCACGTATTCCAGAGCATTGCCTGGGTCAAGGTCAGCAGGCAATATACAAACAAGATGTACCATCTTCTCTTATACACATGAGTTTCCTCACATTTCTTGTCATGCAGGCTTTTCTCGTTTGTGATTTGTCCATTTTCTTTTTTAGATATTTTAAGAGAATCTTTGTCGGTACAGAAACCATTGTTGAAGTATCCGTTGTAATTTACGTGAGACTTCAGGCTTATTTGAGGGGATTCGTTGTTCTTTAAAGTAGAAACTGTAACTACGTAGGACCTGTGTGCTGATTCCATCGTCATTTTAAAGAAACTCTTCAACTGGTATTAACGATGAGTAATAATGAAATAAACAGAAAAATAATAATAACCCATGAAATATGCAGACATACACAAGATAAATTGACTTGGGAGGACACCAATAAATTATCAAAGGAAGCGGAACCTAGTTATATAGAAAAACATACGTAGATACACTCGTTCTTGACTATACACAGTTGATAATATTCACGACATTGCAAATGTCAAGTATCTAATCTATCATGATATCAAACAGCTTAAGGATAGATTAAAGAATAGGTTTGACCTCGTCCTGGTTTGTAGTGTGGGGTCATGATCACATTTCAGGATGCTGTTTATTGTAATCTTTATTACGGTTAAGTCTGGACTTGTTTGTCAACAATGAGGAAGGTGTATATGACTACTTTGTCGTTCGTACTCTGTGTCCCTTCCCTGACAGAATACAACATATCATATAATATCTTTTACATGTACACTAAACATCGTCGACGAAGTTGACAAAATAAAGTCAGTCTTTCGGAGCAGCCCGCTCCTTTTTCAAGGCATGAGAACAACAAAGAAGGGCTGACTACATTACGTAGCGATAGGATTAAACTCCAAACAGCGAAGCAACTATATAGCCATTAATATATATAATACGCATCGGGAAATTTTGTCTACAGTTTAATTTTTGACTTTTAAGGTAGACAAATTTCATTACAGCGAATATTTTAACGACATTATAAACACATAATTATTTAATGTGAAGGGCGAATTTAACGTACCGGTGAATGTCGAAAGTTTGACTGCGGCATATTCACCATGCAGTGTTTATATATATAAATACCCCATTGTCTACGGTTCTACTATATTTGTCAGCTGATAACACCGCCTTTGTTCTACATATCCTATCGGATAACTTGAGGTTAATGTAAAGTGTATCTGACATCTTCCAATTGTTTTATCATTATTTTGTTTACATTTATTGATTAAAGAGCTTTTAGACGTCTTGCTGCAAATCTGCTGATGTTGAACTACAAAATCCTGGTTTATAGCTAGAGGCAGACAAGGTGACTCTATTCCCCGATCTTCGTTGTGATTTCCTCGAACTTTTACATATGTTCATTTAAGTAAATTTTACACAGTAAATTGTATGTAATTACCATGCAATGTATATAAACTATAATAAGATGTGATTATATACAATGTAGCAAGGATATGTCTACAATTAACCCGATTACATTTCGCAAATAAGCAACCTTTTTAAAGGGACTGTACATGTCATACCAACGCTGTTCAATGATCATGGTTACCAGTTCTGGGAGCATTTTCACGTCAAACACATTAATTATTCAGCATATACAACGTAGTTCAAAGTTCAAGTGTTTGTATCGTACATGCTTGTTTAATTATGAGACCAGCAACTGTACATGAAGAGTCAGTGGTATCTAACGGTTCAATTATGACGTCATAATAATGATGACATCAATGCGTGGAATTTCCAGTCTTTATCAAATCCGAACTTGGCAGGGTTATAAAGGGTGCATGACCATAGAGTGATACAATGTTGGTACTGTTTATGTACATAATTATGCACTTGTTTTCAAAAACTCGATAACGCAAATATTCTAAAACATATTTTTACTTCAGTTTGAAAAATACTACAGTAGTTATTTTTCAGTTTGGCAATTGCATTGAGCACATTCATATTATATAGAACGTTTTGGTCATCACGATCCAATTTCCAACTTCGTAAGTTAAGTGTTTAATATGACAAATAACATGTTTACTATATAATTCATACATAGTTTTGACAGGATACATCTTCACGGAGCAAAATTGGTGCGTGCAAGTTTTGTTCTTTTCGATTATCTGTTTTCGACACAGGATTTTCCTGTCAATCTCATAATGTTTTGGCATCTTATCAAAACATGTTATTGTGTTATTAAGACTTTGAATTCTTATTTTGTCCTTGTATGTATAAACTATGTATGGTATTTGTTCATACTCTATCTTTGATATTTTTCTTTTCTACTTTGGCAATGAATGTGTTCAATGACAAGTTTTGTCTGTCCTGGTAATCAGGGTTAACCATAGAGTTCTTGTTTAAATAGAATACTATTTTCTTGCTTACATCACCGTACAATTGGAAACAAAATATCTTTAATACAAAGCAAGATATCACGTTTTGATATTTTCATATTGTTTTACGATGTAATCAATATATATATATATATAATAATAAATGGCATACACTATTAACTATATACGTACCTGTTTGATTATCAAACGTGTTGTCCAACCATCCGAAATAGAATTTAGCAACGCATATCTCTTTTAGTTTCACTGAACCTTGTTGAATGTAATTTGTGGAAGTCATACATTTGATTGAATGGCGTGATCCGTGTCACAAATACAGGTGAAAAGAGGCCAGGAACCGAAATAGAAAAAGGTAAATGCTTTAGTGTCCTAGGTGTAAGAAGACAATGTGCTAGAATCGCCAACAGCTCTCTGTGTATCCTGCCTTAGATTATAAAACTATCCGGATAAGGCCAGCGTCACCTGGTCTTGAACCTCCAATCTGACTTTGTTTGACATGCTATCTAAATCCACTTAATGTTATGATAGGACATTACTACTTTGTGATCAAAGTCTGTGGCCTTGAGCAAGTATGCATATGCTTACGCTGTAAAATACTTATATAAGGGAGAAACATGTCTGGTTTGGTTTGATTTGTTTGCTCTTTACGTCATATAAACAGATATGGTCATTTCAGGACGAGCTAGAGTCTGGTGATGGAGGAAACAAGGACTACCCAGAGAAAAGCAACCCACCTGCAACTAGTTCCTGCCCAACGTACATAGGTTTTGAACCCGCGATCCAGTGGTGAAGGGCTAGTGATTGTAGACGGTCAGATGCATTGACCACTCCGCCATCACGGCCTACACAGCATTTCTTTTAAGAATATATTTGAGGAACATATCAGAACTAGGATATTTTCTTATGTAACGCACTTAACACGATTGGAAACACTTTATTCCCTTTAATTCGGACTTGCTTATAATTCATAGTTCTGAAATTGTTTTATGTGGATGCTAGCATGCTACGCCATCAATATGAACGATATATGAACATATAAGAGTATTCAATTTCCATGGCACATATAAACGGGATACTCAATATGTATTGATTATAAGCGGGAAACTCGGTTATAACGACATATCAGCGTGGTACTTGATATTTAGGACATTTGCAGAATACTCGCTAAAACACTGTATTTTATTAAAGAAGTTCGATTGTATTTGACAGAGCAACAATAAAACATTCGGTATTATTTCAAAGAATAACAGAAAACTATCCGTCAATTATTATTGATTTAATACAATACGCTGAAGCAGACGTTGCATTTCATATATCACGCAGCTGTTTGTCGCTTTGTTATCTGTGTGTCGCCTTCTTATGGTATTATCTGTGTGTCGCCTTGTTAATGTGTTATCTGTTCGTCGCCTTGTTATGGTAGTATCTGTTTTCGCCTCGTAATTGTGTTATCTGTTTGACCTTGGTAATTGTATCATCTGTTTGTCGCCATGTTATTGTATTATCTGTTTGTCGCCTTGTTGTGGTATTGTCTGTGTGTCGCCATGTTATGCTATTATCTGTGTGTCGCCTTGTTATGCTATTTTCTGTGTGTCGCCTTGCTATGGTATTATCTGTGTGTCGCCTTGTTAATGTGTTATTTGTTCGTCGCCTTGTTATGGTAGTATCTGTTTTTGCCTCGTAATTGTGTTATCTGTTTGACCTTGATAATTGAATTATCTGTTTGACGCCTTGTTATGGTATTATCTGTCTGTCCCCTTGTAATGGTGTTATCTGTCTGTCCCCTTGTTATGGTATTATCTGTCTGTCCCCTTGTTATGGTATTATCTGTCTGTCCCCTTGTTATGGTATTATTTGTCTGTCCCCTTGTTATGGTGATATCTGTTGTTCGCCTTGTTATTGTATTATCTGTTCGTCGCCTTGTTATGGTATTATCTGTCTGTTCTCTTGTTATGGTGTTATCTGTTAGTCGCCTTGTTATTGTATTATCTGTTCGTCTCCATGTTATGGTGTTATCTGTCTGTCCCCTTGTTATGGTGTTATCTGTTTGTCGCCTTGTTATGGTGTTATCTGTTCGTCTCCTTGTTATGGTGTTATCTGTTCGTCGCCTTGTTATTGTATTATCTGTTTGTCGCCTTGTTATGGTGTTATCTGTCTGTCCCCTTGTTATGGTGTTATCTGTTCGTCGCCTTGTTATGGTGTTATCTGTTTGTCCCCTTGTTATTGTGTTATCTGTTTGTCGCCTTAATATGGTGTTATCTGTTTTTCGCCTTGTTCTTTTGTTATCTGTTCGTCGTTTTGTTATCTGTTTGTTCTCTTGTTACGGTGTTATCTGTGTGTCCTTGATAATTGAATTATCTGTTTGACGCCTTGTTATGGTATTATCTGTTTGTCCCCTTGTTATTGTGTTATCTGTTTGTCGCCTTAATATGGTGTTATCTGTTTTTCGCCTTGTTCTTTTGTTATCTGTTCGTCGTTTTGTTATCTGTTTGTTCTCTTGTTACGGTGTTATCTGTGTGTCCTCTTTTTATGGTGTTTTCCGTTTGTCGTCTTGTTATGGTGTTATCTGTTCGTCGTCTTGTGATGTTGTTATCTTTTTGTCCTCTTGCTCTTGTTGTATCTGTTTACCGCCATGGTCATCATTTCGACTTCCTTCGTCCATGTTGAGACGATTGTAGGTGTCGTGCATGGACAGTAATACAGGAATTGACACTACAATTGAGCCGAGAAGAACCCAGTTTTCCCATATCGTACCTGTAATATAACATGTAATTATTTTTTTTCAACAATCATTACTTAACTTTTCCTGGACTGTCCTTTGATTTAAGGTGTTCAAGAAGGCTTGTAATCTATTGCGCTATTCTAAATGCCGTTCGACTCCTGCTGAACAGAGGCGAAACTAAGTATACTGTACTCATGAATGAGTTCCCAGACCACATCTAACTGACTCTTGTCAAATCTGCTATTTCAGTCACCATTTAATTTAATAAATACTTGTTAAAAATGACGTTAGTGACTTCTAACATAAGATAACTAACAAAAATGCTATACTCAATGCAAGGCTCTGCCTGATGAGGTCTCTTTTCTACCGCATTAAATACTTTTCATATTGTCATTTCAAAAATCAGGAATAGTTTTAACGAAAAATATTGTTTCATTAATTTATGCTGAAAATAAGTATATAGACTAAGACTTATATAAATGCAAGGAGGATATCAGCCTGTTCATGTCACACATAACAAAACGGAACCCCCACCCCACCCACCCACCCTCATGGTATAAGATTACACCTGCAAGTTAATTACTGATATGTTAAATACAAGTATTATTACAATATTTGCATGTCTGTGTATATATGAAATATACTTTAAAGTTACTAAAATGCAACATTCAAACTGTAATATAAATTCGAATGTTTCCTTATTTCAGGTATTCGTTCACATCAATATCTTACCTATGTTAGGTACCATCTGAATGGCGAGAAATATCAGGCCCGCGATGTTGAAGAGTAAGGTGAGTGCAAAGTTGGTGATGCCCTCGGCGACTGGATAGGCATTTTCACATGCCATCTCAAAGAACAATGGCGGAGAGGCGTTCACACACAGAGTGCCAATGATGATGGAAGCGTAAATCTGGACTGAAGAAATGAAATCGAGGTTAGAGTGCATAAAGGCTATGACACGTTTTAGCCACCCAAGGTCCTGCCCCTTTTCTATTGTATAAATGACTTGAAACGTTATTTTCCAGTTTATTTATTTTGGTTATTTTCTAGATATACAGGTTAACAAAGGCAACTAAAGTTTGACTGACTTTTTCAAGGATCAGTACATTTGAAAATTACTTCCAGCAATGTTGCAAAAATACATTAACAGAACAATATAATCTTTTTGCTGGAGACACAAAAACCAACAACAGAATACCGAAGTGTTAACAAATCACAGCTCGAACTCACAATCGATAAAACGAGGGCAAGGCATAAACAGATTTACAATTACATTAACTTTAAAAAGTACATAGAGAAAACGATCAGGTGTTCCGAAGGGTAAGCGTTTGCTGTTTCATCGATGGCACTCGTCATTTTAATCTAAGTCGAATCTAAGTAATGTCACGTCCTCACATTCGGCCAGTGACAACAAAACCGCAAGGCACTCTAATGAGCATAATAAAAACAATGACCTTTACATCACACAGATAAATAGCATATTCTCTTCGAGATCCTGAAGGCGACTATAAAACCATACAAAACAGAGCATTTGGACGCCCTACATTCATAGTGCAATATCAGGTCTTTGAAATCAGATAAATAATTAATTATTATAGAATGATAGATATTCATTTGTGTCAGCAAGGTAACATGTTAAGAGACTGCAGCTTGTTTTGTTGTTCATGTTAACTACTACACACAAAAGAAAACAGAAAATAGAATTGTTGTTAAATGGTCATTTATTAATTACAGTACGTACAACATTGTGACACTACAAGTTCACAATGTGCATTATTAAATACTTGTTATGATAATACATAGATCAGAAGTACATTTACTTCTGGGTATATGTAACAACAAAGGTGGGGTACAAAAGATAGACACCTATGAGGAGCGCAAGATACATACATGGATAAATTCATGATATGTAGAAAGATGCACCTCATCTTAATTTTGTAATGTAAATTTACTTACCTAGAGAATTATCTATAATCCCATTCAGTATGAGATTCAACCAAAGGAAGGCCGCTGTTGCTACGATATACAGTCCTATAAGAAACAGCCTCATATGTTTGGAAAAGACGTCAGCAAATCTGTCAAGTATATAAGAAACAGTTCTTTCTGTTTTAGATTTAGAAAGTTAACACCAAACTGCCAGTAACTGAAACTGCTTTGATTTATCATGTCAACGTCTAAAGGAAAACTGATATATTCTTGTTCATATGAAATAAAACTGACATATCCTAGTTAATAACTTGGTCAAGATATTTGTTAAAGTTCTGTATATATGGCTTTTTACGACATTCTTTTATTTTCGTGGTAATAAATATCCGCAACGTAAAGACGACAGAATGCATTTTTATTCACGTGACACTGCAGACTTAACAATATCAAATCAGAAAATCACTACTATGCAAGTTTTTTTTTTTCTCATAAACAAGAAAAAAAATACCGCCATTGATTAGAGTTGTATCCAGCACTTCTGAACTGATTTTACTACTGTCTTTCTCCTATCTCAACCATACTAGGAAATCAAAAAAAAAAATCATACTAATTCAATATTATTATTAGCCAAGATATCCTATATCGATCATACTTATCAAACAAACACAACTACTTAAGCAACAATACCTACTTGCCAAATGCTATTGCTCCAATATTACCGGCGATTATGGAATAGAATCCTATCCAGCCTGCTTCAGTCTAGGAACATATCAAATGAATTTTTGTTTAATTATCATAAGCAAATTCATGTTGCTATGTTTTATTGATATCAATAATGTTGAATTTATTATGTACAAAAAGGTATAATATCAGTTTATGATTACAAAGCAGGCTTTCATTGAGTGTATCTTTTTGACTCCCATAAATTAGCTTTAACTCTTCGGTTTGTAAGAAAATGTCTATTTGACATATGTTTGATTTTCCAAATTCAAGAAAAAAGTTTTTCACTTCTGAAATTGCTGAATGCCAGGAATAAGCTAAAAGCCCTGCAAAGAATACCTTCACGATATTCAGATAGAATTACCAGTTACAGTACATTGCATTGAAACGACAAGTAACGAATAAATTAAAAGCAATTTCATGTATTGTTAATAATGAAGCAAATTTACACACAAACATACATGTAAACTCCTTCATTTTGATAGCTATGCTTTGGTAATGGTAATCTATAATGTCTTGCAAATTGATTAACCCATAACTAGCGATTGAGGGTTATTCATCAGCGATGAATAACTTTCAACCTCGACAATATTTATACGGGGTTTGCTCTCAAATGTCGAGTTATAACATATTTTTTAAAACCTTAACTAGCTCAAGTACACGTAGGTAATCGCAAATATTTAATTGGCTTTTTTTAGATGACATTTGCATTATATATAAAGAGCATAACAACATTGTCTAGATATAAGAAATTAAAACGTGAAATTATATAGTTTTATATCAACATTGTGTTTAAAAAAGTGTTAAGTATGATAATTAGACTTAAAAAACTAAGTCGTTATGAAGTCTTACCTGTGATACTCCATGGGGTTTTAGGTTGACGTCCAGCACTCCTTCCCACATACCAAGCACACCTGTGGATACTCCGTACGTCAATCCTACCATCCAGAACATCTTGTTCCTAAAATAAACATTATGAGATATGCACAGAACACACAGAACAAGTACCCGAACGAGGAAATGAATATGCTGATTACCGGAAAATTTTCGCCCAATCAAATTTACACTCCTCGATGATAAAGTTTCATTTTCGCCCGAAATGAAATTCGACCTTCATATTTAATTACGATGTATATTAAATTGTTTACAAGTGTTGGCTGTTTTAATAAATTCGCCCTCATTACGGAGTCCGATAAAAAAGCGAAAAGGGCGAAAATTAAACTAAAGTGAACATTTCCCCGTATACAGCAATTACGTACAGTTAGAACCATTTTAAATATGAACGATAAATTCTGCAAAAGCATTTCTTGTCTTTATATCGTCAAACCGGATAAGAATGACATTAACGTTGCATTTGTGAGAGGTTCCTTATAATCAAACAGTAATCCATAATTTTGATAAAAGCGAGTTATTTTATATCGTTACAAAAATATTTACCTTATTAACTTTCGAAATCCTGACTTGAAGTCAAGGCGCTCTACCGATGCCGATATGCTAGGTGGTAATTTGGGTTTTGCAGGAAAATACAAAAGTACCAACAGGAAAACGAAAACACACCAGCTGCACTCTAAGGATGTAAAATGTCCATCACATTATGTAATATACGCACCTGGCACACATTTAAGTCTAGGGACGGTACAAGAATATATATACTGTATGTTATATATAAAAATCAAGCTCAGTCTGCATTACATGAGTGAATATGTTACAAAACAACTGGCGTACTGTAGGAACGAACATGAATAAACGTTATTTAAAGGTACATGATTTCAAAATATATAGAAAGTTTGAACTGCATATATCAAATAAACTTAATGGTGTAAACATCAAAGCGATTATAATCAGGAAAAGATCAATTTCATTCTTTTTTATTGATATTTCATTTATTATATCAAGTTTTCTCCTATTCCCGTTCATATACTACAAAACTGTTCAAGGCAAGGAAGAAGTGTAAGGCATTTCTATCTTGCACCTAATTTTACTCAGTTTTACTCGCAACGGACAGCAATGAAGTGACTCACAAACTCAGAAACATTCCAATTCCTCGTTGTAGAAATTGCGACAAAATTTTAGCAGTATCTGAGTTAATTGTGGTAATTTGAATGAGAGAAAATACTCCATAATGCCCAGGTAAGTACGAAAGGGAAGTTTCATACTCATGATTTTCATACTGGATTGAAGTCTCTACCCTACGCCTCTGGGAATGAAATAGAATCATTTTTAAGATGACAATTCTTTTTAACTGTTAACAGAAATAGTCACGATTTTAGCGTGGATATTTAAGCTTGAAAAGAAAGACGTCTCTGTCAGTATAATATGTATATACATCACCGACATGTCTTGTAATGGAGAACTAGAACTCACCGATATACATCAATATCATTATGTCGTGTCTGATTCTGTGGAGTTCAGCATCATCTAAAGAACAGGTTTAATAAACAGTGTTTTTTTTATTAGATTTAGAGTCCACTACACAATACTATATGCCGGGAAATTTTCCCCAGTTTAACTTTCGCCTTTTTCGCCCTACCAGCGTAAATAAGAAATATTGGTCTATCATTACAAATTTCACGTAAAGCACCATCATAAAACATCAAACATATGTTATATGGATTGTATATTGGATTGCGCTGTAGCATTTTCAACATCACCCTTAAGAAAGTTCTTCTTTTTTTAAAAACAACAAAAATTATCAATCAGATATAAGTAATTCTTATTCTACAATTACTCTACATTCATTAATACAAATGCGACTTGTAATTCCATAATAATTTTCTATGATTAACAAATTCTTAATATTCATGTAATTGCTTTTCGTATATGTATACATATATACCTAAATTATTATTATTGACCCTTTTAAGCCCAAGTATTTATTTACCATTGCCATCAATGCTTGTGAGGTTTTCTAGCATTCCTGTCACATTGTTTTCCCTGTTGAAACAACAGTTGAACAAAAACATTTGAAAATCTTGCGAAATATATGCCGTTGTATCGAAGTGGAAATAATATCATCAACAAGCAATATCCAAGTCTAGAATTGTTATTTTGTTCTGACATTTTTTCTTTTCATTTTTGAGATATTGGTTTCATTATTCCCAATGGTTAATAAGGCTTCTTATTAATAAACTGTTTGATTCCATACTGAACATTGCTCGGTCATATACCGTGTTTGGTTGTGAAGCGTGGAACCCTCCTGTGATTCTGGTACCATATAAGGCCCTACAAATAAGACCGCAATAATCAAACATGATGGCAGACTATTTTATGTTCAATAAGTGCAAAGAGAAGCCCAAGTACTCTCACTCTATTTTTTACGGCCCGCGTCGTCTGTCAAAGTATCACTGTATTGACAGAGACAACAATGGGAGACAACTGATACACCACCGTCAAATAGTGAATGTATTTTCACTTGAAAAGAATCTAGTTATAATTGTTTGGTTCATATTACGGCCTTTCTGCCTTTCAGCAGACAAGAATTGTTTTGTCCTTCATTTGGTTTCATGTCTTGTATAAATTTGAGTTCTTCTTTCGCCCTATAGTGATCAAGCTATATATAAATAATCATTATTTGGATATTACTCGGTATTTCCACCTGTCATGTTTTACTTACCTAAAAGGTAGGATACTGCCACACCTAGGTAATTAAAGGCGGTTGCTGTGGCTGTTGCTGTTGTCCTTTGATGCGGTGGAAACCAAGCCACTGATAACACAGGCGCTATCCCCATGGCAACTGGTCCGCCCAATCCGTTAAAGAATTGACCAATATTGACTGTCCTATAAGCATCAATATAACTTTATTTAATTTTTCTCTGAAACTTGAAACATAGTTTTTTTGTCGTAATTTAATATATTCTTGAGTGTTTGTCAGATTTTGAACCTTTGTGTGCACTTGTTAACATTAAAAGCAATTTGTGTTAGACACTCAAGCGGAAACGTGAAATAATATATCATTATTGCTTACCTTGAGTCAGTAAAATCATCCTTGTATCAGTATCATGTTATATAGGAAATATACATTTGGAAGTCATCTCTGGCATATGGAAAGTTCTTTCTTGGCATCAAAAAGGTAAATTTTCTTTGATAAAATGATGAACAAGTATTATAAGACAGACAATTTGTTCTTTACGAGAAATGAAGTGATCGGTTTACAAGCTGTATCATCTGCAAAATGAAAAATCTAATACCGTTCAAACTAGGTTACAACAACATTACTGACAGGTCAGCGAGGTGGGCACCGTCGCGTGCCTCAATGTTCATCCCCCATTATCATTTAGCAGAGGCTACAGTGATTATCTAGGATTTTGAAGCTTAGATAAAATATTGAAGCAAGAACCATTAACTACGAAACATGAACAAAATCGTACCGATAGAACATACAGTAATTTATGCCACAGCCATTCAGAAGTGACGGACTGTGACCGTATTAGGTTTCGCGGGTCTGGGTACTATGTCGTCATAATGTATCATAACATATATAAGACATCCATATAATGCAACCAAACCAAAATGAGCACTGGTTGTCAGAAGCAATATAATGTATTTTGATAGCTTATCCCTTTCGTCATATTGATAGTAATTAAGTGCCCTTAACTTTCGCAGCCTCTTAGACCCATCTTATGTAGCTATTATAATAGTGTTTCACTATGTGATAATCCCCGATAATTAGGACAAACAGACAGACGGGAGGATAAAATTACTAACATGTAGCCGCATTTCAGATGCTGGTCTTAAATAATGAATGTCCTCATTTTTATTGGTGATATATAACGATATTTGAAGACTTGATAATGATATACTATTGTCTTCCAAACGAATGTAAAAAACTTACCAAGTGACATATGGCGGCTCTGATGTGATGCACCTGACCCCTGACCCAACAGCTATCAAAGCAGCTGCTATTAAACACGCCCATCTGATACCTATAAACAGAATGCATTCATTTACAATCGGGATCTGAACGAAAACCTTACAAAATCGGTAAAATGTGTTTGATTTCGCGAGATAAATGTTGCAGCGTTGATAGGCATAGATTATTGATCACGAATTAACATATTTCATAGACAATGTTGTCATAAACATCCAAACTAAAGATAAGATCATCTTAATGATATATTTGCAAATTCAAATTCTGGCGAATGAGTTGTTAAAAAAAATCACCAGACAATTATTCGCATAAAAATAATGATATACATTAACTTTACATAAAATGGTAACGGGTCATAAAAATGTCATTTACCTTTCACATCAACAATCCAGGAGAAGACAAACGACGACAGGACGAAAGAGATCGGTAGCCAGTTCGGCAGGAGTGCCATAATGGAGACATCCCAGCCAAAGGCTTTCTCGCATGAGGATGCTATTGGTCCCCAAGTGTTCCATATTGTAGTCTCCGTGCATGTCAGCACACAGAACAACGCGAGCACATACCAACGCCGTTTATATACTTTACTTTCACCTTTTGGTTCGTTTTTATCTGTTTCGTTAAAATCTATGTCCGAATTCCGTTCGTATATTTTTTCTTTTTTTCCATCAATGTTCTCATCATCAGACACTATGTATGCCAAATTTCTTTCTCCAGAATCTTTATCGGTCATTTCCATTTTATCCAGCTTATGAAGAATCCTTACAGTATTAAAACATAATTGTTTCGCTGACATTCGTATACAATATTAATAATCCCAGACGTCATGTTAGAAAATAATTCAATATGGCTCTTAAGAATTTACTGTATTGACATATAGCAATATAACCGTTTAGAAGATAAAACTGTATCTGAATATTTTATCTGTCCACGACAAGGATGTCGTTAGTCGTCAGTTCAAATATATATGTACCTCCCAACAGGGATACGACACCCTGTCTTACGTACCAGTTATCCGGTTGTACTTGGAGCCATAAACACGCGCCAGACAAACCGAACAATCTACACGCAACACGAGGTCACATGGATAAATAAACATAATCTTGTTTCCAAAACCTATTTCAACAATTATGTATTGCTTTATATTATAATGTTAATGCAAAAGAAAAAAATGCAACATGTAAAACTGAAATATCAAATGTTTTCAGATATCATGTAATCCGCTCCCAGCTATAGCTGTGCTATGATTAATAATAGTTTTTTTATCAGTAATATGATAAAATCATACATATTTATAACACAATAATTCCACGGAAGTGGATGTGTCGTCTGCGCAGGAAGCTGGGAGATTACGAAGAAATAGATACACTTTTCAAGAAATAATGTTAAAAGTAAGCGATAATCATAGATTATGTTTTTGGATGGCATCATTTTGTTACATAATCTGTTATTCTGACTCTCAATTCTCATTGTCTCAATTCCAAGTTTAATTTGTATTTTGTCGGATGATTTCCCATAAATAAATGAATAAACTTTTGGATTATGATGTTAAACAGCTAATGTTGTCAATAACATTTGGAGTAAGACAGCATTTCAGAGGTATACACGGTGGGTCAAGTGGTAGATCGAAGCCGTCCAGTACACAGTTTTAGTGAAGTTTCTATTCATAGTAACAGTGACCTTGACCTTTGACCTTCGGACCTGAAAAGCAATCCAAAGCAAGTACTTTTGCTAAGGAAGCACTGCATGAAGTTTGAGTTTGACCGGCCAAAGGAAACTCAAGTTATCGCACGAAAACAGATTTTCTATTTATAGTAACAGTGACCGTGACCTTTGACCTTCGGACCTGAAAAGCAATCCCAAGCAAGCACTTTTAGTAAGGAAGCACTGCATGAAGTTTGAGTTTGATCGGCTCTAGGAAACTCAAGTTATCGCACGAAAACCTCTGTTCGGACGCCGCCGCCGCCGACATAACAATATCTATGTGTCACCAGCTTTTCGCAGTCGACACAAAAAAAGAGAGAAAAAACAACAAGCTGTGTACATTTTTAATTATGTTTTATTTAACCAATTTATTAAGTAATCGCAATTTCTTTTTCTCCTATGACATAAACAAATATATATATACATACAATGTACATGGACGTCTAGAATCGCCTTTAAATAATGTACATACTGTTCAAAATATTCGAACACGTATCAGTATTCGTCATACATATATATTACCAAATACTTCTTTGACCCATATATTAACAAATATATATAATTTCATATTTTTGATATAAAAAAAAACTTCCGGATATTCTTGTCCGTACTATATTCTAATTATCATTACAATCTGATTTCCGGTTTGAGTCACGGTTTGAATACATAAATATTTAATTATTAAAGATATTTTAATTCTTCAAAGTTAACTCAATTGTTTTGTCTGATACAGTTTCATCAATATTTAGTCTATTATAGCTGTCATTCATTAAAATCAACACTGGTATACACACAACAATTGAAGTCAGAACACCCCAGTTCTCCCACGCTGTCCCTGAAACATACATATAAGATACAATAAACATTTTCATTTGGAAAAAAATGCATTTTAATTGTTCAGGATTAACGGTTTTGCGGAAATCCCTGCCTGTGCGATATATATATTTGGCAAAGCGTGTCTTTATATTCACGCGTTCGAATTTACATTAGGGTCTTACACTACCTTCAGTTTAAATGTGTTGTATTTTTATTTTGACCATTAATTGCATATCAATGTGATTATTATGTAATTGCAATAAATAGCCAAAACAACTTATTCTACTAAAATACACACTTAAGCACATTATACATTGCAAACTATGCCATATATATGCTTATCTATAATTAGTAAACGCAAAATTTGGAACTTTCCCAAAAACCTAAATTTGTTACAGCATTTAACAAATTCAGATAGTAAAAAGGAACGCATAACTATGACTTCCAACACTACATGTCGACTGCTAAAAGACAAAGATGCAGATTGATGGAAACTATGTAAACGTTTTTAAGCCGCTATCATGATCTTATTGGGAAATATACCATTTATAAATATGAAAGTCGATGGTTTTGATTTTGTTCATAAGTGTGCTTTGTGATTTGTTTGTCACTATCTGAGTTCTTGATGTTGAAACGTGGCTTACTTTAATTTGACCTAGATTTACATGGTGGGTGTTGTCGTTAAAGCAGAAGACTATCACCCACTCGGTCTGATTCTCCTTGTCTCTTTTCCCTGGGTCCCCATGTAAATCTTTCCTTTGTTTATAATATTTTATTTCCCCCAACTTTATCATTTTGATATTTTCAAAACGCTTTTGATATTGAATATGATAACTTCAATATAACTAACCTATGTTTGGTATCATCTGTACACCAAGAAACAGTAGCCCCGAGACGTTTAGAGATGTCAGCATCATGATAGTGGTTATTCCTTCTGCTACAGGGTAGGTATTCTCACAGGCCATTTCAATCAACAAAGGCACACAGGCATTCACAAAGAAGGTCCCAGCTACGATAGAGATGTATATCTGGGCTGGCAAATATAGAGCTTTTCAAGTAAGTCAATAATATCTTTTTAAGATACAATCTCAAATAATGAATGAAGTATCTTCCAAATATTTATTCAGACGCCTTTGATAAAGAAATCTGCGAATGTCTTATTCTTTGTTTCAAATCCTTCCAAAACGCGAAAAAACAGCATGTACGTTTCATGAATTTTCTAAAATTTAGGATAACTTTCTTTTTGAACTATAGTAAACAAATATAATCCACAATGTATATACTTAGAATATTTACACAAGGTTGTCAGTATATGAATTCCAGGGAAGAAATTTATCATCTCAATCATATATTATATCAGTTACATTCCACATACACGCCTAGTCAACGGACTGATTTATACAATTATTCGGATTAACTGAAAGTTCGTTTTACACAGGTCATACTTTACTAACTACAAGCAATTCTAAACATATCATTATCTGCAGATAGTTTGCTTAAAAAAAAGACTTGTCTACTTGTTATGGTTCAGACAAAAATGTTTATATTTACCTATTGAACTAGGAATGACTCCAACCAAAGTTAGATTAAGCCACAGAAAACTCGCGAACGCCAAAGAATATAGAAATATTATCATCTGTCTGATGTGTTTGGAAAACCTATCCGAGATCCTGAAAAAACAAAAATACAAAATCTGCTGTTTCAGTATGTCCAGACAAATCGCTTGATGGACAAAGAAGCTACCTTTGATGAAATGTTTTAAAAGAGATGCATCTCCAACCCGTTTAAAAATGAAAACCACGTGAACGAAATATTTATACAACACAACGTTTTACAAATTGGAATGCGGACACTCAGATAATAGTTTACTGAAGAGGAAAATGTACAACTAATAGAAAACATTAATCACATATGAAACGAAAACATCATCAATGGTAAATCCTTGGTATCTTTTAAAAGTGTATCATTATACTTAATAATGCATTTTTGTATGTTGATAAATACTGTCAATATATTAAAAAGATAAATAGAAGTTAAAAAATATTAACGGAACTGTTGATCTTTTACAATAGAGTCACTATAACAGGTTTATCCACCTCGCTATAAGAAGAGAGCCTAAACATCCGGCAACGATGGAGTTAAAACCGATCCAACCAGCCTGTGCCTGTGAGAACAACATACAGGAAATAATGTATAAGTATTGAGCGATATAACGGGTGTCAAATTTGATATTCTGTATACCACTTTATTTTTGCAAGAGATGAGTTTGCCGTCATTTACGAGAAGGCTTAAATATTTATTTATCGTTCAACAGATAATTAAAGTAAATGTAGCAATTAATGACGATGAAGGATCTTCTTAATCATCATTCAAAGCTACGCAAATAAAACCTAAATTAAAATAGTAACGAAATGTTTTACTTTATAATTTAATAAGGAAATATGAACGTAGCACACACATGTGATGCATCTTTTACATTATGTAATACATACAGTGAATTAAAAAATAACTAAACTGCTTCATACAGCTGTAAGATAGATCGGTGTAACAGGCATTTTGATTTGACAAATGAAATAGTTGACAGCAAAATGACTCGCCTGTTGCATCTGGCGGTATAATTGTGAAAGGCGACTATTTTATCATTGTTACGCTAGGACTGATCTGTCATCCAGAATTATGCGATAAATAAAAAATCAAGGCAAAGTATTGCAAGGCAATTCATAGTTCACAATCGGTAATGACTTCTATATTTATCTACTGTTAGGAAAGTATCCTGATATATTCTTCTTGCACTCCTCCCTCCACAGATCTGTACACCACATCTGGTTACTCCAGGTGAAATAGTGTAGAAGATATACTCTGGACAAACTTTTTCAAAAGTAAAGGTCAAAGGTCAGGTCATAAGTCACAGTGACATTATTCTTGTACTTAGCACTCAGCCACTTAAACATGTCCTTGTACAGCAAATCTGGATACTCCAGGTGAAATAGTACAGAAGATTTGCCCCAGAACACTTTTTCAAAAGTTAAGGTCAAAGGTCAAGTCATAGGTCACAGTGACTTTATTCTTACATTCTGTCATCCCAAAATGTCCTTGTACACCAAATCTGGTTACTACTGGTGAAATAGTATAGAACATATAACCCCAGACAAACTTTTTCAAAAGTAAAGGTAAAATGTCTCAGTGACCTAATTCTTGTACTCTGTACTCCGCCATTAATAGTTGTCTTTCTACACCAAATTACGTTACTCCAGGTGAAACAATACAGAATATATGCCCCAGACAAACTTTTTCGAAAGTTAAGGTTAAAGGTTATAGTAACCGAATTCTTGTACTCTGCACTTTGACATCCCAAGATGTGCTTCTACACCAAATCTGGGTACTCCAGTTGAATCAGTACAAAAGATATGCCCCGTACAGTGTTTTTTAAAAGTTAAAGTCAGAGGTTAAGTCATAGGTCACAGTGACCTAATTCTTGTACTCTGCACTCCGTCATCAAAAGATGTCCTTCTACACCAAATCTGGTTACTGAAAAAGTACAGAAGATATGCCCCAGACAAACTTTTTTCAAAAACCGGAAACCGATGAGGGACTAATTAAGTTTGTAAACGCACACAATTTACATTCATAAGATGTACTGGAATAAAACAATCTTAACAGCATTACCTCTGACACGTCATATGACTTGAGATTTACGGTCAAGACACCGCCCCATAGTCCTACTATACCAACGGGTATTCCATACGCAAAACAAAGTTGTAGAAACATCTTGTTCCTGTAATATTTGAAAATATTCATATAAACAGTATTCATATATATTTATAAACGTTTGAAATATTTATTTTTAAAGCAATTTAATGTTTATTCATGGCAAAGATATCCCCTAAAAGCTATTTTTCCATATTCACCGGGACACTCGTATACACTATCTGACATGTATAGAATCTGGCCAATCGGGTTGTTCAAAATTATATAGCATATATGAAATCATAAATATAATTTACATCATTAAAACATATAACATATTCGAAATAAGCGAAATATAGGTATGTTTAAAACGCTGGTACAGAAAAAGTATATACAATGTAACATGTACAAGAAAAAAACAATAGAATAATAGAACAAAATATATAAAACATCACAACACACAAGACTCCAGCATCTGGCCATGGGAAGACACAAACAATACCATCACGATGCACTCAATCCTAGCCTGTACGCTACAGTTATTGAGACAACTCCATGAGAAAAATGTTCATATTTAATTTACTTAATACTGTAAATCGTGCAATTTTGCAACAGTTTCGTTTTTGCCTATTTAGCCCTCTGTAGTGAGGGTGAATTAATCATTACAATAAACATTGGTAAACAATATAATAACATAGAAAGTAAATGTGAAGGGCGAAACTTAAATGGGTCGATGAAGATTTTACCAGTGAAGGACGAAAGCTTGACTGGGCGAACATTATCTGGTATACAGTACTTACAGTTGCTTACAGTATGGAATAAACAATTATGTAAGAGTATTTGGAATGCTTCATTGTGGGTGATTGTGTGGTAAAATCATATAAGATTATGTGTAATGTTTTAATGTTTAGCTAAGTGCGATTTTATGGAATGTAAAATTATTTAAAATTGTGTGTAATATTAAATTAAAAAAGAATACGTAAAATAAAAACCTTTAGCGCAAAACAAAAACAACAAACAAAACAGTACGGTATACTGTATAACAAACAAATCAAATGTGTTGTCAATTCTAAACCTACCTCATCAGTTTCTTGAATCCAGATTTCATGTCCAAACGTTCCTGTGATGCCGTTTTACTTGGAGGCATCGGGGGTTTTGAGGGAAAGTACGCTAATATCAGTATTAATACCATTATACACCAACCGCATTCTGTTAATATAAGTGTCAAATACGTCTATTGTTCATGTTCAGTGTGAATTATCTCAATTAAACATGTTCAGACAATGCGCCTGTTCTGTTTCGTAATTCGAATCACTTTTTACACGTAGCATAATGATTTTGTGTATTTTAAAAGATCTTTGATAAAAATGCTCAAGAAAACAATTTTGAACAACGGTCATTCCATTTAACTGCTATTACATGATACAATCTTTAAACGGCTGTAATTTCTTTTAGTTGCCTTTAACGATGATAGATAAAAAAAAATCATCACTGTACACAATTACCTTAAACTGTTTCAGCATGAAGTGAAAATAGAATAAAACTATCCAACAGTGTCTATACACAGACAAAAGCCGAACTAAAAATCGACACGAAAAGACAATAAAAATAATAACGAGAAAGGTCACCTTAAATAAAGTATAGGCAACATGAGAAAAACTTACCGGCGTACATAACTACCATAATCTTATTTCGTATCCGGTCGATGTCTGCTGCTTCTTCTGTAAAACAAGAGCACTGTGATTCAAAACACAATAGCTGAATTGTTTTAAGCAAAAGGATCAAGCATGGTTTATATTTATTTATTTATTTTATTCATAATTAATTAAGATAAGTTGTAACATCTTATTGAGACATCATATGAAATAGATCAAGTACATATACGTTTAAAATACCAACAAAACAAGCATGACTTGAAATATAAACACTGAAATTGCTCGGTTAAATTGATATATAATACCTTTCCAAAAATTGACTGGAAAGAGATCGTTTCGTTTCAAATATATAAATATATGTAAGGGAATTAGAACGTTGATTTTGTTTCCAGTCTGATACACACAATCAAATACCAATGCAAAATTTGTATTTGTCACAGATTTAACAAAAATATAATGTACTTAGAAGCCTACACAAGCGATTTCAGATTTACGGTTTCTATAAAGAACGAGTGCGGGAGGATAATTGATTTGTCGCAATCTTCATGGTTCGGAAGTTAACTGTTAAAAGAAAACTGTATACCGGAAAATTTTCGTTGCAGTTGATTTTTTATTTTGTGATTGCAGCAAATAATAGTTAATAACATAATATGCATGATATTTAAATGTGATGTGAAAGGGCGACATCAACGCTGATCGAATATGAATCATTCAGGCGAAGGGCAAAAGTTTGACTGGGCAACCCGGTAGGCAATGATTAAACTATATAAAAAGACAGCTTTATATCTGAAGTTTCGACTAACATAATGGACGGTAGGTTCTTTGTTTACTGTTCTGTCCGATCTTTAACCAAGTTGATATTTACTTATCTATGTATCTTCATTTATCTAAATGTAGTCGTTGACATGCAGAATTCAGTATGAAGTGTTTTACCGTCAGAATATCATATTAATCCCATGTGTGCTGTTTGTATCTTTACAGACTGTCCGGTGTTTGTTGTTTGTATATATCTGTACTGCAGAAAATCATATAAATCCGGTGTATGTAGTTTGTATCTAAATAGACAGGATATCATATAAATCCGGTGTATGTAATTTGTATCTCTACAGTCAGAATATCATATTAATTCGATGTATGTTTTTATTTTATCTATACAGACAGGTTATATAAATCTGGTGTATGTTGTTTGTATCTATACAGACAGGATATCATAAAAATCCGGTGTGTGTTGCTTGTATCTACACAGTCAGAATATCATATTTAGTCCGGTGTGTGTTGCTGGTACCTTTACAGTCAGATATCAAATTTATCTGGTGTATATGTTTGTATCTTGCTCCAAACAATAGTAATCACCCGTCAGTGAAACATACTAGACTTGCATAGCAATGTGTCCCTACTAACCTTGATTGTACATCAAACTGGAATTGGTTGTCATCGAAACGCTCTCATTTTGCAATAAGGATCCGCTAGAATGACATATTCAGACGATACTACACACTTGATTTAAGAATGACAATTACACGCACAATAACGGAACGAGTATCAAGTGGATAAGACCAAACACTGTCATATAGGTTAGGTAAAACCTCGATATAAGGTCCCTCGTTACATTTTTCATTCCACTTATCAATAATATAAATTTGAAGGTGTCCTGAAGCTTTTTCACTACATTCTTATAAGCTTTCCTAAAATTGCCACAAAACCCTTATAAAAGGCCAAACTTTACGTCATTATCATATTTACTACAAACTTACTTATTATGAAATAAACTAAGAATAAATATAAGTACGATTCCGATTATTAGGCATAACAAAGAACTTCTGACATCGCCTAGACGAGGTGAGGACAAATTGATCATATATTTACTAGTTTGTTTTATATTCATTTTTATTTGTTTTAATTTTTCATAATATTTCTGTTTCTACTATTATATATTGTTTCTTTTGTATGTCTTCTTTGGTTCGAATAATCGACTCTACTATAGAAGATAATGGGACAAATATAAACAAAACTATTGTCTATTTGTTAAAATGTTATTTTAATTTTACAATTTAAACATTTAAGTAAAATCATTGTTGCATGTTAAATACTCACGTATACGTCGTGTTCGCTTTGTCATTGTTTTCAAATAAGGGTCCTAAAACATAAAAGATATATGTAGTTTATATTGATAGTTCGATGTCGTTGATTTAAAAAAGAGTATTGGATTTAAACACAGAGGAACAGTTTACGGAATAATTGAAATTGATGTCGAAAATCAAATATTCTACCAAACGCTTGTCGTTGATTTAAAAAAAAAACCTCGATTTTGTTTCTAATATTCAGCTTCAATTCATACCTACAGAGAATGGATATTTTGTGTGTGCATCATCTGGGAATTCTAACACGGCATACGTTCTTTATTGGTTATATTTACATTAAAGGAACTCCTTTAAAACATAAATAGTCATATACAAGTTACATTTTGATACTCATTTCAAACGATATCTATAAACCGGCCGGCTTATTCAATCTATTTGGCATCGGCGAGTGTCATTATCAGCTTGTTGAAGCAATCGACGTCTGTTTATATCTACACGAAAAGCCTTGAAAAGTACATGGAAACTGAGACCCGATTACATAAAACAAAATACAAATATGTATACGATAGTAACACGATGGCTAATTTTGGAGTGTTCCTTCTTAATTACCCTGTACGTTATTCAATACAAACAAGGGATGTTGCCGAAGATAGCAAGTGTGACACGTACCAATGAGGAATGCAGCAGCCACCCCAGCGTAGTTAAAGAGCGTTGCTATGGCAGTAGATGTGGTCCGTTGATTTGGCGGGAACCACGCGGCGGACAAAACAGGTGGCACTCCCATTGCCACAGGGCCACCCAATCCGTTCAAGAAGGCCGATATGTTTGCCGTCCTGTAGAAAATATGACAACGTCTCCGGTTTCAAACTCACCATCATGTCAGTGTTAGAATATTACACGTTTGATATTTTAAAAAAGCTTGAAAAAACTGCCAATGTAGAATTGCTTTGAATAACCAGTATAAATACTAAGTAAGAAAACACTTCGTTGAAAAGTTATTCTGACAATGCAGAAAGGCAAAAAAAGGAAACATGTATTGCAACATATCGCCATTTGGTCCATTGAGGATTATCAGTGGTATTAAAAGTGAGAAGATAACAATTCCATGTAGAGGTTTTTGAAACATATGTAGAAAAATAAAAAACAAAAGCAAAAGTTCTTATCAAACCCTATATAATATTTACATTGACTTTAAAAAAGTATATTGATTATGTTTACCAATCTGAAAAAGCGTTGCGTTAGAATTTAAGTTTCATGCTCCATTTTTAAATGAAAGTTCCCAAAATGGATCACACAACTGTTTACTTACCCATTGCAAATTCAGAGGATGAATTATACTCATTTATGTTTATTGCAAATGAGGAATATCACTCGGTGTTCTAACAAACGACATTAGTAACAGCAAAATGTTAACAGCGTTCACAAATATTAAATTTATCAGTCTTCTGAAGCTAGTTGAACTCCTAAATGTATAAAATGGGGACAGAAGAAAAGTTTTATAGCTATAAACTCTAAGGCTGTATCAATAGAAAATATGTAATGTTGGCCCATTTAAACATAAAATTATTTTTGTGACGAGTGATCCGTTTGGTGCATTGATTCGGGCTATAGCTACTTACATCTATCGGATTTATCTTCGAAAATAATACTTCACATTTTTTTTGTGATACAATCAAGAGGGCATTGTTAGCAGATTTGCCATTAGTTACGGAAAAAAGAAAATACGGAAATATCCACAAAACGATAACTCGAACTAAAAATCAATAAATAAGGGCAAAATATAAACAAAGGAAACAATTGCATGAAAACCCTTGAAAAAGTACAAGCATGTTATGCCTAGGTGTTCCGGAAGGGTAAGCGTCTTCTGCTTGATCGACAAAACCCGCCATAGAAATCTAGGTCAAACCGAAGTAATGTCACGTCATCACACCGAGAACTCTGGGAGTAACAACAAAACAACAAGACACACTGATGAGCAAAAGCAAAATCATCGACCTTCGTATCACATAAAGAACTACTGGCCAACTTCATGGGTAAACGTACCACGTGATGTATGGAGGTTCTGACGTAATGCATCTTATAGCTGATGCAACAGCTGTCATCGCCGCAGTAACGACACAACACAAACGTATTCCTGGAAAGAGATTATAATCAAGCATTACCGTGAAGGTGAAAAGAAACATTTTTGTTTTTAATTACATGTACTAGACATTATTGAAACAACTGTCTTTCTCAATAAATGATTAAAAGTTTTGCTGTTGGTACATTATAATTAAAGATTTTGCTTTTATTACACTATGATTAAAAGTTTTGCTTTTGTTGCACTATGACTTGGTAAAATTCAATATACTTGCAACGTCATTAAATTCAAATTAATCAGTAAGCTATGATATTTTGTTGTTCATTTTTTTCTCAATTCTTGTATAATTTTCAGGAGACATCTGTATGATATTGTATGTGACGTCATACCATGTACGTCCATACTCCAGGAAAACATCCATTCGGACAACAGGAATCCTATTGGGCCCCAGTTAGGTAGGAGCGCCAGGATGGTGTCATTCCAGCCGAAGACCTTTTGACAGGACACCGCTATTGGGCCCCAAGTGTTCCACAGTGCGGCCTGGGTGAATGTGACGAGTGAATACACCGCCAAAATATACCAGCGTCGTCGGTATACTGCAATATCTGGCTCGGCTTCTTTCAGATCCACAGCGCTGTCTGCGTCTGTCTTATTATGAATGACTGATTTGGCATCGTTCAGATCTGCTTCGTCCTTTTTATGTGAACGTTTCTTGACATCTGTTTGTAGTTTGCCCTCACCAGACGCTACAGTGTCTCCAAAGAATGCTTTATTCGACTGTTGATTGAACTCACTCGCTGTTTGTCCGAGTTCCTCTGCCGATTTTGTATGAGGAGTTACTTTGTAACTTCGTTTCAACATATTTACCTGTCTGTAATTTATAAAAGAAACAAGATAATTTTGTTACTTAGCCTATCAAACAGTTTTGCAACCTAAGTCATGTTTCTACATTGTACATCGATTGGCTGAATGTCCTATATACACAGTTAATCTGCTATCTCTGAAATTCCTAAAAGATACCAAATATAAATGAGTACAAACAGCATTAAGAATACATACTAAATTATTAGGTCTACAAATGCATGTTACAGAAAGGGAATCCTTTTTACACGTTCTTAGATGTTTTCACAGACACAGAACACTGTCAACCCTACTGGAAGTTAAAGACCACCTCTATTAAGAAACCCTTTAAAGCCACAAGAGACCACATTTCCTGTTAACTGAACCTGTATGAAGGGACCACCTCTGTTAAGAGATAGCATTTCCTGTTAACTGAACCTGTATTAAGGGACCACCTCTGTTAAGAGATAGAAATTTCCTGTTAACTGAACCTGTATGAAGGGACCACCTCTGTTAAGAGATAGCATTTCCTATTAACTGAACCTGTATTATGGGACCACCTCCGTTAAGAAATAACATTTCCTGTTAACTGAACCTGTTTTAAGGGACCACTTCTGTTAAGAGATAGCATTTCCTAGGTACTTAACCTGTATTAAGGGACCACCTGTGCTAAGAGATCGCATTTCCTAGGTACTTAATCTGTATTAAGGGACCACCTGTGTAAAGAGACCACATTCCTATCAACTGAACCTGTACTAAGGGATCACCTTCAATAAAAGACCACGTTATAGACTTCCCAAAGATGATATCTGAATAAAGTCTGATTGTACATTTAATGAGAGATTATCTCGTTTGAGGAACGTTTGTGCCAATGCTTTGATACAAAATAATTTAAAAAAAATGTATTAGAATGAATATACATGTAATAAGATGAAAGATAGTGTTTATTCGTCAAAGAAAACTCTGAATTTTTTGTTTTTTCCATATACAAATTAATGTTCCATTTTTCGGTGAACAATATTTACCAGATTACACCCAGTCTTGTACAATGAGATGTTGATCAGACTGAAGACCTTTAAGAAAGTAATAGCTTAGCACTCAACTTCATCATTTGGCAAAACATGTCACATGTTATCAAACACAAAATTCATCATTTCTTTGACTTTGACATGCTATATTTTCCATATTAAAAATGTTGTTCATGCAATTTATGTATCTTATTGTTTTCTTAGTTGACATTATTTCTGTTAAATATTTCACGTTTGTATGCTATTTTAACATCAATGCTAAACAAACTGGCAACAGGTACACAACAAAGTAAGAAATATGTTTTATTAACAAAACCAAAATCAACTCAAAATTAGACGAACTTACACTAATCAAAGACAAGAAGTAATTGATTGTGTGCACTGGATCATAGTTGATTGAATCGATATGCACCTTGCTCTGAAACCATATCAGTCTTAAGCAAATAGAAGTCTACAAGAACTACAAAAATATAGACTCAAGCAGCAGTCACATTTGTTTCGATTAATAAAACCTTGTCAACGAGCCAACAGGGGAAGGTTGAAGCGCGTGAGATAAATCACTTTATACATGCTTATAAATTAATAGAAGGTACTAAGTACAGGGTGTTGACGGTTAATAGGGTACTCGCTGAATACAGAGTACTGACTATAGGTGCTGTTTATTACAGGGTACTGACCGATCCAGAACACAGGGTACTAACTGAATACATGGTACAGTCGTAATACAGGGTAATGAGTACAGAGTGCTGACGGAATACCTGTAGGTACTGACTTTTCATGAATAAAGGGTATTGACTGTATAGTATACATAACATGACCGTGTGGTATACTTTAGCATAACTTTAGTTGAATAGATATATATGTTGATAACAGGTCGTTACCGAGCAGATACTAGAACGAATGGGTGATAATATTCCTTAATATCAGGGGAATGTATCGGTAAAGAACTTTGATGTTTATATTTTATTATTATCTATATTTTTAGAAATTTGTCACGGGTAGTTCCTCATCTGCGACACTTAATTGAAATATATAAACGAATAATTTTCAGCTAAAAATTTATATAATAGAAGAAATGTATTTCGGGCTTCATTAGTAGCTAGTAATTAATTAATGCAGTAAGAAGATGGATTAATAGGTGATTATACTATTGAATTATTGAACTACTGTTTTAAATAAAGATTTTATTGTTTCGGAAAAAATTGAGACACTTACCTTTAAATGTTCCTCTGAAATCTTTTTCCCGAAAGCACCGGTAAAAAGTAGCCAGATGACTTGTGATTATTGTTTTCTCATTTGTAAAATATATGAACTATCCTGAAAAGGGGGATGTTTCAAAATCAAAAGATGCCGAGATAACATCCAGACCTTGTTCATATGGACACAAACCACGGCTAAGTAGATAACGAGTCATGTTAGCAACAAGAAGCGACAGCACACGTTGACCTATGTGACGGAGATATGTAGAGAGGATAAACATACAGTAAAACCTCAGTATAACGCCCCTCGTTTCATTTGCCACCTCGTTTACCGCCAACATATTTCAATGTCCCTTATTCTTTTTTCTTCGGAATTCCTTTATACATTTCCATCAACTAATCGCCAAACCCCTTAATAACGCTAAATATTCTCTAGACAAACAGAGGCAGTATAACGAGGTTTTACTGTAGATGCAAGTACATACAAATACATTAATATGCTGTGTGACGGGGCTATGTCAAACAGGGAAAGGGTGACAATACATATAAACTGTTTGGTATATATACAGATAAAGGGTGACAATACACATATATACTGTTTGGTATATATACAGGTAAAGGTGACAATACATATATACTGTTTGGTATATATACAGGTAAAGGGTGACAATACACATATATACTGTTTGGTATATATACAGGTAAAGGGTGACAATACACATATATACTGTTTGGTATATATACAGGTAAAGGGTGACAATACACATATATACTGTTTGGTATATATACAGGTAAAGGGTGACAATACACATATATACTGTTTGGTATATATACAGGTAAAGGGTGACAATACACATATATACTGTTTGGTATATATACAGGTAAAGGGTGACAATACACATATATACTGTTTGGTATATATACAGGTAAAGGGTGACAATACACATATATACTGTTTGGTATATATACAGGTAAAGGGTGACAATACACATATATACTGTTTGGTATATATACAGGTAAAGGGTGACAATACACATATATACTGTTTGGTATATATACAGGTAAAGGGTGACAATACACATATATACTGTTTGGTATATATACAGGTAAAGGGTGACAATACACATATATACTGTTTGGTATATATACAGGTAAAGGGTGACAATACACATATATACTGTTTGGTATATATACAGGTAAAGGGTGACAATACACATATATACTGTTTGGTATATATACAGGTAAAGGGTGACAATACACATATATACTGTTTGGTATATATACAGGTAAAGGGTGACAATACACATATATACTGTTTGGTATATATACAGGTAAAGGGTGACAATACACATATATACTGTTTGGTATATATACAGGTAAAGGGTGACAATACACATATATACTGTTTGGTATATATACAGGTAAAGGGTGACAATACACATATATACTGTTTGGTATATATACAGGTAAAGGGTGACAATACACATATATACTGTTTGGTATATATACAGGTAAAGGGTGACAATACACATATATACTGTTTGGTATATATACAGGTAAAGGGTGACAATACACATATATACTGTTTGGTATATATACAGGTAAAGGGTGACAATACACATATATACTGTTTGGTATATATACAGGTAAAGGGTGACAATACACATATATACTGTTTGGTATATATACAGGTAAAGGGTGACAATACACATATATACTGTTTGGTATATATACAGGTAAAGGGTGACAATACACATATATACTGTTTGGTATATATACAGGTAAAGGGTGACAATACACATATATACTGTTTGGTATATATACAGGTAAAGGGTGACAATACACATATATACTGTTTGGTATATATACAGGTAAAGGGTGACAATACACATATATACTGTTTGGTATATATACAGGTAAAGGGTGACAATACACATATATACTGTTTGGTATATATACAGGTAAAGGGTGACAATACACATATATACTGTTTGGTATATATACAGGTAAAGGGTGACAATACACATATATACTGTTTGGTATATATACAGGTAAAGGGTGACAATACACATATATACTGTTTGGTATATATACAGGTAAAGGGTGACAATACACATATATACTGTTTGGTATATATACAGGTAAAGGGTGACAATACACATATATACTGTTTGGTATATATACAGGTAAAGGGTGACAATACACATATATACTGTTTGGTATATATACAGGTAAAGGGTGACAATACACATATATACTGTTTGGTATATATACAGGTAAAGGGTGACAATACACATATATACTGTTTGGTATATATACAGGTAAAGGGTGACAATACACATATATACTGTTTGGTATATATACAGGTAAAGGGTGACAATACACATATATACTGTTTGGTATATATACAGGTAAAGGGTGACAATACACATATATACTGTTTGGTATATATACAGGTAAAGGGTGACAATACACATATATACTGTTTGGTATATATACAGGTAAAGGGTGACAATACACATATATACTGTTTGGTATATATACAGGTAAAGGGTGACAATACACATATATACTGTTTGGTATATATACAGGTAAAGGGTGACAATACACATATATACTGTTTGGTATATATACAGGTAAAGGGTGACAATACACATATATACTGTTTGGTATATATACAGGTAAAGGGTGACAATACACATATATACTGTTTGGTATATATACAGGTAAAGGGTGACAATACACATATATACTGTTTGGTATATATACAGGTAAAGGGTGACAATACACATATATACTGTTTGGTATATATACAGGTAAAGGGTGACAATACACATATATACTGTTTGGTATATATACAGGTAAAGGGTGACAATACACATATATACTGTTTGGTATATATACAGGTAAAGGGTGACAATACACATATATACTGTTTGGTATATATACAGGTAAAGGGTGACAATACACATATATACTGTTTGGTATATATACAGGTAAAGGGTGACAATACACATATATACTGTTTGGTATATATACAGGTAAAGGGTGACAATACACATATATACTGTTTGGTATATATACAGGTAAAGGGTGACAATACACATATATACTGTTTGGTATATATACAGGTAAAGGGTGACAATACACATATATACTGTTTGGTATATATACAGGTAAAGGGTGACAATACACATATATACTGTTTGGTATATATACAGGTAAAGGGTGACAATACACATATATACTGTTTGGTATATATACAGGTAAAGGGTGACAATACACATATATACTGTTTGGTATATATACAGGTAAAGGGTGACAATACACATATATACTGTTTGGTATATATACAGGTAAAGGGTGACAATACACATATATACTGTTTGGTATATATACAGGTAAAGGGTGACAATACACATATATACTGTTTGGTATATATACAGGTAAAGGGTGACAATACACATATATACTGTTTGGTATATATACAGGTAAAGGGTGACAATACACATATATACTGTTTGGTATATATACAGGTAAAGGGTGACAATACACATATATACTGTTTGGTATATATACAGGTAAAGGGTGACAATACACATATATACTGTTTGGTATATATACAGGTAAAGGGTGACAATACACATATATACTGTTTGGTATATATACAGGTAAAGGGTGACAATACACATATATACTGTTTGGTATATATACAGGTAAAGGGTGACAATACACATATATACTGTTTGGTATATATACAGGTAAAGGGTGACAATACACATATATACTGTTTGGTATATATACAGGTAAAGGGTGACAATACACATATATACTGTTTGGTATATATACAGGTAAAGGGTGACAATACACATATATACTGTTTGGTATATATACAGATAAAGGGTGACAATACACATATATACTGTTTGGTATATATACAGGTAAAGGGTGACAATACACATATATACTGTTTGCTATATATACAGTTAAAGGGTGACAATACACATATATTGTTTGGTACCTATAGTTTAAGAGTGACAATACCCATATATACTGTTTGAGTTAAAGTGACAATACGCATACATACTACTTGAGGTACATGTATATATAGAGAAAATATAAGTCTATATAAACGGTGATACGGAGAGATATATGTAAATATATGGAAAGGGTGACATGACCCATATATACTGTGTGAGGGAGATACGTAAAGGTATAGATATATGGGCAAAGAAGTAATTCCAACAGTGTGGACAAGTTGACCCAAGGTATATATAGATATAGGGAGAAAATGTCAGTACATACCTTTCTAAATACAGGCCAAGAATTAATTGGTGGATGTCGCGTGACAGAGGTCTGCACATCGACATTCAATATGAAGAGACAGGCAACATTGTTTTCTAGATTTGGCTGATAACATCATGAGGTGCACACATATGGTGCAGGAAATAATTATAGTTGCAGAATACATGGCTTCCCTTCAGCTTGTTTTGAGGTTCAAAATGTCTGACCTTTTGTTTTCCTATCGGTTCCTGATGTTGTCTTTTCGCTAGTCTGCTAGTTGCTCAGCCAAGCCATTATCCAAACTTCTGACTTCCTCTCTAAGAACCATTAAATCTGGGTTACAGTCGTATTTTGACACAGTATGTCCCAGGAGTGAAATTCATAGAAAGTGGGTTTTAATAATCTTCAACATTCTCTCCCAAAGTGTATCACAAATTTAGACCTTTTTTGCTCTCTTCACTACAATGCCTTACTCCAAACTGAATGATCGCATTCGTTCTCTTATTTTAAGACTTGTCGTTTTAAAGAAAGGCCAATGACAATAAAATTTCACATCTGTAACGATTGCGGAGCTTATTTTGTGGAAGGCCAAAATGAAATATACTTCGGATACAACAGTGAGAATGGCTGAGTTTCTGGTTGACAACATCTTTTGCAGATTTTTCCAGCATATCGTAGGCATTCTTATGGGCAACAAATGTGTTCTTCTTCTGACCGTCTTGTTTTGTTTTCAAACGAGACTGAATTTATTGAAGAGGTAACAACTACTGGTTACAAGGCATCGTAAATTTCTCCAATTTCACCATCAGATATATATCGACAATGTGCTTCTTTATAAAACAAGAAATCATTAACCACGTCGATCTTATAAATCCTCCTGAGCTCGAAATCAAAGATTCTCTTCAGACGTTTTCTTCCATCTTTAATTACATGACCAGCAATGACGGCTTACTAAAAAACTGTAGGGTAAACGAGACGATATCAACTTTCCTATCGTGAACTTTCTCTTTCTCTGGATAACGTCCCTGCTACCCTGACCTACGGGGTTTACATGTCACAGTTGATTCAGTATGCAAGAGCTTGCTCCGAATATGATTGCTGTGATAGATGTCGCCGGATTGTTGACGTACAAATTTATAACAAATGGTTTGCGAATTGGAGATGCAAGGTTGATGGAGATATATACTTGTTTTATGCTCGCCGTCATATCATTAAGAAAAAAACTATTTACTTCTTAATGTGATATGAAGGTCGAAGTTTTTATTATGCTAATCAGTGTGCCTTGTTTTTCGTTGTCACTGTCCCAATTCTCGCAAAGATGATATGACATTACTTGGACTTGACCTATATTTAGTTATAAGAAAAAGACTCTCGCCCTTACGAAACATCTGGTATTATTCTCCGTTTTAGTATTTTTTCCATATTTATAGTTTGCCCTCGTTTTATCAAATTTGAATTCGAACTACGGTTTTGTTAACACTTTGGTATTTCCTTCTTTCATCGACAAAGTTATGTAGGTCAACTTTCAGACTTCGACGACATTTGTTCACTTCTTGTTTATACCATTATCGAATTCGTGTTTCCCCAGTGTTGATTTTATATTACTAATATTACCTCACGCATCACAGAATATGTCTTAAATGCACAATCTGTAATTTGTTCTCGGGTCCTACATTATGGTTATTTCTCACGTACTGAACTATGGTAGAGGTTTTCAAGACCCGTTTAATATTTCCAAATCCGTCACGGTTCATCCTTCAAAAAAGTTGTATTTATTCTACTGAGACGAAGTGTTCCTTCAGCAAAAACAAAAATCAATTGCCATAACTGGTACGGTCCTTTTTTCTGAATGATGATGTTGAATTCCTTAGTAATATTTATGACCTTATAAGCTTCGGACTCCTCATAATCTGTTCTTGTTCTTCAAAGCTGAACCTGTGACAATTTTGATATTTGCTTTTGACAAATTAGCAGCAATTTACTTGCATAAGTGTGTTTTTTTCCCAGATTTCCATTTTAATCTGAAAATCTGACTGGAAACGTTCCCATCTCTTTTTTCTGCCTGATCTTCATGTTTCTTATAAGCTCCTCTTATGACCCGACATTATCGTTCTATAATGAGGGTATTCGGTAATGTTAATTAAACAGTCGGGTAGTTTGGTTTGGTTGTGATATTCTGTTCCCTATACGACATCATAAATAGCTGCCTCAGAATGCATGAAACTAGGCCCGAGTTTCCTCTGGCCCTAACACCAGACTTAGCTATTTTGACATATATATGTCTGGTTTCCTCTGGCCCTAACACCAGACTTAGACAGTTGGACAGAAAGATGTCTGGTCTCCTCTGGCCCTAACACCAGACTTAGACATTTTGACAGAAAGATGTCTGATCTCCTCTGGCCCTAACACCAGACTTAGACATTTTGACATACCAGACATCTATGTGTCAAAATGTCTAAGTCTGGTGTTAGGGCCAGAGGAAACTCAGACTAGCATAAAACCACAAGTGGGGTTTGGTTCACAAGGTTCATGGAATCTGGCATTCGAACGTGACAGTGTAGCAGTCACCAAGGAGAGTAGACGTTCTTTTATTTTCTCCGTTATAACAAAATATTGTGTTAGGATCTAAAAAAAAATGTTAAAGTGATCTAACAATCGTCTGTGATTTCCAAACAGATTTTGCAAAAACTTGTAGCGACTATACTAGTTTTGGTACTCAGGTTCACGTTAAGCAGGATATGATTGCTATATCTTAGATTCAGGTAAAGAATGGATTTTAGAATTACGAAGTTTATGTATTATATGTATGTACGGTCGTTTGTTCAAACATTTTGAAAAGAATCTATTTCTTCTTAACTGCATCCTTCTTCTATATGCCTCTTACCGGTACTTGACCTCTGCAGTCAATATAAGAAGAACAAGTATGCTGTAATCTTGCCCGATTAAAGTAAGTTATCGAGTTCTTAACAGTCCATCAACAAAGAAGAGGTTTTAAGGGCCAATAAAAGGAAGATCTGCAGTGGAAGAGGGGCTGGAGTGTGGAGGAGGTTCTTCAATGTTAATTTCTGGATAGTTCGGTGTTAAATGATTGCTATGAAATATAGTACAAACAGAGAGGGGACAGAAATGGTTGTTCTCTCCGAACAACCAACACCAAATTCTGTATACCAGGAAGTTTTCACCCTTATTTTAACTTTCGCCTTTTTCACCCTTCCCATTGAAAGCAAATTTATCACAACAGCGAATATTGGTACAGGACAAACGTTTTATATTGTATTTACATACGAAGGGCGAAATTAACACTAGGCTAAAATTGATTTACTTTAGCAATGGGCAAATATTTAACTGGGTCAAAAATTCTGATGTAACTTTTTCATTTTATATCTTAATGAGCCCCTTATCATGGGCAGACAATGAAACTTATTTTCAATACAAAATTGTCTGGATGACTTTGTGTTAGTTATAATGGCTATTATAAATGTATAGCTGATGTCAAAAAATCTATTATCAGGTGTTTAGATCTTATTTTGGAAATCAATAATCTATGCATACCTTTTAATTTAACGTAACAAGAAACATATTGTACATTTCCTTTTTTTTTATTCATATAATAATTTCTTGTTGTATGCCAGAATCTTTCTTTCACGATAAAGACAGCCTGTTGTGAAGATCATTCCGAGAATCAAAAATGTCCACAAGATATATAACTTCTCAGTTCTTTTTCTGCCTCCGTAACAATGCTTTGGTCAGGGCAACCTGGAAACACAAGCAAAAACGAACTTATATAAAAAAAAATATTATATTAATATTTATAGGAGTGAAGTTCCATCATGGAACACTTGCGCTGCGTAAAATTTCATTTTGTTACTACAAATTTAAAATAATTCCGGTCAATATTTCAATTATTAAAGATTAATATACTTTGATTATTTCAAAGACTCACACAACTAAATCAGCCAATCAGCAAGCATTTCAAACAATTGTAGTCCCTACCAAACATTTGCTCCAGTAAAAAAACAGTACCTCTGACTTATTGAAATGTGTAATTGTTGACAGATTTTTCATTGAATGAAATCTACAGATATTGAACTTTGGAACATTGTAGTTTTAGTTGATTTTAATAGGTGATGGTGGATTTATATGGGGTCAAATGTCAGGGGTGTTCCAGTCCAGCTTCATCTGTTGGGCTGGTAAACTTTCGGTTGTCAAAAGCAGATGCCTGTAGCACTCAAGCTCCTACATGCCGTTAATCATGCTTTTTGAAGCCTTTGTCAGATGTATCCTTGAATCTAGACAGTTGTCAGTAGTGTTGAACTTCAAATATTTAAGCTAATAGCACAGAAGCTATGTAATAACATATAGTCGTAAACGATTTAGTTATGCGAATCCTTCTAATGAAATAGATATTTGTTAATGGTCAAAGATGATTAATTTAGTATGTTCAATAAAAAAACATTCAATTTACAAGAATCTGTCAAATGTATGTGAATAATGAGAAAAGAGAATGTTGCAGGACCATTGAAGTCTTCAGGCTTCAGTCAATATTTTAAATATCAATAAAATAAATCTTTCTTGTGGAAATAACTCTTTTAATTAGGTGAAATACTCATGACATGCACATACATGTAAAATTAATTTCTGATACGGAACAATAATTAAATTCTGACTTAGTCATTCATTATATGCGCAACAAATATGGTCTCACAAAATGATTAAAAATCCGGACCAGACAAGGACACAGAAATCGGACCGACTCTCACCTGTTTGTCTCTGAAGGAGCGCCCGCCCTTCCTTTTTCCCAGCTTGTGTTTGACCATCATAAAGTTTTTCCCTCTGGCCTTCTCTTTATTGGTAGTACTTGCATTAGGATTCATTTTCTGTGGTCCATGTGCAAACTTCTCTCTTCCCACTCTCCCCGCCTGAACACAAAGTTTTTTCTTAGTTATCTAGAGTTGACTTCTTACATGGGGTTGAAATGATATCAGGTTCACACTTATTACTTAAAATCCCTACTGACTTGACCAATTTGAACACTGTTCTTTTATATACAAATGTGTCCAACCTGACAAATCAAATATCTCAAGTGTTTTTTATCAAAGTGAAGAAAACATCACAATTGATACTCAGCGTCACGAGAAGACAGTTATCTCCCTTCCACAGGTTACAATTTCAGATTATAATTTCCACTGTAGATATTAAGCTTCAAATGTTGATGGTGATATTGAAAAAGTCTTTATGATGACCCCTATTAGGCAAAATCTGTGTAAAATGCCAGGAGTGAAGCTGCTCTATTATTATTTTAATTATTCTCTTTATTTCCTCCTTTAAGAAGATTTTACAAACAGAATAATGTATAGTTACAATGATAAATAAGATAATAAATGCAAAATCAAATAGACGGTAAGGCAAAATTAGTGCACAAAATAATTAGTTCACACAATAGGAATAGGTTAATCATTTTGAGTACAGTTTACAAAAGAATACATAACTGATAATGTTAAGAATGGAAGTAGTATGCTTTCTTTTGGACATGACTGTGTTCCTCATTAAATGGTATACACACATAAGTATTGAATAATCATTTGAAGTATGCCTTAAGCATTTTTTGAATATGATTGACTGATGCCAGACGAAATTCTGTTAACTCTGATGTATTAAGTTCATACGTTATTTGCCACCAATCAGAAGGTGAAATAATTCAAAGTCTGAATGAGAGTGTAAATATACACTAAACATAAATTTACATGTATTAATGACTTGACACCATAACTGATCTCGTAAGTCTTCTGTACAATCACACTGTAAACTATTTGGGAATATATATCGTTTTGTCAATTTCATCATACTATGTATGGCTTCTTTGTTTTGTGGAAATTATAAAAAATATTAACAATTTCCACAACATGTGAGGAGCCAAATTATCATGAACCAATATAAATCTACAGAAAAGGAGAGTTCATATAAAGAGAGCTCACATCTATGTAAAAACAAAATGAGGTTGATAAATAACTGAATTTTAATCTTCAGCCAGAATAAGGAGATATTGCATGCATGAACAGCACATGGTATTTTAAATCTGTGCCAATTCTGTAACTTTTGAGTCATGAAAAATGCCATTTAACACAGGAGATTATTATGAAAAAAAAGACTATTTGAAAGAAAAAAACATGCGAAACAAAACCGCCGGATTTCTAACAATTGACAGCATAGAACGTGTGGGATATCTTACCATCACAGTGGCCAGACGGGATTCCTTGTCGTGGGCTCGCTTCTTGTGGACGTTTTCTATTGTGGACAGTGTCAATCGGTCACTGCAACATTTCATAAATTTTAGTTTAATAACACTTTTGACAAAAATAAAAGATATAACCATCTTTTTAATAAATAACCTGTTTTGCATCCAGCTGCTTTTTTTACGTATTTAGGGCTTCAGCTTCAGAGGTGTGTGTCCCTATTCTGTCATGAGTTGAAGCAAACAGTGCTTGTCCAAGCTTCAAGAGTTTTTGGGCCCTGTTATGTTATTAGTCCTAGTAAACAAGAATTGTTTAGGCCTCAAGAGTTATGTGATCCTGTTCTTTCATCAGTTGTAGTAAAAAAGGATTGTTTACACCTCAGAGAATTTTGTGGCCTTTTTATGTTATCTATCCTATCATTTAGGGATTGTTCTGGCTTCAAACCAGTTTGACAATGTTTGGTCCTCTGTAGTAGTAACAAGAGTCCTATGATACTCCAAGAGTTACCTTCACTTTCGCTCTCATAAGCCATAGCAAAATCGAAGGCTCAGTGTGCGCCACCTTGTGGATGAGACAAGAAGATTACTTTGATCCTTCAAAAGAACTCGTGGTCACATAGCAGCAAAATTGGCTGGCTTCGAAGTAGAGCGTCGCTACTCTGTAATCTTCAAGGACAGGTATAAGCCGCGATTGGTCCAGGTTTTTTTTACCCGAGACCAATCAAATAGCTAGCTGCGTGCCTTCAATTTTGCTATGACATTGTCTGGGGGTGCAGAGAGCAAAAGTGAACATAACCCCTCAAGTATCGAGGATGACAGGAGTCATGTGGCCCTGTTTTGACATGAGTTGTACTACCAGGTAAATACAAATTGTTATGATATAACGATTCATGTGTATTTGTGTTACAACTTACGGTAACATATTCTTACATAATAATTACCTTAGGTGTTAAGCAATTTAGAAACAAGAGGCCCAGAAGGCCTGTATCGCTCACCTAGATATGAAAGCAATCATGACAAACTATTCTCCAAATGAGATCCAAGGAAATATGCCAGACCCCAATGCTAATTCTTGTAGTATGTCTGTATTAGATTTTTCATGCCCAGCAATTTAATGTTTGGTTATGGGGTGGGGATCTTAACTGTTTCCAAGCTGTGACTCTGACTCAGAAACTAGATCCCTAGGGTTGTGGCCAGACCCCAGGATCAATTCTAATATCATGAATGCATTCGTCTATTTAAGGGTCTATTCTAATACCATGACTACTTTTGTCTCTTTATGCCAAGCATTTGTATATATAGTTCTGGGGTGGGGGATCTAAACCGTTTCAAGGTTATGACCCAGGGACTATATCTAAAAGGCTGGGGCCAGACCATAGGCCATCCTGGAAAAGCAAATGTGCATGCTTCTCTTTATACTCAACAATTGGTTATACCGTGGGGATCTCAACCATTTCCAAGTAATAAACTTTTTTTTGCCCCACCCCTTAGCACGGGGNAATATAGCAATATAGCCAAATTGCTCCCTTTTGGCCCCGCCCCTCAACCCCCTGGGGGGTCAGCCCAACCATTTGTACAATTTTGAATCCCCACCACCTAGGGATGCTTCCAGTCAAATATGGTTGATATCCAGTGCATAGTTCTACAGAAGAAGTTGTTTGTAGCATTATAGCCATATTGCCCCCTTTTGGCCCCGCCACTCAGCCCCCTGGGGGGTCAGCCCAACCTTTAGTACAATTTTGAATCTCCACTACTGAGGGATGCTTCCAGTCAAATATGGTTGGTATCCAGTGCATAGTTCTACAGAAGAAGTTGTTTTTACCATTATAGCCATATTGCCCCCTTTGGGCCCCGCCCCTCAGGTCCCTCGGGGGCCAGACCCACGGCTTATACCAAATTGGTTCCCCTTCCCCCAAGTATGCTTCAGACCAAATATGGAACAAATCCTTTCATTGCTACAGAAGAAGAAGGATTTTAAAGAATTTACTATGTGTTCCCTATTGGGCCCGGCCCCTCGGGGGCCAGACCCACGGTTTATACCAAATTGGTTCCCCTTCCCCCAAGGATGCTTCAGACCAAATATGGAACATATCCTTTCATTGCTACAGAAGAAGAAGGATTTTAAAGAATTTACTATGTGTTCCCTATTGGGCCCGGCCGCTCGGGGGCCAGACCCACGGTTTATACCAAATTGGTTCCCCTTCCCCCAAGGATGCTTCAGACCAAATATGGAACATATCCTTTCATTGCTACAGAAGAAGAAGGATTTTAAAGAATTTACTATGTGTTCCCTATTGGGCCCCGCCCCTCAGGCCTCTCGGGGGCCAGACCCACGGTTTATACAAAATTGGTTCCCCTTCCCCAGAGGATGCTTCAGACCAAATATGGAACAAATCCTTTCATTGCTACAGAAGAAGAAAGATTTTAAAGAATTTGCTATATTTCCCCTATTGGGTCCCGCCCCTCAGCCCACAGGGGGGCCAGACCCACCCAAAATTTGTTCCCATTCCCCTAAGGATGCTTCTGCCAAAATTTGGTCAATATCTGCTCAGTTGTTTATGACAAATAGCGATTTTTAGGAAAGTTGAAGGACGACGGATGCTGCGCCATAAGCTCACTTGCCCTTCGGGCAGGTGAGCTAAACATTGTAGGTACTGCAACACCACAATCCTCCAAAAATGGCCATAATAGACACTTTTTCATTTAAGTTGGTAATTTATGGTGAAGGGAACGGACTCTTGGGTCAGAAAACAGGACATGGAACACTTATAAAGGATGGGGCATTTATTAAGTCAAATACAACATTAATAATATGACCATCAAGTGTCTTTGTGTACCTGTTTTCGCTGTCTTCCACTTCCATTAACTTTCTTTTGCCTTTTCTCGTAGTGGTGCTCTCTGTAGTTTTACGGGCCTGATAGTGCTGAATCTGACGGAAATCTTCCTGTGTGAGGATGCGATTTGTGGAGACATCCTTTGCCTTTTTTCGTTTCTCATCGAGAGAAAGACCGGCCACAGGATCTTCTGTCTGTCAGAACAATATAAAATCCGAAAATTAAAAATAATATAACAGTTATCAAAAAATAATTCCATAATTATTCTTTAGAATCTAAAGAAACAACAGAAAGTTCTTTTGTTAAATTGATTTTAGAAATTTAATCGCAGGAGTGATATTAAGACGATTTTGTAAACATTTCTGCATAACTTTACAGTTATACTATGGATGTTAGGTCAAGATAAATTTGTAGCTTTTAAAAAGTTGTTAAAAGACATGCAAATATTGTACATACCGTGGTATGTATTTTTGATGAGTTAGGAAAACTGGAGATACTTGCTTATTACTGCTGGCATACAAACCTATGGAATGACTTAGCATATACAGGTAACAATCTGATCTGATCACTTTGTGATTCAAAATGTACTTTTGAATAATCTTTAAATCTTACACTGACACCTTAGCAAATGGTTGAATCTGTCAACAAATCTTTGCTCCATGCTAGAATCAATATAGAATAAAGAAACACATCACTAAACATCTCCCCAAAAGTGTTTGTTTTCTAGCACATCAGAAAGCAGGAGGTACGGAAATTGTATCCATGGTGATATATGATGTGAAAGAGGAACAAACCTGCTCTTCATCAGAGGAATGCTGCACATCTACCCATGCATCTTCATCATCATCATCTTCATCCTCACTGCAAGAGTCCCATCCTCCTTAAAAACATTAATTTCATAATAACATAACCACCAATAATCAAATATGCATTAGATTTCTTTGTCCATTTTTTATCATTTTTAAATTAAAATTTGAATATTTTGTTTTTCAATGTTTGCTTTTTCTTTAAACAAATTCAACTAAATAAAGGTTCTAAGCATTTTGATTTTTAACACCAATATTGTTTAAAAATTCTATAAAACAGTAAAACCTTGTTATACCGCCACCATTTTTCCAGAGAAATGTTGGTGTGATAAAGAGTTCTGGCAATTAGTCAAGGGAGATGAGGTAAGAGAGGTGACAATAAAAGGAGGGGCATTATACGCCATACTGTAAATCAGGATAGTTTTATTGCAGTTATATAAAAAATAAACGATGCTAGAAATAATCCTCAAATTATCTTAAATGTTGTACATGTGTCAGCATACCGGATGACCTGCAATGTGTTTACAAAAGCTGGCAAAGTCATAGGCTGCGGCTATAATCTAGGAAGTTCTGTTGTAGTGTAGGGTGTGGGTAGGCTAGTGTTGACCTGTAAGAATTGGCGAGTCCTGTTCACTAAAGAAGACTCTATTAGAATGGGGGAATATGAAAACCGCTGAGTCACACTAATATCTACAAATAGTCGTCACTGCACCCTTCTACTCTTTCTGAATTGCATACAATAGTTTAGTCCAATACTGGCGGAAAATGCAGTTTTGATGACCAGTACATTTTAAAACATTTATGTCAATATGTCAATTTTATTTTTACGATAGTCATATTTTTGTGCATTGGCCATGGTCTCAAATGCAAAAAAAAAGACCAGTAAAAATAAAACAATGGCTGTTCTCGAGAAATTCGCAAAAATTAACCTACATCAAAATATCTCGATTTAACATATTAAAACCTAAGATATGCGAGTAGTGCTGTACCTTTGGACTCTTTGTCTGCATCCCCAGCCTGCGCTTGATCTTCATCATCATCGAGCTCATCCATGAGAACCTCAGCTCCGGGGACGGCCTGCTGCGTGTTGAGATTGCCGTATTGTGGGTTTCTCTGTTCCACTGTAGCATCTGTTGGCTTCCCCTAACACAAGCACATAATAGAAAATTAACTCAGTGTTTACCTTAAATATTTAATTCTCATTGAAACAGAACCACTATGATCAGCTGAGATCGCCAAGAAGTTAAAGCCATATATCATTTATCATTCTATACAATTTTTCATTGTAAAGACAACTGTACATTAATGGCTTCTATTTGACAAAACAGAAGTGTAAAATGGTGCAGTTTAAGTTGTTAAAACCATGAAATCATTTACTTTGAGCAAAAGGCAAGTGGTAAAAGTCAAGTCAAAGTCAATAAGAATGATCTAGTTCCAAATATTAAAGAATAACCTTGAATTCAGTGTTAGGTCTTATGATTCAATTAATCTTTTCAAACTCGCTATAACATAGAAAATATCTACATGACAGTATTCAAATCAGACAGCTAGATGTATTTTGGTAAGAGTTACATACCCTGTCCCGCTTGTGCAGTAGTTCAGGGTTAACTCTCCGGTAAAGAGCTATTACAGCCCGCGACGCCATCATCACAGCTGCCACAAAGTCAGAAAAAATATCAAATTAAGGCACCACTCGCCAGTTATAATTGTGAAGAAGAGGCTCCACCGAGATTGTTTCGAAAGAATTCAGCAAACAAACCGAATTTTTCCAGTTAATATTTACTTCTAAATGTGATCATCTCCCATTTTTGATGCTGTGCATTGTAATTCCTTGGTAGCAACATTGGTAAAGTGTAAGATTATCATTGAACCCGAGTATGACCTCAGAAGTTTTTGTGTATGTCATGAGGTCACAACTACCTGTATTCAATTGTGCATTTTAAACATTATCGAATTAAAATAGTTAACAATTATTCATAAGTTAAAGATGTTTTTCAGCACTTATAGATAGGTAATCTTTTGGAAGAAAGAAGCTTGTTACAGCAAGGTAGCATATACCCTTAATGTGATTTCTTTTCACTGTGGTGTATTACCTTTGTCTCTATGAGTTTTATACTCCACGAAGTCTCGGAGGAGGTCTTCTGAGAGAGCTAGGGGACACCTGGCACATATCTCCCTTACAGCATTTAACCTGGACAATATCATTTAAACATGTATGAAACACCACAATATTAACAAGCTTCAATATTTAACCTTCATGTACAATATGAAAGTTTTTCATGTATCAAGCTTTTAAATAATTGCCTAGTTACAAACTTTCTGCAGAAGTCAGTAATCTACCTTGTCAAATAAGTAATTGGTAGAAATATTCATTTAAAAATATTGACACACATTTAAAATCTCTGTACAGTACACTATGCTGTTATGTGTGTATTCGATCCATTTTGTCAAATTCTAACAACTTCGTTAACTCATTCACCCCTTAAGACACATTTGAACCCTTCCGATTCAAAATTTGAACAATTCATTATGAAAATTCAGGGGTGAATGAGTTAATGATTTTTTCAGCCTATATAACGGTTTTGCCATGTCTATATAATTATTTCTGACCTAATCAGAACTTGTGAATAAGCTGTGGAAGTAAGTCTTCAGGACAGCGAGCCGCGATAAACTACTAACAAACTCACCCGACCGCCATCACTTCTCCTGAATTTCTGTCTGTGATGAAGTTATTGGCTATACACTTCACAGTACTCTCCAGCACCTAAAATGAGAAATATCTTAATGATGGAAGTTTCTGATGCATAGGAAGACCTACAATAGTACTTAGTACTGTGAAATCAGATGTTTTCGTGGAACCAAAATTTTGTGGTTTCCGGACAACACACCATATTGTGGGTACATGAATTTGTGAATAACAAGTACTCACTCAAATGGAGAATTGCTTTAAATCAAACATGTAATTACTTTGTTGACCTATGAATTTGTCAATACAGATTACCCACAAAATCAACGAAATTAAAAACCAAACAATAAGTAGTGATTTCAACGAAATTAAAAACCAAACAATAAGTAGTGATTTCACAGTAGATACAGACATAATTTCCTATGATGAGTTCTAAAAGAACTGGACATCTTTTATGTACCTGAAAAACTGTCCTCTCATACTGCAAACCAATGTGAGACATGAGTGTATTCTAAATAGGCATACAGTAAAAATAGTGAAAATTGGACTACAGTGTATTTCACCATCTTGTCCAATACGACGAAAACATGTATTAAATACTCCCATTTTTGATGCAAACTACCAAGTAAAACCTTATTTTTCAACATCCTGTCTAATCCGGCCAGTATGTTGAGCCAAAAGGTTGTCAGATTAAACAGGTTAATCTGACCAAAGTGTTGTGTCCTACAAGGTTGGGATTATACAGGTAAATCTGTTGGATTATACAGGTTAATCTGACCAATAAATTGAGTCCCACATTGTGTCAGATTATACAGGTTAAACTGACCAATAAATTGAGTCCCACAGGGTGTCGGATTATGCAGGCTAATCTGACCAATAAATTGTGTCTCACAGGGTGTCAGATTATACAGGTTAATCTGACCAATATGTTGTGTCCCATAAGGGGTTGGATTAGACAGGTTAATCTGACCAATATGTTATGTCCCAAAGGATGTCAGATTGGACAGGTTTCAATAATCTTGCAGCTATATTTTACAAGACAACTTGTCACATCATTGTTGATAAATAAACATACTTACATCAGGAGGAACCAAATCATGACTAGCCTGGGCAACATACAGCAGTAAACGAGTCACCTCTGTAAACCAAACCACAGTAAAACATGTATACCGTAGCAATCGTGTCACCTGGGTAACCAAAACACAGTAAAACATGTATACCATAGCAATCGTGTCACCTTGGTAACCAAAACACAGTAAAACATGTATACCGTAGCAATCGTGTCACCTTGGTAACCAAAACGCAATACATTTACTTAATGTTATGTACAGGAGGGGTCACCTCTATGATAGAATCAAAACACAATGTCTAAAGCGTAGGAATTTAGTTTTACCCTTCACATAATGTGATAATAACCACAAGAACAATACAACTGGCCCATTTATCTAAATATGCATTTGTGATTGGTCAAATGATATATATATACCTTGTAGATAGGGATTAGCTACATGTATAATATATATACAGAGACAGTGAGGCAAAGGAATGTTCATACTCACCTCTCTGATGTGGTTGGAGGAATCTTTGTACAAACGGATAAAAGTTGAGAAGGAAAAGCTGAAATCAGTAAAAGAAAGTGTGCAAACATTTTGTCCTTCAAGATCCCCTGATTAACTAAACCATCTAGAATATTGATAAAATAGGAAAAAAGGAATATTTGACCTCGAACACTTACATGTTGTAATGTGATTTTTGACCCCAAGTTATGTTTATAGAGAAAAGGTTTAGCCAAATGCAGTGACATTCTATATTGATATGCAAGCTTTCCAAAGATGAGAATTTTGAAATCTTACTAAGACCTTGATCATGTAGTTGCAGAACCAAAACCAATCTTTATACACCAATCAATAATATCGTAATATACATGTATTTATAATGTCTATTGTAAGTACTATTGCTGTGGTAAACTTACCCCACCGATACCAATGACCCATGATAAATATGTATTTATAATGTCTACAGTACCAAAGGTACTGTTGCCATGGTAATTACCCCACGGGTACCAATGAGTTTACCTATGTATAATGTCTATAGTAGGTACTGGTTGTTATGGTAACATATATATAATTACCCCATGGATACCAATGAGCCATGATGTGCATACATGTATATATAATCTACATAGAAGGTACTGGTTGTCATGGTAACTTACCCCATGGATACCAATGAGTCGTGATATAAGGTCTATCATCATGAGTTTCACCTCAAACCTCTCATTTGTCGCTTCTAACTGCTTCAATAACCTTTCGCTAAAATCTGAAATCAATGAAAATGATATTGCTGTTCTTCGACAAAAAAATAAACTGAAAGTCTTGAGGTTGTGATATAAACATCTATAAATGAACAATGTTTGGAACAGCCAGGAGAATTGTAGTACCCCTATTGGTTATCAACATTTAGTCAATAAGAGGTAAAAATGTGAAAATTGAGAGAGAGAAAAAACGAAGAATGAACAACAGAAAATAATGTTCAGGTAGATTTTTACTTTGAGAATCAAGTGTAATTCTACATAGGAAAGCCAGTAGATTTCTACCATGAGTATAGTATTTTGGCTTTTACCTCGAGATTTTATTTTCTATTCTTACCTTGAGGATCATGTAGAAGATGGAGAGCTGTTACATTAAACGATTCACTTTTATGCTTCTTCTTAAATTTCTGCAATGGAAAGTGATTCATTGTATAAACTACCCACCAAATTAGACAAACAACAGATGCATTTTCTACTTTTCTTCATAGAAACTTCTGCACTTTAATTGTAGTTAAGTATGGTAAAACCTGTCTAATCTGATGAGTATTGTCAAAATCCTGCCATATTTGGTAAAGCATTAAATTTTAATTCAAAAGTAAATTATATAGTACTTGAATTATAAATAAGTGCAAACCTTCATGGCTTGAAGTGCCCTCTCTAGTTTTTTCTGTCGTTTTTTAGTCTTTTTTGCCACTCTGTTCCCAAGTATCAGTTCCTTCGATGTCTTTCTTGCCTTCTCTTTTTTCTGAAACATTAAGAAGATATCTTTTTCAATTCTTATCTTTTGTATTATATAAAATTCATATAGCAGCAAATCTGACCTCAGAAAATTACTCCAGGGCACTTAACATGCAAAGGTATGCAAACATATTATCAATAACATATATACAACACAATGAAAAGGGTGGGAGTAGTTCTACTCAATATCAATGCATCAGTCGACATGATCTTCCTGGTTTATACATTTTTATATGTGTGAGGCTGTGTGTGGTGTGTGTGTGTTGGAAGTTGTATAAGTGTTCTGCTTGTTTTGGATCCATATGTCCAACAACTCATTTTCAGTGTCATACAACTCAAATACAGAAACTATATCCCTCATCACCGATACATGCTGGAAAAGCCTCTATTTGGTTTTTCATTTTTTCAAATCCAGACTGTGACTTAAACAGGTGAAGATGGCCTTTATATATTTGAAAGTACATTTGTAAAAAATAAAATCTATTTTGATCACAGATGTTTTTGTATCTTTTATGAAATTAAAGTGAGAGATTATCTCTATACAATTTAATATAGGTTGACACTACTTCTACGATGCATGAATCTGGGGCCAGAGTTGATGTACCTTTTTGTTATACAATCTCACATCTCTTAATCCTCCAAACAACAAGGGTATCCCACCCTGTTTCCTGGTGGATTTGGATTGGTTTATAGGGTTAAACATCCATCCTTTGAACACCTTAGGTCATTTAAGGAAGCTTCTATGTGTGCAATGTAATGGTGTATATTGGAGACAAAACCTTGGAGTGGAACAATACCATAATAAGTGTTTTGAGCCTATTCAAAATACTGTTAAGATAAACCATTTGAAATATAAGTAAAAGACAACATATATTTTTAAATACCACTCATCAAGATTAGCTATGAATTATACATTATAATCCTGTATATAATATCTGTTAGAACATGATAAACAATTAATGAATCCATCAGTGCTAATTTTTTTAGTAGATGAAAATAGCAGATTTACAAAACTAAGTGTTTATGTAAAAGCATTACACTGACCATGACATTTATACCATGACTAGCAATTTAACAGCCATTCCGTATTTTGTATAACCCAGCCATTCTGTATTTTGTATGACCCCAGCCATTCCTGTTTCAGTGTCAGATTTACCTTATCATACTCATCTTCACTGTCACTTTCAGCCTTCTCCCCCTCCTCGTTGCCAATGAAGAATTTCAGGGCTGTTACCAGTATCTGAAGTATTAAATGGTTGAAACATAAAACATAGTTATCTAAAGCTATAAACTCACCCATTATTTTGTTTCTTTTCCTACTACATGTATATGAGCAAAGCTTTAACGATGGTGATTAAAATTTTGCATTCTGCTTAAACATGCACATTACAATTTGAATCACTTAAATATTTGCATACACTTGTACATAGCAAGTTTTATATCCTGATTATAAAATGCCATCAGTATGTTGTACTACTAACATTGGTATGTAGATTTTGGAGAAACAGACTCACTGTATCCATTGAATTACAAATAACTTACACTTGTAGGTAACTAAGGAGAAACAGGCTGTAATTAATGAATTACAAACCTTGGTAGCTTTGGAGAAACAAGCTGTAACTAATGAATAACAAACCTTGGTAACTTTGGAGAAACAGGCTGTAACTAATAAATAACAAACCTTGGTAACTTTGGAAAAACAGGCTGTAACTAATAAATAACAAACCTAGGTAACTTTGGAGAAACAGGCTGTAACTAATAAATAACAAACCTTGGTAACTTTGGAGAAACAGGCTGTAGCTATAACATTGACTGTTTTGGTGTCATTCCAAATATTCCTTCTGTATAACTCTATCATAACACTCTGAAATGGAAAAGTAAACAACAAAGTAAATCAAATTGTGCCTTCTTCTGTAAATAGTCAATTCAGAGAGACTGAATAGGGTAAACAGCCGATAACAAGGTAGCCCAATGGATTAGAGTCTTTCTAAATTTTGGAGGTGTCTGGAGGTCCAAAGTCTAAATCCTGGTCTTGCGATACATTAATTCCTCTCCTGTTTTATCTATAATACCCAATATTTTTCATAACAAACATACGTGCCATCCCTCCCTATTTAGAAGGGAGACTCCCAATTTTGGACCCTTAAATGGAGTGTTTTCAACCAGTGAATTTGCTTAACTGTTTCTATATTCTTAGATATAATGACTTCTTCTGAAATAACAACTCAAAGTATGTCATTTTAAAGGGTTATTTTGTCTCTTTATTTAGGTTTTAAATTTGAGAGTGCAGGATATCACCCATGAACATCTCAAAAAGTATCTCAAGTATGAACAAAACACATTATTTTTTGTATTTCACACATGATCATGAATGCATATATCCAAATGGCTAAACCTAAAACAAACTTGAAATTATCACTTTCTTCAAGACGTGAAGACTTTTTATTGACACAAAAGAATGTGATACCAATTCAGTGTCAAGCACTAGTACAGGAGAAACAAAACTAATGCCCTTAATTATACAATTTTTTAGCGACTTATCTTATTTTTGGGCAGGAATAAATATAACTTGCCTGTGGTTAAATTGAACAGTCTCATCACTTACCAGTGACATCTTAGCGGCTAAATTAAATATCTTATTTTTGGGCAGCAATGTGGTTAAATTGGACAGTCTCAACACTTACCAGTGACATCTTAGCGGCTATAGCATTGTTATCTTTCAGCATTGTGTACATAAAGTTCTGCAATGTCTGGGATAGAAACAAAAACAATAAGGAGTTATATCTTTATACATCCTGAGAATGAATAAAAAGACTTTTGAACAGCTTGTGTGTAGGTTTTTTATAGCCATATTTCACTACGCATTGTTACTTAAAAATCTGTCAAACTCTAGTTTACTAACAGTCAACATTACTACTTTCTTAGCATGTCAAAAGGATATTCATAATGTTCAAAATATACAAGATTAAAAATATTCCTCATACAGCTGTAAAAGTACTTTTTCTTGTGTACTCAAATTTTAGCGTACAATCAAATTTTAACTGATTAACGCATTGATGAATTGGCACAATTAAAATACTAGAAACTATTAGCCAATAGACAAACTTCCTTATAAAAAATTATTAAGGGGCCATATCTCTTTATAAAATGGGGCACGAGACCCGAATTTAGAATGTGACACTCCTACTTTCTAAGATACATTAAAACTATAGCAAGTTTGGTCTATGAAGGTGAAATAACATGGAAGTTATATGCCGTGGACAAACTTCAGTTTTAAAAATAAACAAAGGGCCATAACTCTGTATATAATGGGGCACGAGACCCAGTTTCAGTGCACTGCACATCTTCTGTGGGTGTGTAGGTATACTTCAAGTTTGATTAAGATATCTTTAATGGTTTAGAAGTTATGCCATGGACAAACTTTGGTATTAAAAATAAACAAAGGGCCATAACTCTGTATATAGTGGGGCACACAACCTGATTTTAGTGCGAGAGATTCTGCCTTTCCAAGATACATATATATGGTAAGTTTGGTTGACGCAGGTGAAATAACATGGAACTTATGCTCTGGACAAACTAATGTTTATGGTATTAAAATTAAACAAAGGGCCATAACTCTGTGTATAGTGAAGCACAAGACCTAATTCCAGTGCAATGCACACCTTCTGTGGATGACACAGGTTTACTTCAAGTTTGATCAAGATATCTTTAACGATTTAAAATTTACGGACCGGACAAGAATTTACTGAAAATGTTGCACTTATTTGACCTTTGACCTTGAGGTGAAGGTCTACGTGACCTAATTCCAGTGCACTGCACACCTTCTGTGGGTGATGCATGCATACCTCAAGTTTCATCAAGATAGCTTTAATGGTTTAAAAGTTATGGTCTGGACAAATTACGATTAGAAGAACCAGAAAAAGAACCAATACTTATACAACATGTCTCCTTTCATTCGAAGGGGAGACATAAAAAATGCAATAGAAAACTGTGAAACCTCAATTTAGAATACAGTAACTCAATTATAATTTAGTACAAACTTTAAAGAGGAAAGTGCTAAAATTAGAACACTGTTAAAATATGTATGTTTACAGTAAGTGCTTTAAATAACATATGCATGTACCATAATTGACCGAGTTGGATTATAGAGTTACTAGTGACTGACAACTACAGTAGATATTATCAGATGACCGAGAAATATATACTCACTGTGTTTAGCTTGGCATTTTTGTGTTTAAAGTTGACGTTTTTTATGTCACTGACGATGTAGGAGTAGAGAGTCTTCCTCAGTAGCTTATCCTGACAGCGGAACAACTCAAAGAACAACTCCAGAACGCCGGTCGCAGGAATGAGGCTTTTGTTTCTCAGCAGGATCAACGCCTTACAGAAAGTCTGTATGAATATACACAGCAGGTACAAGTACATAGAAACCTCAGTTGATACAGGTAAATAAACACTCATTTAAATCAGCACATAGTAGCGTTACTCTATTTACATGTCTCATGCAATAACCTGTATCATGCAAAACGCCAAGGGGGCAACACTTAATCTGTGACTTGAAGTAGGTTTGGGGCTTATTATAGGACAAGAAATAATTCTATTGAATTGCTGCCAATATCTGTGGGTTTCGAATCAGGGATGGGCTTATTAGGGGATAAATATGATTTGAATGAAATAATTCTACTGAACTGCAGTGAATATCTGTGGGTTTCTAATCAGGGATGGGCTTGATACTGGATAAATATGGTACGTAGAAACAGAAGCATTACAAACATGCATTATTGTAAATACATCAGCCAGCAGCTAGAGCTGGTTTTTGAGAGGCTGAGCTGTAGACTCTATCACAAATGAAACATATGATAGTTTGCATTGTAATATGTTATTTAATATGAACTCCTAATAATAGCATGTTCTGTTGCCAGTTCCCTTTTTAATACGGGGGCTGGTTCTTTCACAGTATTGCAAATCTGATTTCTTTGATGAATTCGTGTTGGGTATCATGTTTATTTATCTCAAGTTAAGTTAATTAATTGTTATCTTATGAAGACACAAGGGAAACGGTGTTGTCCTGTTACAATTTGAAAATTACCTAACAAGAGTTATAGTTCAACATGATAACCAATCATCATGAATTTGGGAACTTTTTTCTCCCATATTATTTAGATTGTACCTAGAAACCATATTTCTCTACGAAAATACCTATTTCCCAACAACAACAAAAACAATTGGCATGAATTATGATGTCACACTGAAAGATGCTGACATGAATGAAGCATTGTTACCTGACATTATAATTAGAAGATTGACCAATGAAATAATGTCCAGGGTATGACCCACTAACGGGTAACCAAAAATGTTTAGCAACTCCTAGGGAGTTTATCCAATATGTCGGGTGTAAAGAAAATAATATAGTGGATGTGGTAGAAAAACTTGTTTATTCACTTAAATTTTAACTGTAAGCTAGTACTTAATTTTCACATAAGAATATTGCTTCTGTTAATATCACATTTCACTTTATATCATATTTTTCTCTGATAAATGACACATGAGACTGTACTTAAAATATATGATATTTCTTTTACGAACCATTCTCATGGTCTTGTCCAGGACTGTGGCATGTCGCCGAAGCAAATCTTGAAGATGTTGAGGAAAGTCTGACACTTCCTCTGCATAACATTGGGAAACCTAAAAAAAAGTAATACATGTATATATATGTATTCTTCTTTACCATGGTATATGATAGTTTATCATAAAATCTGTTTAGTATGAAAATTGGAATGTCCTGACATTATCAGCATCAAACAGTTTTGAAGGCAGAACCATACCAACGATTCCGGAGGCAGAGCTTCTTCCAGGATTCTTAACGGTCTTGAAAAAGGCTGTCTGTGTTCAATTTCACTTCCTATTTAAATTTTAAGCTGTATCTCCCCCTAATCAAAACAACTTTTACTTTCTATATACCGGTAGACCTATGATGTGTAAACTACTGCCTCAGGCTGTGAGTAGTATATATGTATACCATATAATATGCATTACAAATATGTTCAGTATCATATAATTGACAATCTTAAAACTATTGTAGAAAACTATCAAATGTATCATTATTGAAGTTTAAGGTTTGACACGGAGCTATGAAAAATCAGGTACCACATATAAATATGTACCTTGTACATGTGTAGGTACATGTTTAGGTACATGAACATCAAAATCTCCAATGATGAGACTGATTTGCTCAGAAATCATTCATACATGTAAATATATTAATACTGTTACAGTATGAAAGATATAGACAGAATTTTACCTGTGCAATGAAGAGCACCAGCTCATCTAAAGTCTTTGTGTAAGTTGATGGTTGGAGATGAAATATCTGTAGATTTGATTCATAATGTCTGTACTGCTGCATAAACTGTAATGATAGAAACACAAAAATTTAAAAATCACAAGACCAATTCTGAAGGCCTTTCACTGATATACAGCTTATCAGGAGAATCTGTGTTATAATAATATTTATAGATAAAAATAAGATCTAATAACCGACTAAAAAAAGCAAGATGTTAACTTCAAGAGCAATGTGAAGGGTAATTAAAAGCAGCTTGTTTTTTAGTTGGTTGTTAGATTTTTTTTATATACTTAATGATACTTACTACCTACTTCACATGGACATTTAATCTTCTTTATTATGGTTATATAAGTCACTTACTGTGCAGACGAATTTGCTATCAAATTGAAAGTTTGCAGGGTACTAGTCTATAGTAGATATAATATGTTTAAGGCATGCAATATCATTGATATTGATGACAAACTTAATAAAGCCTGGTAGGCCTTTATGTAAGTTCGTCAGCAATATAAATGTGTAATATAGGACCATCACAATATTTGCAAAAACATTCATTATTTATATTTATATTTTAATAGAGTAAGTGGATTGCTTTATTAAGTTATTTTGAACAGTCCTTTGAACAGCAAATTAAGTGTTGACAACAGTGATATTGATGATTTTACAAAAGAGATTGATGACGTTACTTAAAATAGGAAATGTTGTTAGTGTTGTGGCAGATTCAATTGTACATAGGATTAATTATGTAATAAGGTCGCCTTCTAGCTTCGAGCAAGATGGAATTTCCCTTTAGCTCAGTGGTAGAGCGTCCGACTAGGAACCTGGAGATCGAAGGTTTGATCCCCGGTGGAAGCTCACTATTTTCTTTCCTGTTAAAAATGGTGTCCGTGGCCCTCCCTTTAGTGACGGAGAGTTAGAACCAGCAGCAGGGTTGTGGTGTTCGAGGGCGAACACCTTTAAAAAGGGGGGAGTAGTGTGGCAGATTTAATTGTAGGTAGGATTAAGGTTGCCTTGTAGCTTCGAGCTAGAGAACCTGGAGATTGAGGGTTCAAACCTCGTTGGAAGCTCACTATTCTCTTTCCTGTTACAGTCTCATAACAATTGATTCCTGGTAACATTTCTACATGTATTCACATTCCAGTTAATACAAACTATTGGATACAGGATATTCCCTCAACTCTAGGGTTGATCCGGGATCCCCTGGTAAACTCTTTTTGAACAACAATTACATCAAATCCTGAAGCATAGCATCATGAACCTTTTCACCACTGTAGACTATGGTAGACTTATCCAGATCAATGCAAGGTAGGTGTTTTTAAAGTTTAATAACATAGGGGTGTAAGGGTTAATAAACTTGTATATATATATATGAGCATTAATTAAGCTATATTTTTCCAATTCATAAAGGAACAGCAGCCTGTTTTTTAAAAAAAGGTAATAAAAACACAGGTGCATATCACAGATATTTGTTTCTGTCAATAAAAATATTGACAAAAATCACACCTTACTCATAAAAAAATAGCAGGGTGTAATTGTCAAACCTATTTTTACTGACAGCCTGTGATGTACCATATATATGTGTTCTGTTTACAACAGGTCCAGTACACTCTGCCGATTGAGCTATATAGCTGTAAAGACCTATAATAGCTCTATTGACCTATCTGAAATAGGTCTTTTGAGCTATTTTCAAGTGATTTTCTTTTTTAAGGAAAACGGAACAAAGTCGCATTTAAAAGAAGATTGTATCATTAGGTTGATAACAAAAGACATTAAATATAAGTATTCTTTTTAAAAAANGAAATCTGAGAAAATATAGCTCAATACAGCTATAATTTATAGGTGTATATAGCTATATAGGTCTTTATAGCTATATAGCTCAATCGGCAGAGTGTACTGGACCTGTACAAATAACTTTACATATAAATTGGTGTGTTCTTTTGGGAATTTCTGTAAAGCATTTGTGTTTTAATTCCATTTTGTCCCTGTTAAGCATGGTATTGTCGTAAAAAACAAGAATACATTCTCAAACAAGAATCAGTCCCTCAAATATGGGATGATTCTAATCATAGACACCCCCCCCCACGAATATTTTAATATCTGAAAGATTTCCTTGTCTTATCTAAATTAATAACGACAGCGTTTTATATAAATACCTCATCTCTGTAAGATCCGGGATCACGCTTAATAAGATTCTGTAGTTGCGGTAGATTACTTGGTAACTTATTTCGATTTTTATCTGACATTTTGCTCTTGCACGTGTATGTTGATTTCTAAACCGGAAGTTTTGAAATGTCATAGTTAAGCTAGCATATATCATATTTGTTTTCGTATTCAGATACTGAAGATTGTAAATTAATAAATTAAGTACTTTAAAAATAATTTGCATTCAAATTCAAATTCTTAGAGTGTAAGTGATGAACTTCCAATAAGTAGATTATTTATAATACGTATTTAAATAATTTCGTACAAGTGTCTAACTCATTAAAACGTTTGCACGATGGATATTTTATCTGTGTCTTGTAAAGCTTGTCAGTGACATCGGCGTTGCAGATTTTTCAACTTTCGATTTTTCTTGAAATGGCGATAAGATTTCCATCTCTGCTCCCCGGTGCAGTTGATCCGCTGTGGTTTACAGTTGATAGACCATGTGACGATGAAAACGAATTGTCTGAACTGGAAGAGGAACACAATCTCTGGGTAAAGGAGAAATATCTTGAAAAGACAATGTACCAATATGTGGCTTTCCCATTCTTATCTGGAAATTATTAAGGAATTATATTGTATCCAATTTCCTAGCGATTCATATAAAATTCAAAAACCCGATGTGGCCTGATAACCTATCGATTCCTGTCCGTCTGTCTGCACTAATTAAGGTCAAGAACAGGTCCAGTACACTGCCGATTGAGCTATTTACATTGTAGCTGTTAACAGGTCCAGTACACTCTGCCGATTGAGCTATATAGCTATATACCCCTATAAATTATATAGCTGTATTGAGCTATATTTTCTAAGATTTCAATTTTCATTAAATTAAAAAAAAGTCGCATATAACAATAAGGTTTATGCTAATGTTGACTACAAAATGCATACAGTTAGATGTTTATTTTCATTTTTCATAAATGTAAAATTTCCGATTTTTTTACATCATTATTTTTTTTAAAGAATCCTTATATTTAATGTCTTTTGTTATCAACCTAATGAGACAGTCTTCTTTTAAAAGCGACTTTGTTTCGTTTTCCTTAAAAAAGAAAATCACTTGAAAATAGCTCCAAAGACCTATTTCAGATAGGTCAATAGAGCTATTATAGGTCTTTACAGCTATATAGCTCAATCGGCAGAGTGTACTGGACCTGGTTAAGACCTATAAAAGCTCGATTGACCTATCTGAAATAGGCCTAGGTCTTTTGAGCTATTTTCATGTGATTTTCTTTTTGAAAGAAAACGAAACAAAGTCGCTTTTAAAATAAGATTTTATCATTAGGTTGATAACAAAAGACATTAAATATAAGTATTCTTTTTTAAAAAGAATGATGTAAAAAAAATGGAAATTTTACATTTATGAACAAGAGTACCGCGGGGCGGAACAATATACGCCCGTCGAATGCCATAATATATATAGTGTTATATACTTTCTTACATTGAAAAAAGATCTGCATCATTCTAAAAGTGGTTAGCTGACATGCTATAAAATATGTAGGAGAAAATCTCCAGACAAAAAATCAAATACTGAAATGAACAAAGGGCAATAACTTTTGCAAAATTCTTTAAAATAAGACACAACTTCATATCATGATCATTTAGCCTACTAAGTTTCCAAGAAATCCGTCAAAAAATGTAGGAGGAGATTGCTGGACAAAAATCAAATACTGAAATAAACAAAGGGCAATAACATTGGCAAAAATTATTGAATCAAAATTCTTTTCAAGGAAACACAACAACATCATGATTATTTAGCCTTCTAAGTTTCAAAGTAATCCGTCAAAAATGAGGAGGAGATATCCGGACAAAAAAATAAAAAACTGAAATTAACAAAGGGCAATAACTTTTGGAAAAATTGTTGAATCAAAATTCTTTTAAGGGAGACGCAACTTCATATCATGATTATAATGTATACCAAGTTTCAAAGAGATCGGTCAAAAAATGTAGGAGGAGATTGGCGGACAAACAAAAGTTTACGCCGTATGGACGGACGAACGGACAAACCCATACCATAATACTCCCGACAAATTTGACGGGAGTATAAAAATGAAAATAAACATCTAAATGTATACTTTTTGTAGTCAACATTACCATAAACCTTATTGTTTTATTCGACTTTGCTGTGATTTAATGACAATTGAAATCGGAGAAATCAAAGCTCAATAAAGCTATAATTTATAGGTGAATATAGCTATTTAGGTCTTTATAGCTATATAGCTCAATTGGCAGAGTGTACTGGACCTGAAGAAGAATGGTTAAGCTCAGTTTCCAAGTTATTGATTATCCATCATCACAAAACTTGCATGACTTATGTATCTAAGGATACTTCACATGCTAAGATTCGGATGCTGCTTCTGACCTACATTTTCCGCTTGACTGAACATGTACAGGTTAAGAAGATTGGTTGAGGTCACTTACCAAGTAACTACTTGTCCCACATCAACTAAACTTGCATGGCTTATATATATCTAAGGATGCTTATAATCACATGTGATGCTTCAGATGCTGCTTTGGACCTACATTTTCCGCTTGACTGACCAGGTTAAGAAAGTTGGTTAAGGTCCCATCTGCACTATTATAGTATATATGGTTAAGAAGATTGGTTTAGGTCACTTACCAAGTAACTATATACTTGTTGTACATCAACTAGCTTGCATGGCTTATGTATACATATCTAAGGATGCTTATCACATGCGATGCTTCGGATGCTGGTTCTGACCTACATTTTCAACTTGAGTGACCAGGTTAAGAAGATTGGTTAAAGTCAGTTTCTAAGTGACTCCTTGTTCAATGTTGTACATCAACATGGCTTATGTGCATATGAATCTTAAAGGATGCTTATCTCATGTGATGCTTTACATGAAAATATACTGTAGTAATCTGGCCATATCGCCATAGGCGGTTTCTTGTTATAGATATTGCATTTCTCCTTGAAATGTTTGTCAATAAATACATGCATCCTATTCTTACTCATTCAATTTTCTTATTCAGCTGGAGAGTATAGCAAAGAAAGACAGCAACATCATACCCATCGGGAAAACTGCAGTCGAGGTAAAATGATAACTACCTCCTTAAACCTAATCATAAATATCATATGTGATCAAGTAGGATGTGGAATCTGACCTTTGATTATTGATGCATGAAACCAGTCTTTAAATAGAGGTGCAAATGTATATAGTACAGAATGTCAGGCTAAAACCAAGAGCCAGATCGATGTTAGTATTACCTTGCTTAACTCATTTACCCCTGAAATTTCATAATGAACTATTCCAACCTTTGAACTAGAAGATTTAAAATGTGTTTTTCTCCTGTCTTAGCCTATAAAATTGGCCCTTTTTCAATGAGATGAAGACATTTTTATTGCCAATAATGATCATCAAAACTTAAAGAATAAAATATTTTCATTTTGCTAAGCAGATTGCAAAATTGTATAGGCTAGTAAGACAGGAGAAAATACCTGGGTATCGTTACCTTTATAATTCATTATCAGGTTGAATCATAACGTTGCTTACAAAATCTTACCATAATGCTTTAATACAATGATGATTTGCAATCTTTTCTGCATTGCACAGTCTTTGATAAAATCCCTATTATTTTGTGCCAGATTTAAAGTCACTGGAAAGCTAATGCAGTGATCAGGGATTTTGTTTTCCTCCATATGGGGATATATGACCTCCTAAAATGGCTTTAGACCTTCAAAATGTTAGAGGTTTGTCATATAAAGGGGTCAGAATTTGTGATTTATGCCTGATTTTACCCCTAATTTTCATGCTTTGCAAAAACACTGATAATTATGTCTGGGTTTTTTTTTAAACCAAAAAGATAACAACCAGATCAAATTTAACACAAAAACTATCATAACAAAATGCATACAATGCATGTTACAGTAAAATTTTAGAACATGCCTTTCATGCCTTTTATTTTGATTACAATAACATACCAAAGATAGTCTGGTCTAATTTAAGTAGCTAACGTGATTGTGAACCTTAATTTCTCTTGCATTGTTCTAGAGTCTTGAAGACGAGGAGGAAGATGAAGAAGATGATGAAGGTGATGATGATGACGAAAGTGACACAAATGATGATGACCTTGACATAGACATGCTTGATGAAAGGGATTCAGGAGATGATGCAGGTATGACACTTTTCACAAGTCATGAGGTTCAGACATGACACATCATATCTATAACACTTCAGTGCTGGAATCTCTGAATATATATAATTTAGAGATTTATCAAGGTTGGATTGATGGGCTATCAGCATATAAAACTTAAATGTCTACCAAGGCTGGACTGGTTGGTTCTCTGCATATATAATTAAGAGATCAGTCAAGACCTGATCAATGTGGGCTCTCTGCATATTTGGTTAGGGCCGCTTAGCACAGATTAATATGTGCTAGCCTATTTACTTCAAGGTTGCAGGTTCCATTCTTGCTGATGGCGAGATTTGGCGGAATTCTTTGTCAAGACACTTTAACCATGTTGGGCAACTCCACCTGGGAGATATGTGCAGAACACCTCTACAACCTCTGGTTATTCATGTTCCTCCTCACACATATTGAGGTACTAAGGATAAGATGGGCTTCAGCAATAATGGACTTGATATGTTGAATATATAAATCTGTTATCACAAGATTGTTCATGCACTGGAGTAATTGCCTTGAGATTTGGTAGAGAGTTTACAAATGTACAATATCTAGGGACAAGCTTCAGAGATGCAGATGCCCGATAGTAATCACAGGGTTCATCTGTCAGTCTGTCTGTCCTTCCACACATATTTTTCCAGACATTATCTCAGAAATTTTGGGACCGGAATGAACAGGTTGTTTTTACATGGATTACTATGCCAACTTTTGTGAAATAAGGACGGTTATCGGAATGGACAGGGTCCGGTTTATACAGGGTTTAACTACTATGATTATAGAGAATATGCTGGGACCATAAATCATAGCCAGTTTAGACAGATATCTGGATTAGACAGGGGCCAGTTTAGACAGGTTATACTACATAAATGTAGATGTAAAGTAGCAGTATTACATGTAAAAGTTTCTAAGGTCAAGATCAGTGTTGCTAAAAATAGATCATGGGTGGTAGTCATGCAGGGTCTTTGATGACCTGTCTCCATGTTTTAGTACTGTATAATACAGATTTAAATTCTTAACTGCTTTATAAGCTCTCTATATATTACATGAACATATAGTACAAGACTTTACCGAGCTCTCTACACTATGAAATCTGCCTCATTGTACATAACAACCATGAAAAGTATACTTCTAATTATGGTATTGTCTATCAGAAGCCACCTGTCTATAAAGATCATCTCTCTATTAAAACCATTTCACTCTCTCCCTTGGCCAGTCCTTCTAGACAGGTACAGGTTTCACTGTATAACAACGAGACTAGAAGATGGGACATTACATGATTAATAGCGATGTTGTGATAATCATGTTTGTGTATAAGTGTCTCTTTTATTTTGCAGGGTAATGTCATCTACCACTACATAGAGATCAGTTTTCTGCCATGCAGAGGAATAAATAAATCAGTTCAAGTTATACTGCTTCCAGAATATTGCTAGTTGGATATACATTTAAGGAAATGATATTGTCACTTCGTGTTTGCCATCAAGAAGTGAGGACAGCATTACATATTGTTACCTGAAGCTGCAGTGCATGGATGTGTAAATTTCACCTCTGCTGATACCCCTGTAGTTTCAATTGTGGTACGTAATGTACATGTATACCTTTACATGTGCCGGGACCTTTCTCTACAGGCGGATTGAAGAAATCGACTAGATAAGCCAGTGTGCTGATTGAGCTAAAGACAAGGAAACTAGTCTTTTGGGAGGACATCAAATCATGCCAGATACAATAGGAAGTCTTTTAGTGGTTGAGGTGTTAGTAAAGAAGAGTTTCACTGTAGTATTAAAACTGTCTAATCAGACAATCTTAAGCTGTTTATTCCTTCACAGTAGTTAAGATAGGTTTCAAGGTACAACTATATAATGGATTCTGTTACGCTGATAATTTGATGTCGGATCATTTGGGTGGTCTGTTGGAGCAGTGAATAGTGCACTTGCCTTTCACCGAAACGCCCGGGGTTTGACTCCCCGATTGAACATGAAAAGGTGTTCGGTCACCTGGTTTTTCCCAGGTACACAGGTTTCCTCCCACATTAAAACCTCGGCTAACTTCCATCCAGGCCAATAAGAGTGATTAATATAAGCTGTGAATCTCTTTTTAGCTTTACCATTTGAAATGTTTCTTTGACCACTCAATGATAACATCTTTGAGAATTTCTGTTAACTCATTCACCCCTGAAGACACATTTGAACTCTTCCGATTCAAAGGTTGGCATAGTTCATTATGAAATTTCAGGGGTGAACGACTTAATAAGCAAATTAAACATTTACTGGACTACAGTACATTCCAAATTTTACAGAGAGATTGTGTATGTATGGTTTATGGAGTTAAAAGAGTGTGAATTTGTATGCATTGGATATGTTGCATAGTATTTCTTGTTCAGAGAGTGTGATTGTGTGTGTACCATAAGGCTGTTGCACAGATTCCAACCCCATGGTCCATGAACATGTACTGTATACCGTAATAAATATTAAATTTGCCCTTCACATTTAATTACAATGTGCCTCTGACATTACGGAGGGTGAAAAAGGCAAAATTAAACTGCAGCCAAAATTTCGTGATACACATATACTGTACATAACACATGTACAAATATTAATGTTCATATCCAAACCATTGGAAGAGAATTGATGTCATATCCCTAGGGTATGTACGGTATCTGAAGTTCACACAAAAATGATGCTGTATGAACAATATGAAGTATATAAACTGAAATAAATATTTTTAACATATATAACAAGCAATACGAGTTTTCTTTGGCCTTTTTTGTTTTATTTTCAATCTTGATTTCCATAAAGTGTTCGATTTACAATGACTTGTAAAATTTCTTCGGATTTCCTTAACAATCTTTCCTGTAAGTCTGTATTATATGATATTCCTTTTGAGGAAACTTTAGAACAATTGTCATAGTAACCACCACTATTTCCCTCTAAGCTGTCAGATAAAGCCAGGAAAAGGATCCCATCTGCACCCTGTACTGGTGTCTGAAAATATATTGCAAATAAATCATTAAGATACTTAGTTATCAATATTCGTAAAGGTACATGAACCATATAACCAAATAGACAGTACAATGTATCAAAGGGGAAAACCTACACAGTATGGTAGAAATATTATACATACAGTCAAACTTTGACATTTCGAACTTTGCGGGATGGTCGGGAAAAATATGAAACATTTTTCATGTTTTCAAGCTAGTCTTCAACTCACCCATGTTGAATTCCAATATCTTTCGAGATCCTGTATATACTGCATAAGACTGCATGTGATTGTTTAGATATTTTTCTAATTGCTTAAAATCCAATATATTTAAAAAGTCAAAATTATATTTCTTGACTTTTGTTCCATCACTTAATAAGTATTTATACACTGAAGTCTGCATATTTAGGTGTAAAAATGACACCAAGACATTTAAATGATCTCGCTCTGGCAATAGTTTTACCCTGATTTATTAGTTGTCATTTCAAATGTTTTCATAACAATTGGACCAATTAATTATAATTCAAAACAGTGAGAAGTTCTCTAGTCATAAAAGTTTGATTTATAAATGGAACATCAGTAGTGTTATATAAGGGAGGGGGGGGGGGGATCCTGACTTTGCTGCAAGATCTAGATCTACACATTGAGAAATTCAAATATTTAAAGTTGGATCAATGGAAGTTTGACTGAATGTATACAAACTTGAAATAGCAGTGTATTGTATAAATGTACTGACAGGTGTACATCTGTATCTGCTACAGAATAAATTAAAAAGAGTATGCACGCACTCTAAATTACTAATATACTTTACAATATGTACTATATTTTTGTGCTGATTCAACAGACCTGTCCAATGCAAATTCAAATACAATCTGATTAAAATAAAATATCCTCTCTACTATCTGTATTTTAATCAGATTACTTCCAATACATTCTATAAATGACACAGATTCAAACACATTTAACTCAATCCCCACTTACATTTCATAATGAACTATTCCACCCTTTGAACTGGGAGAGTTCAAGTGTGTCTTCAGGGGTGAAAGAGTTAAACAAGCAGTAAGAAACAGGACCCAAGGATGCCCTGATCTGTTTTTTGTGGCTTTACTGGCCCCTATTATGTCAAATGTTTTGCAACTCAAGACATATCAGCTGGAATTGCTGGCACTACAGGAAGATGTCACACTCTAGAAATGTTGCCTTGGAACAAAATATTTATTTTAGGAAGGAAGGGAGGAAGTATAAATTCATTTAAAGCACAAAAACGAGTATCCACAAAAAGTAATTCACAGTGAGTATAAATACATATTACCTTGTATGTTAATCTGGCTACAAAGTCTAGTAACCACTTTATCCCCCAGTGAACATGTCTGTACAGGGGGGTGTTGACTATACCCGGGTGGACTGCATTTATAGACACTTTAGAGGTATCTCTCCTTAGCTTAGTATCTAGAGAATATGTAGCTATGACAATAGCCAACTTCGAGTCTGCATATGCCGCATGTGGCGAATATTGGGACCAGTGGATACACCTGTTGGAAAGAAAAAATGGAAATAAATGGATGTTGAAAAACACCAGAGCATTACGAGAACATGAAAGTGAATGGCTGTCATGTTGATTAAGCTGTTGAAGATATAACATAAAATTTAAGTTTTCCTGTAATTAATGTCACACTACACTTCAGTTGGGAGCAAATTGAACTTGGTAGCCTAGCTAGTGCACTGGAGTTAACAGAAAAGTGAACTCCAGTACACGAGCATGTGAACTTCGCTGCAAATGCTTATTTTTGCTTGTGCACTGCATGAGTTCACATGCTTATGCATTGGTGTTGAGTGGAGTGCACAATACTCTATATCATAATACTTGTTTTCACCAGTTAGTACATATTGTGAATTTCTCTCTGCCCCTCCACTTTAAAAAAAATTGTGAAAAAAATAATACAATACATGATATATTCTCATACTTAAAATTATCAAAGCGGTTTCCTTAAAACATGGATTTGTATACTAATTTAATTTTCCCTGCTTTAATTTGTAGTTGTGACCTAAGCTTAAATTCATCTTGAAATGGTCTGAATAGTTTGTGACAAAAACTGGACCCTAGCATATTGTATTTTTCAGGAAGCAATCACAAAAGGTTGACAGATTGACAAAGCACATATTACAAAACAAGTATAGTGAAAGTTGACCTGTCACTCACGGACATCCTAAGACATGAGTGTATAGCCCCTTAACACTGATTTTATCGACAGACTCTTATCTGATCAAAGGGTTTAAGTCCCTATCATTGATTCAAGATAGATTTCACTTAATATCTTAAAGATTTCCAGCAGTGAAGTTGAACACTATAGCACTAATGCTGATTCTTTCTGACTTACGTTTCTCCTAGTCTTTCAATATCAATGCATCCCACACACTGTACAATAGAGGACACATTTATAATCCTGGAGTACGAGTTATCTGCCCCTGATTCACACAATTTCCATAGCAACAGTTTTGTAAGATATAAATGTCCCAAGTAGTTCACTTGGAAGTGATATTCCATCTGGTCCTCAGTCTCTTGGTAGGGCTTAAACATCACGCCAGCTTTAAAAGAAAAAACAACAATCAACAGAGGATTAAATGACAGTATTTTCTGTTTTACCGGTACCTATATAATAGTTGAGGAATAAGTATTAAGTGTTCTACACATAATCTAACTCTCTGACTTTAAGTAAGGGGTGGGCTTATTACAGGACAATGAAATAGCTTTGTGTGCATTTTTACTGAACAGATATGGTTGGGCTTGTTGTTGGGTAAATCTGGTATACATTCTAACGTAACAGTCAATTTAATCATAATAATAATGATTATTTGATGTCCTTATATACAGCTTTATTACAACCTAGACCGTAGGTCATCTCAGAGCAGTTCACAAATTATTATCCGTGGTTATAGGGCCTTTGCAACAAGCCAATATCTTTCTCAACTCCCTGGGAAGCATACAGCTGGTGCTGCCATTTCGGTGCTCACAGCTAGCATTCAACAATTCTAGCACTGCCAACCACGTGTTCATTTACAGCTGAGTAGACTGGAACAAGTGGAGTAATAAAGTATCTTGCTCAAAGATACAACACAGTGCCGTGCTGTGACTCGAACCTGCAACCCTTCGGTCACAAGCCCGCCGTCCTACCACTAGACTACCGTGCCTCCAACTAACAACTAGAAGAAGACTAACAACAATGATATGTTCATCATTTTTCAGGAATATTTTCAGAATTTCAACTTTTCTGAAGTCGGTGGCAAATTTATCTGTTTACAGAACTGAGTCAATATCTTGTCTGAAAAGGACATCAATTGATTGCTTCATCACAACATAAACCCCCATCACTATGTAAATTTAGTTTCAGTGTTTGATATTTGACGGGACACGACGCGACACATGTGCAACACTATATGCCACCCTCCACTCCCCTATTTTATGGCGGGAGCATAAAGAAATGAAATAAAACTGAAAGTCTAGTTTCATATCTTAATCTCAAATTTACCAGCCTTTTCAAAATAATCCAGTCAGAAATAATCCAGAAATTGATAAAATGTTTATCAGTGTACCTACCATTGTTAATCAGAATATGCAGCGGGAGCCCTCTAGCAAGGAAGTTGTCGACAAACGTATTGACCGACACTAATGATGACAAATCCAGTTCCAAGAAATCAACTGCAAATTCAATAAAACTGTTGATACACCAAAAGTTCTGTTTATTGTTTTGTATTTATATTAACACTGAAACAAAACATTAACAGGTTTAATGATTAAAGCTGCTTATTCAATTCTGTGAATTAAATTACCCAATTAATAATAATTATCTTAAAACACTAATACTGTGGGTCCAATAAAGGAAAAATAGACAATTTCAACTTCAATGCCTACTCCTCCAAAACGACTTTACAAATCGCTATCATACCTTAGTCTGAATCATTATTTGGGTAACACAATCATATTATGCATTAATAATGATTGTACATATCCTGGGGCCAGAGTGCCTGAATTTGTTAACTTTTGGCATTTTGATTCAAACTGCTACTCCTCCTGAACAACTACATAGATTTTAACCATATGATAGATTCTTACCTTCAGCATCACGAATATTTATCCCTATAATCTTTTGGTAAGCTAGTGAAAAGGATCAGATTTGTTTTCTCAAAAGTTTTGAAAAGCCATACCTAAGTTAGTATTTAGGAAATTCTTCACTGATCCTGTGGAAAACTTTATTGGTATTTATGTACCTTCACTTTCCTTCCAATTTCTCTGATCAAGTATATGGCTACATACCTTTATCATTTGGAAAAGTTTCCCCGATATTGTAGATGTTTTGTCAGCTCGTGAATTTTCAAACATTCACTATGAAAATATAATATTGCTAGTACATGTACAATTGTTTTCAAAATTGATCTGCAGGCTGGTACTCATATTACGAAATTGCAACCCATTGTAAGTACCTTTAGCATTTGGAAATTCCTCTCTGATCTTGTCAATAGCCATCCTTCCTTCAGCAACACATTTGCATGCTGGAAAACACATTGAAATATAAGCTGTTGATATCACAATGTTTCTAACAGTTTTAAATGGATAACACTGTATCAATCTTAGGTTTATTCTAAGAAACCTGCAGTGGACAATTCAAAAAATATTGGGTGAGAATAAAACGAAAATTGATTATATACATTCATCTACATACAACCCAATCACAATCTCTAAACTGAAATCAAATGAAGCGCTGGGATGGAGTGTTTAATGGAAAGTTAATACACAGCTTACCTATGAAGACGTGGACATTCTTGGCCACCAAACCCTTGGACACCTCAAACCCAATGCCGCCAGAGCCTCCCGTCACGATGGCTACCTTGCCTGTGTGAAGGCGTAAATCTGTTGGAAAATTAAAACATACTGTATGTGTATCATTATAATTTGATAAAACATGGTTGTTTAAATTCTTGTTTTATAAAACAAAATGCAAACACAAACCTCTTGTGATGTCAAAATTGCTGCAATATTGTTATCAAAATTGCTGCAATATTGTTTTGTTAATCAGCCCATGGAGGATGGACAAGGGAATTTAACCCCAAAGGGGAGATTCTTAACACATTCACCCATGAAATTCCATAATTAAGTATTCCAACCTTTCATTTGGAAGAGTTCAAATGTGTCTTCGGGGTTGAATGAGCTAGGCCACCAAACATTTGAAGCAAGCCTCATGTTTGGCAAATTCAGTATCTTCCCTACTTAAAAGTGCCCTGTTGTTGAGATACACCATCTCACCCCCATTTTATATAATGCTGATGTTATGTCAATGTATTGTTGATGTGATGTCAAACAATTGTTATGACTGGAGAATCCCCTCGTCTCATCCCTAGGGCGAGACTTAAAATAGAAACTTTCAACCCTTTGGGATAAAATAGGAAAATCTCCATCCAAGGGGAAAGATCCTTATAAGTTGCCAATCACAATGCTAGCGAACAGTTTTGGCAACTTACGTACTAATTTTCCCCCTTATATTATTTTAGGATGTATGATTCTTTTTCTCTTATCCTGTTGACTATCATTTATTATGAGATGTTGGTGTTTAACAGGCTAAAAAAATCCATTGTTGGCATTACATCAATGCATTGTTGACATGATGTCATTGTATTGTTGACATGATGTCATTGTATTGTTGACATGATGTCATTGTATTGTTGACATGATGTCATTGTATTGTTGACATGATGTCATTGTATTGTTGACATGATGTCATTGTATTGTTGACATGATGTCATTGTATTGTTGACATGATGTCATTGTATTGTTGACATGATGTCATTGTATTGTTGACATGATGTCATTGTATTGTTGACATGATGTCATACAATTGTGGACTGGGGATTCCTCTGGTCCAAACCCTAGGGTATATTGTAAGACCACAAGCTATAGCTACCTATCACACCAAGAAAAATGTGGATGTAGGTTACCTGGTCAGGGGAAGAGAAATGCCTGTCTGCAGGTGGACAAGAAAATGAAATAATGGAAAGTTGTGGTTAGTTTATTAAATGTCTTGGTGTAGCGGAAATGGACTGTGACGATTGTTGCAACCAGGTACATGAATCGAGTTTGGAGGGTCCCGGGTGCGAATCCTGTAGTGGTTGTGCATTTTCTTGTGACCATCCGATGATCTGTTGTTTCAAGCATTACTGTAGTAGGTGTAAGCTTATGCTCGGCAAGGGGATACCCAAACCTGGGTTGTAAATTGAGATGTCTTAAGGGGAGAAGACTAAGAAAAAGGAGGGAGGAATAATGTAGCAGTCGATCGCCCATCCAGAGTTTGAAGGGTCCCAGGTTTGAATCATGGTCTGGCATTTTTTCCCTACTAAAATACACTGACAAGACAATTCCTATGTAAATATTGAATCTAAGTAATTAGCAAACTTTAATGATACATAGTCGGTTCATCTGAAGTTGCAAAAGAGTAAGACTAACTTAATTACTAATACATTGTATGGAAATTATATACTGAATAAACAGGGCTTATAAGCAGATCACTTTGTATAGTTTAGCCTACGTACATGTACATATATCATATATAATATGGGTCAAAGAAGTAATATAGACGGTAAAATCCCTTATAACACTGGATCCTAGTGGAGGTATGTCCGTAGGATACGAATTACTTTAAATATTATATGGGGCAAAGAAGTATATATATTCCTTGATCTACCGAAAAAAACTTGTTTTGGTAAGTGTGGCGTAATCGATATTTATAAGTAAATGTAGTTTGGTTTCCATGAGTCGTTGGGAAATAAAACAAACCTTTGGCAGGTTTATGTCTCTGCAAAATTTGTCTCACAAGGGCCAGTGTGCCGACGGCATACATCTTCAGTAAAGCCCAAAGTATATACAGCGTGCCTGTGAAGCACTGTAACCGCGAAACAGCCATCTTTGTTTGGGAGTTTGTTTCGATAAGGCGAAGGTCACGTTTATTTATAGACGCACACTGCAAATGGGGATTCCCCTAAAGGGAGAGCGTTGTCTAACTGAAGAGCTCTGTTAACAGCTTAGTCAGATATATATTCTCATACTTGCCAACTCTCCCTATTTGATAAGAATTTAATAGGAAAGGTGATAGACGCAGACATTGGGTGCCTCTATCCATATCTTATAACAATACTTCCTTGCGTCACATTTTATGTAATTGTAACGACAGCCAAATAACTGTATTTATAAGCTCTAGGTTTTTCCAATGTTTGTCTAAATTGATTTAGGAGGGAAACTCTCGATTTTGGATCCTTAAATTTAGTATTTTCAACCAATGAATTTGCTAAATTATTCTTATATTCTAAGATCTACAATAATAATTTCATCTGAAAGAACATCTCAAAATATGTAATTTTAAAGGGTTATTCTACCAGGTATAAAACACACATTCTATTTATGTTTTGATTTTGAGCTTGCAAAATCTCCCAATTGCAAATTTCAAAAAGTTTTAATCTTGAATAAATATGGAAACGTTACTTCTACTTCTACCACTGATTTATGACCAACTTTAACAGACAAACAGACATTCGTTATTTCCTCCTTTAGGAGATTTCATATGCCAAAACAGTTTTACAAAATATATCTTGATATATATATAAACATATAAACATAGTCCACACCCTACAGTCTCCAGCATAACAGTACACCAGGCTGGGGTTGAGAAACTGCTTCATCAACTGAACCCTCACAAAGCAACCGGCCCTGAGGAGGTCTCATCCAAACTATTTAAGGAAACATCACATCATATAGCACCAGCCATGGCATCGCTCTTCCAGGTCCCCTTATAAGATCAAGGCAAAGTCCCAAGTGAATGGAAGTCGGCCAAAATCACGCCTCTTTTCAAGAAGGGAGAATGAAGTTCCCCAGTCAACTACCGGCCAGTGTCACTCACCTCTGTATGCAGTTATATGGTCATGGAAAATGTAGTCCACAGTCATATCATCAGCCAATTGGACAGCCATGGACTGCTGACAGATAGCCAACATGGTTTCATGAAGCGACGCTCCACTGAGACTCAACTTATCCTGTCAGTCCATGATCTTGCACATAGTCTAGACATCGGAGAGCAGGTAGACTTCATACTTCTGGATTTCTCCAAGGCTTCGACAAGGTCACACACAATCGACTGCTGCTGAAACTATACCACTTATGGCAGCAGGGGCCACACCCATAATTGTATAGCGAGCTTCTTATAGGCCGTACACATCACCCGCCACCACCGGTTCATCCGGAGTTCCCCAGGGAACTGTTTTAGGCCCACTGCTCTTCTTGATCTTCATCAACGATTTGTTATTGTCAGTCTCATCAACTACACGACTTTTCGTAGATGACTGTCTGATGTACAAGAGGATCAAGTTGCTAGAGGACCAGGCTATCCTACATATCGAGAGACCTCGACAAGCTTCAACATCGGGAGGACCAATTGCTAATGTAGTTCAACCCGGATAACTGTACATGCGAAGTGCTGCGGGATACAAACATGAGGTCCCCATTGCTTGCCGACTACGCGATCAATAGCCAGGTACTGAACACGGTCGACTATGAAAAATACCTCGGCTTGACATTTCACAAGAGTCTCAGCTGGAACACACACATAGACAAGATCACCAAGAAGGCTAACTCCACCTTGGCTTTCCTAGTCAGAAACATCAGCCGATGCCCAACCAACATCAAGGCGCAGTGCTACTCCACTCAAGTGCGACCCACCATCGAATACGTCTCTAGCGTGTTCAGCCCAGCTAAGAAGGAGAACATCACCAAAATCGAGGCCGTGCAGCATATATAGGGCAGCTAGATTCGCTACTGGAGATTGCCAGCGCACAGTGTAACATCTATACTATGCTACAGCAACTCCAGTGGCTGTCACTCCAGACCCGCCGGGAAACAACCCAAGTCGTCATGCTATACAGGATAGTCTATAACCTTGTGGTATATAGCTACCTACAGAAGACATCACTGCGGACCAGAGGCCACACCCTGCGTTTCCATGTGCCACACACTACAACAGTGTACATGACCTCCTTCCTCCCCACAGCCACCAGGCTATGGAACAGATTGCCAGAAGGAGCGGTGGAGGCCGAGAGCCTGGACAGCTTTAGACCCAGCTGTCCAGGGCCGCCGAACAGTAGACGACTCTGTGTTTTTAACATTTTATCCATTTTATCCATTTTAGCGTGCACTGTACAAAGACGCTTACCTCCTCACGCAAAGTGCGAAAATACTTAAGTGGTGTTGTACTGAACCAGAAGAAGAAGAAGAAGTTTTGAGAAGTATGTATTAGATAAAGACGCATATGACATTCAAATAACTGCATTGTACAATTCATAATACAAAAGGTTCACTACAATATTTTTCCTCATACTACTTTTTCATATATACGTTTACATTTATATATTCATCAATAGGTTAGTTATAGCAAACTCGCCATCTCACACACCATTCTATTAGTGTTTCCCACTCTATATCAGTCAAATATACATGTGACTGATCACCAAGTAAAACGCTACATTGGTCTTTAATGCTTAATTCTGAAAACTGTACATATGACAAAACTTCTATAGCATTTACAACACCATCCATAATTTTATCACGGCTCTAAGTATAAACCTGGATATTCCAATATAAAATGCAACACAATATCTTTACTTGTTTTCTTACATTTCTTACATATTACGACTTCATTCTCAAAGGGTATTGAGTATTTTAACAATTCTACTAGATCCAATACATGTTGTCGAGAAATTTGTTAAGTACTTGATTGCAATATTGGATTTATTCCCGGATCACTATGGATAGCAGCATATCTCCTAAGTTCATCGCATGTATTAAGTTTATCTTTCCACCTTATGTAATACAAATCTTATAAAATGATATTAATGAAACGTTTCCAGCATAACATCGGTGGTACGAATATATTAAGAACATAGTCAGTGATAAATGACTCTAGAATCTATCTTAAATTTAACCATTGTGTTATATATACCAGACAGGAAACCTATTTGAATAGTTGATGAACTACCATACATAAATTGGCATAGTCTAATAATAAAAAGTGTTTTCCATAAAAACTTAGCACCACCTAAACACAATTTTTTCCAAAACAATAGCTTCCGTCTTTCCACTTCGCTCCACATATCAAATGACCCTAAACACGGAGTAGTCACTGCTGAGGGGGAAGTTTTAGGAAGACCAATAGAACGTCTCCCTGCATATCTTTGTGTACGTTTCAACTCTTCTACAGCTTTCTTAGTATATCATTTACAAAGCTCACACCAATACAACATACTTGAATATACAACACTTTTAATAATATTTTAACTTATTACAGGGTTCAGCCCATGTGGGTGAATACCAATACTTAAAAGTGAATTAAGGTTAGTCCTTCCTTTCATAAAAGCATAACAAATACTACTGCTTGATTGTAGGTTATTGGTAAACGTTATCCCAGCGAACGTTTTCTGTGATGTCATTGGAATTATGTTAGAACCAATTTTACATTGTATAGGGCCCCATTCTTCTAACATCACACGTCGACGTGGAGATTGAAATAATACTAGAGAGCTCTCTGCAGAATTATAGTTGAGACGCCAACGAGTAGAGTATGTGTATACTATATCTATTTCCGTTTGAAGTAGCCCTATAGAGGCTGGCATTACTAATGTGTCGTCAGCTAATAACACGCTTACCACGTGTGTACCCTTTATCGTAAGTCAAAGACCTCGATTGTCTAACTCACTTGCAAGGTCGTCAATCATAACAAGGAAACACCAAGCAGAGAGAACTCGACCTTGACCTACAGTACCCTATAGTGTATGTCTGACTTCGCTTGCCTTCGAAAAGCACTGATGCTTTAATATCAATAAACGAGTCATATACAATTCTCCAAAATTTGCTATTGAACCCAATTTATACACTTTATACATTAATCCCTTGATCCATATAGTGTGGAACACTTTTTGATTGTCAAGAAAAGCCCGAGTTTCCTCTGGCCCTGACACCAGACTTAGACATTTTTACAGATAAATGTTCCGCACCAGACAAAAGTCTGGTGTCAGGGCCAGAGGAAACTTTGGCTAGGTCAAGAAAAGCTGCATATACTTTCGATTTCCTCTCAATATAAGAGATAGATTCTTCCACAATGAAAGCAGCCGAATGCTACCGCATTGTTCTTTAAACCCCTGTTGCAATTGTGAGGGAAATTAATTTCATTGCATTACTTTATTATTGAAGGCTCGGTGTGCGCCACCCTGTGGATGAGACAAGAAGACTAGTTCGATCATTTGATGTACATCAAAAGAATCTCGCCGTCACGTAACTGTGAAAATTGACAGGCTTTTCAGTAGGGCGTCTCTCCTTTGTAATCTTCAAAGGACAGGTATTAGTCTAGCGATTGGTCAGGTTTTTTTTGTATATGAGACCAATCAAACAGCTATCTTCGTGCCTTCAATGTTGCTATGACATATTCCAGGGGTGTAGAGAGCGAACGTGAGCGTAACCCCTGGATATCGAGGATGGTAGATATGGTGTTACACCTGTACATGTACCTGAAATGATGACTGAAATGAGTGGAAGGTGAGGTGCTCAGTCTGGTACCCAGTCGATTTTCCCCAACATGGACAGGAGATGCTGGGTGAACAGAGTGAACCTGGAGGATAGAATGATACACGTGGAGTATAATTATTTGTTTTGTGTAAATGTTTGAAATATGAGCACAACGTCATCTTTAATGTACGCACCAAACAGTACAAGCTACCTTAATTATTTCTTCCGTGTCTAAAACCAAATTCGATTTTTGTAAAACAACCCAATCTAGCAAAAGTAGAAGTAGTCTGCAGTGTATGAGTCAAATTTGAGTCGGCTTTGCCAAAATAATAACTTGCATCCTACGATATTCTTTCGACAGCTTTGTAGCAAAATTGATCTAGGACATGTGTTGGCGTACCTGAAACCTGGTCAGCATATTTTATTGTTAAACAAGAGGACGTGATTTGCTTTGGTCCTATTGTGTGGTCAAGAGGGCTAATTGACTATTTAATTAAGTTTTAGCTATTTAGAACAATAACCTTTTTTCAACACTTTTGAATTAATTCATTTCACATTCGCATTGATTATTGTTTTATTGAAATTCATCTTTAGGATTTGTTGTATATCTATTATAAAAGTGAAATTTTATGAATTGTCAGAAATGTCCTTTTTGTGTCTTTCTTCACGCTATTTCAAGTTAACTGGAAAATCATTTTTGATTGAATTTATTTCCCCATCCCCACAATTGCTCTGAAAGAATTAACATAACACGACTCACTACCATACAGAGAAGCAAACAATCCATTTTTTCATGTCTTGGTGTGAAGTTTTGATCAATGACATTGAAGCTTTGCAGGCACTAGTGCATTATATTTTGTTTGCTTACAAAGCTGTGTCATTCATTTAGACCGTAAATGCCATAGACACAGTTCAATACTTATGTTTACCATTTTTTGAGGATTTAAATATCATCAAAATTAAAATCTGCTTAATAAAATTCAGCACATAGTTCAAATGAGTGTATTTATCGTGTATGTTTGCTAAATAAAAAGAACAGCCACCTTCCAAGGTAAGTTTCTCTGAAATATATGCGGAGGTTGGAATACCAGACGTGTTGATTGAAGGCCGAAATGTAAACATACTGTTTAGAATCTAAAGTGGTAAACGAATGTTAGGGTCGATCAATAGTGGCCGACGCTAAGCTCGATCGATGTTAAAACTGCGTTTGTTTCGCTGTGTGTTGACCATTAATCAAATATTTCAATCGCCGTCTTGTGATATACCACATATTTAGATGCCCTTGTCTACAAATATTGTGGAATAACAGAGAACATGGATTTATTTTATACTAACATTGTTCCCGGCTTTCTTTTACAATCAAAGGAACCAAAAAGCTTGCGGCTACTACCGCTAATGAAAGCCTTGGCCACCAATTCTGACTAATGACAATTTCTGTTACACTCTGATTGCTATCAAAGTATATTTAGTCAACGTAACTGATATTAATGTTGCCACTGGTTAGTGAGACTCGGAACAAATATCGGAGTATTTAAGATATATATGTATATTATATTACATTTATCCTACAATAACTGTGAACCAAGAATTCCAACTTAAATTTATTTCAATTGTTTGCCAGAAAGGGAGTTTCATAAAACCTTAAATTATATGAATTTTACAAATTAGTTAATTGATTAATTTCAAGTTAATAATAAGTAATATTTGTATATTCCATATTGTGATTTTTTTCTTCTATCAGCGGAGGTTGATATAACATTCATATTTGTTTAGGTATTGTAGATCTGTTCTCCTGGCACTTAGACCAGTGACTCATGATATTAGTACACATCTTTTGGAGGATTATCAGAAATCAGAATCGGAAAAAAACGTGACGTGGGACACGGGCGGGAAAGGGTGCTGTTAGGCAAATACCAAGTGTTTTCGGTGTTAAATAAAACGGAACCAGTGTTTGTATCCACTCGGGCCTGAACACTGATAACCTCATCTATTTGGTCACTACAGATGGTCTGTCCGCCTCGCACACTTTCTTGCAAGGCCACACTGGACTTACAAAAGTATCAGGCATCAACGCTATTGTGCATTCTCGTTACGATACTTCCCCACGGATTCTGACATCGTCAGTATCATACGAGAATCTACATGTTGTCAAGCCAACAACAGCTGTCACTGTAAGTCAGTTATTCCTCGGAATTTCGTGTCTTTAAACTGTCGCTCAGTGAAGAATAAGTCATTGTCCATCGGATATCTTGTAACATCTCAGGACATTGACATTCTTGCATTGACAGAAACCTGGTTAGGTTCAGATATCGATAACGAGGTACTAGATGAGCTAATACCAACAGGCTATGGATTCCTCCACAGTGCTAGACTCGGCAAACGTGGTGGTGGGGTGGCTGTTCTGTTTAGGAAAGACCAAAGTGTGAGACCAATCTCTTCCAGCCAAGATGATGGATACACACACTTTGAGCACATAACTGTTCCGTCATTGCTGATGATAAACAATTAAGATTGTCTTGGAAAAGGTTGTGACCCGGCATTTAGAGGTTCATTTCCATGCATACAGTCTCCATGACAACCTGCAATCGGCCTACCGCATGGGACACTCTACTGAGACGGCCCTCCTACGTGTACGTTATGACTGATACCGCACATGCTGGATACAGTTTTATCTGAGTGAACGACGGCAGTTTGTTGCCATCGGATTTACCACCTCACATGACAAAGTACTAGATCTCGGGGTTCCTCAAGGGTCGGTATTAGGACCCCGAAAATATTGCCTGTACTTTAAACCGATCGGAGAGATTTGTTGTCGCCATAGCATTCGCTATCATTGCTATGTTCATGACAAACAAATTTGCATGGTCATCAAACCACAGGACAGTTGGGATACAATTTCAGAAAAATCTTGAAGCTTGTCTGACAAATATCAGTACCTGGATGAACGCCAAAATGCTAAAGCTTAATCGTCTTTTTCCTAAATTGTCAGCAAACAATGGCTCTCTAACTCAAGGTCGGTGCCAGAACTAATGAGACTGTCTCAGCTGTTAAAAACCTAGGGGTATACTTTGATAGTTTACTGAACAAGGAGAAAGAAGTGAACGCTTTTGTCAAACCCTGTTACTACCAGATCAGGAACATCAGCTGTATCCGGCAGTTTATAACTGCAGATGCATGCAATATTTTGGTGCATTCACTTCTTACCTCTCGATTAGATTATGGTAATGCTCTGCTCTGTAGTATATTTAAAAACCAACGTCTGCAGAGGGTCCAGAACACTGCAGCACGGCTGTTTGCTCGTACTCGAAAGAAAGAGCACATCACAACTGTGCTATATTCTTTGCACTGGTTACCTGTACGATACAGGTCGCAGTACAAAACTCTGGTGTTCACATAAAAGATGAATAGGGCAGTTCCTCAGTATTTACAGGAGCTTTTTACCTTGTATCAGCCGTCACGATCACTGCGGTCGGAGTCAGAATCATCGAAAATCTCGTACTGTGACTTATGGAAATCGGTGTTTTGGGAGGGTTTGGCCACGTTATAGAATAGCTTACCATCTGCTATCAAAAAGTCAAATACCCTGGCAAAATTAAAAAAAGGACATCAAAACTCACCTCTTCACGTCTGCATTTCAGGCTCTTTGCAAAGACGTTATGGAAATACCACCCTTTATTTATATATTTATGTGCACATTGCGATGACTATCTGCTTGCTTTATGTATAAAGGTGATTGTAAGTTCTTTTTGTTTCACAATTATAACTAATACTATTACAGTATCCATATGTTGTAAAGCGCTTTAGAGTTATTTTACAAATTATATAGGGCGCTATATAAATATTGTATATTATTATTATTATTTTATTGTGAAGCGTGCCACTACTCAAGCGTGGTCAATGTGGCCGTTTCCTTGACAACATATTTATGGGTCTAATAAATCTACCAGCAGAGTCGACCACTTTGTGTCTTGAAAGACTGACGTAAGGCACACACTTGTGTAGAAATAAGAAACAATAACAGTTGTAATTGTTAAGATGTTTATCAAATTTTAATAGCTACGAAGCAAAATATTTAATCAAATGTATAATTAAGAATAACGTCATTAGTCAAAGTCCTCACTACCATTTACCAGTTTTTCAATGGATCCATTATCCTTTAAAATCACATAATTCTTATTCTTTATTTTACGGTATATTTTTCGAAAGGCATATACAAACAGTATACAAACCAGTACTACGACAAAAGGAAGTGGGATTACCCACAAAAGTTTCTGATACGTTGTTTTCTTGTATGGCCAGCATCCTAATCCGTCGAATGTTTTAATGTCCGATAGTTTTGTTGGATACCTCATCCACTCCAGCATCTGTTTAATATTTACAATATAAACATCGTCGTACTGGTTGATATCCCTTAAAGCTTTCTCCATGGCATCTCTCAAATACACTGTCTCAAACCAAGAAGCATGCATGTTGAATCCAAATGGAGACTTGTTTCCTCTGTAATGGCTGTAGAAATTATCCATAATGAATTTGTAAGCCTCATCCTCATTGTTTGGTTTATTGTAGCACCCGTCAACAAAAGTACAAGAGCCCTCGTGCTTATAATCTATCATAGCATTAACAGGAACTTGCCAGAAACCTTTGTGGTTCTGTTTCGGGCACCTATTGTTTAGACACTCGAAGGGCCACCCGTAATCCATTGTAAAGGGCCAAAGGTCATCATCGTCCATTTTGGCTCTCTGATATATCAATGAAATATCGTACTGTAAACCGAGTTGCTTCAGAGCGTCTATTTGTTGATCGCCTGCTGTTATCAGAAAGGGACTCCGCCATCCTATAATGTCCTCTTTTGACACACCAGCTTGTCTGATTAAGTAATTTCTCTGGTCTTCAGCTTCTTTTCGAACTTTATCGCCTGTGTTTACCTTCGAATGTGTTACACTGTGAACACCAAGTTCAAATCCAAGTTGGTGATACTTTTTCAACATTGAGTAATTGGTGTACTTGTCGGAAACAAACAACGTTATACTGATAGGACATCCGTTCGGATTCGTGAAGTTATTCTTCAAAAACAAATAATCATAATGCTTTGAGACATCCACATGCACCACGTCATCGAATGCAAAATATACCATCTGTGGGATTTCGCTGCGGTTCATTGGGTGATTGAATTTACTACAAAAACACTGTGGCAGAAAGCAGTTAACGTCTTGCTGACAGGCGTCCTGTGACGTTGATGCACTCAAGCAGGCGATAAACACACTACCGAATATAACATGTATAAAGAATAAATTGTAATTGGCAAGTCGTATTCCAGCCATTCTGTCGTGGATTTGATTTTTGCTCAAATAAATGTACATCACGCTTTATGTACTTTTCCACCAGTGATAGATGATATATGTTTACTTACGTGTACTTGCTAAATTATGAATATGGCTAGAAGCCACTCGTAAATTGTTATATTATCAATGACGTTTGTTTACTTAATGGCTGATTGATATCAGAAACATTATACAACCCGTCCAAATAGATATTGCAGTGCAAGCTAAACTTTCTTTCCCGTTGGCAAGAAATAGTTTCCGATGCAGAAAACCTATTTATCAAAACCAATTGATCCATAACGCCCCAATTCCTTTTACGACACAGTGGCCAGTGACATCACCGTTGTTTTCATTGTACATAATAAAGTAGAATGTACAATGAAGTCATGTAGCTGTGCATTATTAAGCCGTAGCTGTCGTTTATTATTATAGTTAATTGTCAGTTACAGGTAAACAAAATTATTATTTTTGCAAATTTGAGATGACAATCCACAATTTATTTACAACATAAGGCTTTACTATATTCGCACATTGAAATGTAATAAACTTTAACAATAAAATAAAATCCATTGAAACACCACAAATATTTAAATGTGATCCGGAAAGAATCCCAATATCACTGTTGAATATTATTGAGGAGGAAAGAGTTTGGGAATAAATTAATCCAACAGAATGCTGTAAACCTTCTTGAAGAGGGAATACAGTAATCAAATAATTATTTTGTAATATGAATATTTATGGAATAGAAATACACAAATATCGATTCAGGAAAAGTCCAAAAGATCTTCACACATAATGATCCATACTTGGAGGTAGAATTAATCCAGTAGACCTTTCCTGAGATAACTTAACTGCCACTAGTGTTGGTTTAGATGTTATTTGAGGTTTGAAATGATTAACCCTCTGCTTCAGGGATGATTTTGTTTTTATTCATGGTGCAAACAATTAAGTGCCATTTTAGAAAACTTTCAATTTTGTTCTCAGTTCAATGTGTAGTAAAAATCAACATGTTGAATACACACAAATGCCTGGTCATTGTTAACTTCATTGCCTGTACACTGTTCAGTAGCTGTCTGTTCTTAACACAAAAAGGTGTCCACTTTTACAACAGATGGGTACTGTGCTTTAAATAGGAGAAAAGCCTGAGAATGGACATATTTCGGCCTTTCTTCTTTACGTAAGACATGTCAACCAATGCACAATGCGGGACGTCGACGTGAAACAGCGCCACGTCAGGATCGTTAGATCCCCTTAATCGATGAATAGCGTCGAAACAAAACGTTGTCCAGGAGAAAACGCTCAGTGTCAGAAGTTCATAACGGACACACAAGATATTGACAAGATATTGACGTTACAAGTGTATTTTAACTGTTGTGACGTCAAAATCAGGTCGTTTTTTGGTAGTTGACGGCAGTCATGCTTTTGTATAAAATGTGTCTCCAATAATTCAATTCTACATTTACGATTCATTATCGACTTTATCATGATGAAATGAAATTATTTGATGATTTTTATAAAGTTGTGAAACGAAGAAATATAGACATTACATGACAAATAAGTTTAAGTAATACGATTATTTAGGTCATCTTACTTCACAGGAAAAAGGACGCTGGTAGAGATATTACATTTTACTTGGTAGAGTGAATTTAATTGTATATTGTGGAATATATAACTCGGGATTCGAAAATCATGAATTAACAAAAATAGCATAACTGTCAGGTGGGATCAAAATATTTGACAGGCCTGCCATTCAAAACATTACACGGATCTATAGACCTTAAGTATGTGGGTCCGTGCAGTGAAAATGGTTGATTAATTATTGACATTAAAAATGTACAAGTCTGAAGACAAAATGGTAAATTATTAATTACTTCTGTTTTTACTTCACTGGGTAGTGCCGTACATTTCACGATGTGTGCAGTGTGTGTATGTACTGTCAAGCGTTGATTTCATGTTTTGACGAACGATGACGATAGCGTGCCAATGTAATGTATGGTTAGTTATTGGTTACCAAGGTCAGGTGATGTCGAGCATTCGCCTACAGTGTACATACCGTGTGTGAAGAATAATGTTGCAAAAAGAAGCGTCGGTCTGAACAGTGGCTGCAAAACACAGCTGTCCGGTGAAGTCGGTGACGGTGGAGGTCGCGTCATGGTCAGCCGGTCAGCGACTTTCCATCACGTCATGGCAACCAACTAAATATGCCAACTCATGTCAGGCCTATCGTATGATGTTGTATCACTGGCACTTCCAAGAAACCCCGCTTGATATCGGTACGATGATGATGGTTTTAGCAGTTAACGCAATCCGGGAATCCCAACCCTACGCACTGAAAAATGTTGGCGCGACATTAATCAAGTTTAAACGAGGCAACACGATTACGTGATAAATCTTGCACGCGTAAAAGAACAGCGTCTAATTTGCATATCGAGTTATCTAGGTCATGTCGCCTTATGAGACAGCAAAACTTTACAATTAGTTACATTTGACGTGATAGAATAAAAATAATCAACTTATGTGCGTGCATTATGTTGATTATTTCTTAATTATTCAAAGGGGGGCTTCAAATGACTCTTTAATCAAGAAGATGGTTGATATTTTATCTAAAGATACATTGTCAAAAGAAATCTTTGTGAACATTTTGACAAAAGGTATGTTATTTTATGTAGATCATATTTTGTCCCTTCTCTGTCTCAGATGATGACGTTTTTACCAAATCGTTGACATTTAAACGTGCAATTAAAAATGTACATTTGCGAGCTGTGGGACAATTATTGAGTGAAAATAGTGCAAAATGTGAGGACATTGGACGTGAACAGAATGTTCTGAACAACAGAATTATTGCCATCAACAATTAATATACATTCGCTGTAATCATAATTCAATAAATTCAAGTATGCAGGATCCGTTGCCTCCATCCTGGTTGTTGGACTATCAGTAAGTCATTTCCTTAAAATTTAGTGTCCGGCAGCTTTGCTGCATTTTCATGTTATGATTTATATGCACTGTCCGTATCAATCATTAAAAAAAGGAAAGAATAAAAACAAATCATGCAAATTTTAGTCTTTATTATTATTAAATAGTGTTGTCTATACACATCCAGAGACTTAATATATACGTCTCTAGTCTGATTAGTAACAAATAAAACCCGACCTTTTATATGATTATTATCAAATTAAGTACTTCAAACAGTAGTTTTTGATTTACATATAAATCTCCGATGTTATTCGATGTGTCAGAGACGGCTCATTCCCCAAATACCAACTCTGGAAAATTCAAAGGTGTTTATATAGGAAATCCTTTGAAGTTTAGTTATAGCCTGTTTCAACTAAGAATGTCAACTCATTTTGTAGATATGATACTAAAGTCAATGATAAAATGGATAGAAAGTTTTTATTCATACATAAATAACTGTAATACACATTTAATACAGCAAATAATAGAAAATAATCATTAAATATTGATATTTACATTATATGAAAAAAATAGCATTACATTATATGAAAAATTAAATTCCTTAATACAAGCCACATTGATACTAATGTCAGCAATAAAATAAAGTTTCTATTCATACATATAACAGTAATACACATTTAATACAGCACTAAAGGATAATGATTTAACATGAATATAAACAGTAAACCACTAAATGAAGCCGAGGTTTCTAGAACAAATCACATTCTCTATATATATATCACTTAAGTCTCTAGCACAAAACATTCTATCCCAGATGCAGAAGCTGTGATGCTGAATCGGCGTAGGTCATCAGGTCGATAGTTCCAGTCTGATAACGGTCTTTCAGGGTGTCCAGGCGTCTGTCGATGTTGGCGTATCTCTTTAAAGCACACAATAACAGATAAAGTCACACAAGTTCACACAAATTTGAAAATAAGTACGAGTTTTATATGACAATAATTATAAGAGAAATCACACAAGTCTGAAAGTACAAGTTCAACTAAAACGAAGAAAAATTCTGAATACAAAATTCACATTCACTGAGTTAAGAAGTTGATGTTTCCAAGTACAGAGCGAAATATGATAATTCTCCAAAGTGTGCTACTGTTATATACATTACCCACTTAACTAGTGATTATCTGATTAGTTATCAGAAGAACAGCTTGGGATGGGAACTCTAAATATTACTTATTATTTTGCAATTATTAGCAGCTATTGATTATCTGATTAGTTATCAGAAGTTGCTTTACCTGTGCAATTTACCTGTACACTTTACTGCAATAGACTATAACTCACTATCATCACAACTGACCACCTTTGTAAACATGTGATTTTAAGCAAAGTTGGTATTCGGGGAAGACCCCGTCAGAGACGTATATATTGCCAGAGTCTCTGATACGAGATTGCCTTTAGGGCGTAGTGGTATTCTTTATTCTCTCCAGCTGGTATATGCGCTAGCGGCTCATTCCCCGAACACCAACTCTGGAGAATTGAAAGGAATGTGTTTATATAGAAATCCTTTGAAGTTTAGTTATAGCCTGTTAATCAACTAAGAATGTCAACTCATTTTGTGGATATGATACTAGAGTCAATAATAAAATGAATAAACAGTTTTTATTTCCTACATATAACTGTAATTCACATTTAATACAGCACTAAGTAATAGAAAATAATCATTAAATATTAATTTTTACATTATATGAAAAAGAAAAATAACACTACATTATATGGAAAACAAACCTCCTTAATTTAAGCCACAATGATACTAATGTCAGCAATAAAAAAAACAGTTTCTATTCCTACATATAACAGTAATACACATTTAATACAGTACTAAGTAATAGAAAATAATCGTTAAATATTAATTTTTACATTATATGAAAAAGAAAAATAACATAACATTATAAGGAAAACAAAATTAAGTCCATATATAAAGTTTTCTAAATCAATCATTTTGAGTCCACCCTCACTATAGTCTTGAACAATTGTTGAGCGTTTTATTCTATCAATTGGTGATTGCCAGACAAAATTGTATATTTTTTTTTGTTCAATGATTGAATTATGACTTTACTTGGAGTAGGGAGAGATATAAACA